AAACACGCTTGTGGCGCGGAACAGAACCACGTTTTTAACTCGCTGCAGTCGATATGAATCTCCTGCATTCACCGGACTAGACTGCGAGGCTTCAATGACAGCTGTTTCTCCATCTATAAGATCCAGAATTGGAGAGACAGTTTTGTCATTAAACTCTCGAGCGGTGTGGTTGTGAAGAAAAGAATCTTCCAATTTATTGAGACTCAAGTCTGCGGGACGGTCGACGGCTATTTTCTTAGTGCCGTCGCCCAATCTTTGTCGTTTAGCCAATTTCCCATTGTCCTCGATAGGTCGTTTGGGTCGTAGTGGATTGGTCTCTCTGTAGATTGAAACACTAAATCGTCTGGAAGTAATCAGGATCCCAAGAGCGGCATAACGTTGACTGGAATCTTGGCCTTTGACTGAGATCATCCACATGCCCGGATGTAAGGCATGCGATCCACGGATATCTATTCGCTCAAGGGGTGCAGTAGACATTGATAGAGATATCTCCCAGCCCACTGATCTATTGACAAGGAGGCAATTATCGCTTGTTGGATCATAAATAAATTGGCAATCCAATTTGGATTCCATCATGGCTCGAGATGCTCGGCTAGGAAGGCGAAGATGAAGGGGCGTCCGAAATATAAAGTCAACGTGATTCCTGCTTTGAACGACGCCCACTATGTGCTGGTAAGCATCTTTCGCCGGAGGGTGTGTAATAACTTAATTTTCAGTTTCATTTGCACGGTTGGAATAGAGAGATCTGACGACGAATCGAGCCCGTGAGGCTCTTTCAAGAGCTACGAATATTTCGTCTGGCGACATGTCATCCGTTTTCACGACGGCGTATTTTAGCTGTGCCTGAATAGAAGAAGCGTCTTGTAGCGAGGTACTGTTAGAAGGCCTTTTGGGCTCTTTGAACAGACTCTCTCTCGCTTCCTTAATGCGGGACTTGAGCTCCTTCCTCTGAGAAGAGGAAATGGGTTGTAGTGAAGAGGCCAGCTGTGTTGATTCTTCAACGTCATTGTTGGCAGCTAAGTTTCCTCGTCTTTCTACGGCGTCTGCAGGCTCTCCTCTTGATTTTGCAACGGGCGTCTCAACTTTCGTTTCCGGGTAGGAACTAGACTGCAATGAAGAAGCTGGCTGAGCGAATTCTTCAGCCTCGTCTTGAATCACAAGGCTTCCTTCTGCTTTCGCGATAAATAGCGCAGGTTTTACTTCGGGAGGCGAATCGGACTAGGTCGCAAGTTGGGTCGATTCGTATATTTCATTGTTATCCACATGGTCATGGCTTCTATCGACTTTCGTGGTATGCGGCTTGGCCTGTGTTTCAGCAGGTGAAATGGATTGCGGTGTAGCAGACATGCTGCCAAAGCAAAGAGACTGATTAAATGTATATACATGCAGGTACTGACTACAAATACTCACATTATCGCTTCCAACAGATTGTAGGTTCTATATAGTTTTGTCTGATGGTCGGTGTGCTGTTTGGTTGAGAGAACTGCCCCCCGCACGATGTACTCTTTAACAGCACCTGCAATGCAACGCTGTCGCGTCAATTTCGCGAATGCCGTGTCGTGCTGTAATAGGTTCGAGACCCTCTATAACAGGTAGTCATAGCGCGTCTATCCCGCGTATGCATCTACAATTGGCTTAAAATCGCTCCAATTGTAGCTCATGCAGTTAAACGAAAAGGATGCGTGAATACGTACTTCTTCAAAGACTCAGCATACTATCGTCTGCATACCTACCTACCTACCTGGGTATCTCCTTGCCCTCTTTTGGGTACATACCTATGCATAAGGTACATGAGGTATGCTGCAGTACAGTATTCTGCTAGGTACCCTAATTTGCCCCGCCATTCAGACTACGTCGAATCAGTGCGGCCAACTTATCCAGTAATTCCGGTGATTTGGCGGCTGCCGCCCTTGCGGACCAGTCTCACTTACATGGATCATACACATCACGAAATCACGACACAATCCCAACAGCCTCACGTAACTGCGGCCACGGCCAACATAATCGCAATGCCGTTGTTCGCACATCCAAGGCCTACTCCCACCAGGAGACAAATGCAAGTATGGGATCAGCATGTCAAATCATGGGGAGGTGATGAGCGATGGCATGGCATGGAATATCACCTGTCCGATCAAGGGTTCTCTGGGGAGCTTATTGGGACCGATATAACATGATCCAAATCCCCATTCTCCCAAGGGACGAGTTTTTTGACATCGCAATAGAAGTAGCCAAGGAGGCCAAAACAAGAGAAGACTTTAAAAGACTCATGGGGGAGAGAAACAAACAGCAGCTGGCAGAGCTAGAAGCCCTTTAATCAGACGCCGCACATCGGATTTTTTATAGCGAGCAAGACTTTCCATGCAAAGATGCTTTCGATAAAACCGTCCAAGCCTGCCACAACCCTTACTTCATTTATTTAATACGGCTTTTGAAAGGCAGCGCACTTGGCTGGGAGGCAGATGTGATCTGGCATGAAGAGCCTATTGATAAAACTGCAATTGATCCCAATGACGATTATCAAGATCCAAATATGGAGGCGTAGCATGTTGACTTTTGGGATGAAGAATACGAGGGAGATATGGAACCTGAAAGGTACATGCCGGATGAAGATTTCACTCTCCCAAGGGGGATGGCCAACAGGTCTCCCAGTGCTGCCCAGAAGAAGCGGTTGGTGAAATATTCCCTGTACATCGTCTATCAGTGAATAAAGTCTAACACAGGATTAGGAAGAGGGTGCAATTTGATGATGATAGCATGGGGCCTGATGAACAGCAGCATCAGGAATCAGCAAACTCAGCCTCTAATCCTGTATTACAAAATTCTTCTTCCGTCATGCTAGAGGCAAACGAAAGCATCATCAAGTCTAATGTTGTTAACGGACGGAGAAACAAACGTCGAAGATTAGAGAGATCTCCTGCGTAAGTTTCTTCTCCCTAGCCGTCCACTGAGACAAGGAAATCTGAGAAGAGGGTCAGGCGGGATGAAGATGAAGATGTTTCACGCAAACGTCTAAGATTAGAGAGTTCTGCTATGTAAGCACCAACCTCTCATACTTCTTCTCCAGGGCAGTCTACTAGGAGTAAAGTATCAAAAAGAGGTCCAGACATGATGACGAAAACGGCCATTCATCTAAACGACAGAAATTGGAGACTTCTGCTACACATACACCTATTCCTGATGCTCCTCCCTCCCCTCAGTCAGCCGCCGAACATCAAAAGAGATCGAAAAAGAGATCTGGACATGATGATAGCCATAACAGCTTAAATAAACGCCAAAAACGAGACGAATCAGCCGCACCTGATACAGAAACTCCCCACACTGCTGGTCAGCTCACTGCAAATGGCACTGCAGCCGCGGGATCCGGATCTCGAAAGAAGAGCCATCAACGTGGAAGCCAAAAAAGAAAGACTGCTGCTGCAAACAAGTCGCTCGCAAGGCCTCCGCCATCCGCATCCCAAAGGACGAGGTCATCACGAAGAAATGGATCAGCTACATTGTGGGAGTTGGATGATTCGGGCAAGGCAAAGCTACGATGACCTTCTTAGGTAACGCTGCCAAGTGCAACAATCTGCTGCCATTGAGTTTTTCTCGAAAACATGGTCGTTATCCTGGCAGGGCTGGGTGCAGCGGCGCAGTTTGAAAGAAGGACTGGAGACACCGGTATTTGTTGTTTCTGTACTACATGGTCGTTAACCCGGCAGGGCTGGGGGCAGCGGCGTAGTTTATGAGAAAGAAACGACTGGGGCTCCATTGCTGTGATCTCTGAAGAGCATGGTCGTTATCCTGGCAGGGCTGGGTGCAGCGGCGCAGCTTCAGAAGAGAATCCAGCATTGTACTTTGGGTTCAGCAGATTCGGCATTTGATTCATGACTTGTCGCATGCCATGGTGCTGCTTGTATTCATTTTGTCGATAATAACCAGCGACTTGCTATGATACCCAATGTTCCACCGCTGGGGAGCAGTTATATAGATGTATATTATTAGCGGTTCTCCTTTCGTCTTTACCTCAACCGCTGGTCTTTACCCTGCTTCAAAACTTCTTGAAAGACACTGCCAGTACACGTTATATCACAGCTAATACTACTGGTATCAGTGCTACTGAGTGTATATATTAACGAGGTATGTAGTCTTGTACGTGTCCTAATTGCCTTGATAAGCTATAGCCGGGGTGCCGAGTAATAAGACCGCGATAATTGATAACATTTTTCTTCAAAAAGTGATACTGGTCACAATCTACACAGTTGAGAGAGACCGCTATCATATCCTGAATGTAACCAGCGCCGTAGCCACAATTGCAGCCAATGCGCTCAATTTCAACAGACGGAACCAACAAGGCAACGACCGCAATCCCGGATATCAAAGCTTTCGAATATATGACGCATTCATCAATAACTGAGCTGAGAAAAGCGCCCCAATTATCCGACTCAATGACACATACGAGCCAACTCCATCAGCGGCAGACTCAATGAAAGCGCGGAAAAAAGAGTCGAGAGAACTATTCTGTATGGAAGATTTGAGAGAAATTAGAAAATATGAAGACTTGGCTGAGTTGTAAGACGTGATCAGCGTCGGGGATGAAATGGTACGTTGCCATTTTTGTCATTGTTCAATTACGTCCTGTACGTATCATTCTGCACATTGCTCTTCATGCAAGATTTGATACGCGTTTTCGCAGCTTGTACAAGTTCACTGGCTGGTCTCAAAGATAAGTGTGAGAGAATTTCAATAAGATTATTCGTGTATTATCCCATTAACATAAATCATTTTAGCTTAAATCATGTCTCATACATTGCGTACGCGCATTGATGCTGCGTTTCTAAAAAAAAAATCGAGAATGCCTCTGCCGTGTTATGCCCCGCCACCAAAAACAGATAAAGGTGCATGTGTGCATGTGCAGGGAAGGCCCAACACATGACACAGACCCCCACTGGTACTTTGTACCGTTGGGCTTCAACTTCATTCCTCAGCTATCGTCAAGACACCAATTTCCACCTCAAACCCTACTTCTCTTCTGCCTCTTCTGCCTCTTCTGCCCTGTCCAGCTTGCCAGCCAATTTGCCTCCGTCCAGGATGCTGCCAAACATGGCGGCCTCAAACAGGTGGTTGACCTGCCAGGCGTGGTGGTTCGCGTGGGCGATGATCCAGACCATCTCGAGCACCTGGCCGCGAGAGAAAAGCTCGGCCATGCGCAATCGTGAGCCCTCAACAAGTTCGTATTCACGCTGCTCATCGACCTGGCCTGCTCTGACATACTCTAATGGACCCGTGACGAGGAACCCCCAGAGCTCCCGCAGCACTGGCTTGTCCTGGTTGCGATGAAGGAAATGGTCGACGTGATCGCATGTATCTTCGCCGTTGCATGCGTATTTGGGATCAAGAGGCCTTCTGAAGCCGGTTGTGCGGTACTGCTTGTCAAATACTTCGTCGAAATCCGCCTCGAACTGAGGCTGAGCGGGAGTCTTTCGTGCTTTGGGCCAGCCCAGAAGCGCACGGCGGAAGAACAGGTGTCGATCGTTCTGAATGTGCCATGTATACAAAGCAGCACACATTCTGGCGACTGGCTCATGCCATCTCTGAGTCAACATTCTGGCGCTTGTTGCAGCGTAGGCGTCGTATATCTTGCGCAGCACTTCTTCGCTTACGACGCCCGTCTCTGTGATGTCAGTCACATTCAGGAAGGAGTTCATGACCTCGGAATTGACCAGGTCGCAGCCAACGTCGACGACGTCAGTGCCTGGCGAGCTGAAAACGAGGTCAGCCATAACGGCACCTGGGTCGAAGCCTCGTGCTATCGACTCGGCTGCCATGCCTAGCAAGCTGCTCTCTGACAGAGAGATAATCTGTGCAGTACGTCGATCTACTCGTGCCGAGCGATACGTCAAGTTCTTGATATGGCGCTTCTCCAGAGCAATCTTTCCTTGGATGTATTGCTTGCCGAGCGAAACGGCGTCTCGACGCTCGCGCCCTCCTGGAGTGCGCAGCGCATGTGGATCTTCCAGGCCTCTCTGCAGAAGCGGTTCCAGCGTCGGAAAGACGTAGTTGTAACCGTGCTCATAGTAAAAGGCCATGTCGGTTACATAGTTGGAGAACATGGTTCGCGCATCGGCAGCACCCATGAGCAGGGCGGCAATACCGCAGCCAAACAAAGCATTGTTCGTCTTCAGTGCGTCAGGCCAGTCTGAGGCGCCCAGCTTCTTCAGGGTAACGTCCGAAGCCGCACTCAGTCCCGTCCCCTTGGGTGGCAAAATGTTGCCGGCTGCATGCTGACTATCTTTCCAGTTCTGGAGGTCGGTGGCTAGCTTCAACTGAACTACCCGAGGTCCTGACTCGAAGGAGGATAAAGATTGTTTCTCGTCCAGAGACGAATTTTCTGGCTGATCCCCAATGTCCCCAAAGATTTCAGTGACGAAGCCCCGGGCTTGGTCAGAGAGGGCTGCTAGTTCTGGAACAGTGCCATCACCGACCAAAGCTCTTGCTTCGGAATAGCCGGGATGGATGGGAAAAGAATGCTTTCTTGGCTTGCGGCCCAGAACTCTTCTTACTCGATTTCTGAAGCCCTTGGCCCAGAAATATCGTGGGATCTGATCTGAATCGTCCTGGAATGTGCCTTTCTGGAGTGACTTGACTTTGATCTTGATTCCTTTGAGATCAAAGTCGCTCCAGTAACTCTGGTGAAGTTCAAAATGACATAAAGAGAACACCATGATGACTGATGCTGGGAAATCAACGTGGACTGATGGTTTACTAGTTGCATTACGAACTCCAGCATCGGATTCCTCCGCCTTCTTATATACCTACCTACTAGTATCTGGGATTTCAACTTGCGGGCAGTCTCCAAAGCATGCGGGCACTCTAAGCGGGCACTTCAGGTGGCCCTTTTCGCGGCCTAGGTGTGCATTTGAAAGCCCGCATGCAGTTCCACGGCCGTATGCACCGCGATGGAGACTCTTTCGGTCTGGGGTGAACCAACAGCACTACATGTCATTTTCCACCTGGAAAATAACTGGGATAGTTACACAACACGAGGAAGGAAGCAAACTCTCAACCTGGCCAGCTGAAGACGAAGCCCGGGTCAGCTGATGTTTATACTTACTTTTTGGGAAGTGCGAGCACTGCATCACATCGCACAACCCTACAAGGCAGACAAGGTAGAGTACGAGGGCAGCAATGGGGTCAGAGAGGCCAGGTTGACAAAGACCACCGCGGGAGAATCGCTCGGTTAACGTCTCGGTCCATGCCGCTGTCGATTGGCGCAAACACTAGCAGAGGATAAGGGTAGTGCCATTGTTGGACCATGAAAGGCGGCAGTCCACGCAGGACTTGGCACTACTGCTAGGTTGAGCATGAAGAAGTTTACACATTCGTACATACTTTTCAAGCAACCCTCTCCGCAGGACAGGACAGGACAGGAACATGAGGGGCCCCCTGCAGCCCGATTATGCAGCTTCTCTCCACAATGATATCAGATTCTGTTGGTCCATCCATGTTTTCTCATGTCGCCACTTTCTGACTTTGGGATGGTCGCATGCATGTGCTGTCTACGGCGAGGAAGCGGTGAGAAGGTGGATTTTTTTCCTTTTTTTCTTTTTTTTGATGGCTTTGCATTCCAAGTGCAGTTGTGTTATCTTGAGTTTGGAAACAACACTGGCTGGTGATGGCGATAGGTATCAGCTCCTGAAGGAAACAATGCGAGATTTCGGAGGCGGGGCTTTACATCGCCCACGCCCGCTTACAAGGTAGAGATGTGACATTGGCGATGGGTCGTCAGCCGCGTGGCAGGCTCGTTATGCTGGAAGATCACCTGCACGATACATCGGAATCCTCTCCAATGCATTGCATTTCTAATTGCTAAATGCAGCAATTGAGCTGGGGCTGATGCTTACGGTTCGTACGAGTTGTACGACTGCCAGCCGGCAATCTGTTGCGCTGATGCTTGAACCTTGCTGGTTGCCAGGATTCAGAGAGAAGGCTCTTGTACAACAGACAGACAAGCTATGACATGTGAGAGAATAAGGCAGAGAAAAGCAGCAGCCGTATCTATGAATATGGGGTCACTTCTGAGAGCTTTCCCATATAAAACTTAGGTAATGCGACTTGCACCCCGGCCAATGACATGATTAGAGCATCTCTTCCCTGCCATGTGCACTTGGCTGGACGAGTGACAGGGCGTTTCTGGTCAAGGCCGGGATCTGATTGGATGTTATTCAGCTTTTGCTAGCACTTGTACAGGCCCAGCCTACCTGAGGTGGGTAGTCACCCCCGACGCGAACCCAATCCGGCCGTGCCGAGGCTGAATCAAGCCAAAGGTGCAGAGGCAATACCGCATCGTGCCGCGCTTCGCGGCATTTGGACGGGCAGACAAGCCTGCGCTAAAAGACTAAAAGCCAATTGTGGAGAGAGCGCAAAAGACTCGGTTGCCATGACCCCGTATTCGCTGGTGGAAAGCGACTACACGCATCGAGTATAGCCTCAGAACGACAGAAACGTGCCGAGTGCTCGTCGTGAAGGCCTCATCTCGAAATCTTCACCGTTGAGATATCCCGTACGCTCTGGCCAAACGGCTAATCTGCTGTTAGTCGGCATGGCCTCTCAAGCTAGCGGCGGACCGTGCCATTGGTCTGTCTGTTGGCCTAGACGGCATTTGGTGTTGTTAATGCAGCTCCCGCACAGCTGACCCCGGCATGGGGAAGCGCAGCAAGGGCTCATGTCCAAGCCCAATGTTACCGCGGAAATGACACGACCCCTTCCATGGCTGTTATAAGTGCCGCTGCAATCGAGATTACCCAAAAAAATTGGGTTGCTTACCTTCCATCCCGTGCGAAGGTAACCTTTTTGAAAGTTCTCAAGCATCCTTCGCATGTCAATCATGGCCCCGCCCGAGGTTGCGACGACGATTCGGTACCGCCCACTGGATCGGTCCGGAAACGAGGTGCGCCTGCTCGAGCTGCAGCCGCCGACGACCAACGACATCAGCGAGCGCGTCGTGTGCCGCCTGGTGCACGAGAAGCTAAGTGATGCGTCAAACTTCATCGGCCTCTCGGCCCTATACGGCGACATCAACGCCACCGAGACGATCTTGCTCAACGGCGCCAGCATCACCATCCCGAGCCACCTCGCCCAGGCGCTGCAGTACATGCGAGTCGTCTTCCTGGCGGCGTCGCTGCCGACTCCAGATGCCTCGACCACTGATCTCCCGGGCCCGGGCTCGATGCCACCGCCGCCGCTGCCCACGCCGCCCAAGAAGGCCCCTGGCTGGCTGCGGTCTCTCCTGAAGGGCGTTCGACAGATGCTCGCCGAACCGGGCGTGCCCAAGGGCTCACCGCCTCTGCGCATATGGCTCGATCTCCTGTGCATCAACCCGCGCGACGCGCGTGAGGAGGCCGAGCGGCGGGCACACATGGCGAAGGCGTACCACCACGCCAAGATGGTCGTCGGCTGGCTGGGCGAGAAGGACCCGACGTCTGATCTCGCCATTGAGATCATCAAGGCCTGGGACAAGGTGATGCCGCGCACCTTTGGCGAGCCGGGCGACCGCGAGGCCCATCCTGAGAATTATGCCCCTTTTATGAAGTGGATGGCCCCCGTGGCGCACCTAAGCGACATCCCCGAGGGCATCAAAGACCCTCGCGACGTGCCGGCCTACGTGGCAATCTCTGGATTTTTAAACCGACCCTACTTTCGCAACTCTTGGATCCTCGACGACATGTCCAAGGCGCGCTTCCCGGCCTTTCTGCTGGGCGACGACATTGTGTCCTGGATGCAGATCTTGCGGCTCAACCGCGCCAACGAGGAGATTCGCGATAATGGCGCCGAAATGTTCCCCGACGAACTTCGCCCGCTGCTGGAATATCTGCCGCTGGGCAGCGTGTACGCCTTCTTGAAGGACTTTGATAACCGGCAGAGGATGGAGGGCGGTACGCCGGCGATGCTTACCGCCACGAGCTCTATTAGAAGTTCGTCTTCCATGACGGGCATACGGACAAGGTCAAGGCAATAAAACGACAAGAAGCAAAAAAAAAAAAAGTTTCTATCGCTGTCTTGGTTTTTTTTTCTTTTTGAATGCCCTTTTCTTCTGTTTTGGGACATCTTTTGTTGCGGTATCATTAAACAAAGGCGTGAGAAAGTTGGAAAGAATTTTTTTGTTTGTTTTTGAGAATGATATCATCTGAGTTTTTATTTATATATAAAGGGAATGCTAAATGGGGCTTTATCTTTCTTTTCTTTTTAACTACACTCTTCATCTATCTATAATAACGCGAGATAGTCTTTCTTCAGCGAGTTGTTTTTGTCTCTGTTATTGTTAATTTTGTATCGATTGTCTTTTTTTTTTTTTTTTTTGTTATGCAGGGAGGAATAGGGGTACGATTATGATCTGCGATATACTAGTGGCTTCTAGATTTTTCAGTCCGTGTAAGCGCGCCGCGAGGCATACGCGTGTCATTTCAATATGATGAGCTTTTCTGAACGTTTCTTGCTGTGTAATACATTCGATTAAAGGACGAGCCTAATTGGTAGTATGTACATGATTGACTTGCATGCCCGTAATACGTGTACTCATCCCGCGCGGGAAGTCTTTTGTCTCGCGTTTTCGAGGAATTGCCATATTTGGCAAGTAAATTGTTCCTATTGCCCGAACGCGGGAAATTAAACGAATGCTTAGTCACCAAGGGTACCGGACAGGCGGTACGGGGCAGGGCGCTATGCGGTAGCGCTGTTATGCGGTGGCGCCTTTGGGAATTGGCATAGGGGGGGCGATATAGTTCTATGCTTGGCGTATAGTAAGTTGCTAGTACTTCCTTATAAGGTTCATGTTCTTCTAGAAGTGGACTATAAGCCTTCTTGTCAGAGGCACTGGAAGATCCACGCCGGTGACTCAACTACCTGGAAAAGTGGCACGGTGGCTGTAAAAGGAGGGAAAAAAAACTTGTTATACGTTTGCGGACTGTTTGTAAAGTTACACATTACGCCAACTACATTAAATACGGCATGTTAATACGAATAGCAGTATGTTCAAATCTTACATTAAATCCCTCCCTTTTCATAGAAAGTTCTTCTTTTCTTCTTTTTATTCATTTTACGCCCAGTCTTCTAGCTGATGAGGCTGGAGCCTTACGCTGCTCTAGCATATCCCGTTCAACTATTCGAAGCCCACTGCTCGCTATCCATATGGCAATGGAGCTAAACTCCCACCAGTTAAGACTAGCCAAGGATTTTGGTCGTCCTTATAGCGATATCACACGAGAGGAGAAGCTTTTATACCTCCGACGGATTCTAGAAATCGACCATCGCGGCCTTATGTTTGTCTATTCTGCTTGGCGCACTTACGAGCCTCTCATCGACCAGCCTTTGCCTGCTATGCAAAAATACGACTTTGCTGACATATGTAACAAGACGGTTCCGATTTATTTTTTTAGATACCATTGTCGATTCGCAGGCACTATTTTCAACTATATATATCGACGATGGTTCAAGCCCTTTCAGAACGAGATTGAACACGGACGTTTTTTGACTAAATATATTGCTCCAATACATGCAAAAGATCGTTCTCAGCAAATCCTGGCCTCTGTAGAATGTTTTATCGCTCTACACAAGGCCGTCTGCACAGAAGTTTATGCACGACGCGAAGAGTACACGGCGGCGATCGCCTCAAAACCGAATCACATGAATATTTTTGAAGACCCCCGGAATTATGTTCTCCAGCCACCATTTGAAGCTCTGATTCTCATCATAAATCCCGAACATTGGACTGGAGAAGACTCAACTGCAATAGGAAAGCTTCCCGTTACTATGGCGCGCACTGGAGTGGAAACTGGACTGAGCTCGCCTATCACGTTCGAGTCAATCGTTGATAAGATTGACGAGTATATTGGTGAAAATGCAGTGAAAACAACATTGGAGACTGCCATTACTTTCGTGATGGAACTGGAAGCTCGCGAAACAAAGGTATTTGGTCTTCAACCCGACCCCGTTACCTCATGGGATCCAGATTATTCTTGTCTCCAATGGCGAGATATTATGCCGTATGACCAGCTGATTGGGCCTTCTACTCGGTTTGTGGATGTTGAAAATATCCCACGGAGCTTGCAGCAGCTGCAACGAAACGGTAGAGACTGGGATGAACAATATGCAGACGTTGAGGAACGAGAGGCTCGGCAATATATTGAATGGATGTGCTGAATGGAGTTTGAAGCAGCTGTCTATCAACTAGCAAGCTCAGAACTCTTACATAGGTACACATATTTAACACTTTCTGGACCGAAGCTAGAAGATCTTGATGTTCTATACTCATGTCTTTTGGATAGTATGGGATTTATGAGTTGGAAAGGATTGCAGATTACAGATCCTTGATGTGGCAGCAAACAGCTTGCAACATTTTGCGAGACATGGAAATCTATGTCCCAGATAAAAAATTTTGTTAGTATAGGCATCAGGCCTATAGATCGTTGGAAGTATACCCTTGTAATTCAACTGGTCAACTGCAGATTATATTTTGGACGTGCCCAAGGTCTCATATATAGCCGAAGCTAGTGTCTCCGGTGCAGACGAGCGAGAAAGCTTGTTCAAATGCCGCCGTTCCTTTCTGGATAACGGTCGATCCGGCGGGGGGAGGGATGGTGGAGGCGACTGCTGAGGAGGAGGGGGGACCTCGTCCAGGATCCAACAAAACGCCGGCAGCCCGCCAAGGGCAACGATGTGGGCGCGAGAAATGCAATGTTTTTCCGTCCAAACATGTCTGGGTAATCACCCAATATCCTCGCCGGGCCTTTCCCATGGACTGTGCCCAAAAGGGCAAAAAACTGATCTTCCCCGGTCGCAAGGTTGATTTCTCTCGGCTGGTTCCCTTGAATGGCCCTGATAACATGGCCGGTAATCTAAGGAAATTCATTATTATTATGAAAACCTAGGTAGCTGCTTAGACTTGAGAATACATACAGGATTTGGGATAGTGATACGCCAAATTGCCTGAAGGCTGCGCAAGTCTCCGTGGTGGCCTCGAAAAAAACATTGTGCCATCAAATCGGACCAAAACATTCTGTTCGGAGAGCCTGCTTTCGCCAACTCTAATGACGTAATTATTCAAGCGAAGAATGACTTTGCCATCTTTGTGTACGTAGTTCTGGTACGGCGTCTCGGGACTTGTCGATCCAGAATTGGCGGCTTGGACAAATATACAATCTTTACTTGGATGGCCGGCTTTCTGCGTATCGGCTTGTATCTTTTTTGATGGCTTACATGGCTCCGAAGGAAGATCTAAGCCCAAAGGATTAAGCAGAAAGTGACTGAACTGGAAAATATGAGGATGATGATGATGGAAAACTTGACCAGAAGCGAGCTGAGGAGGAAACGGCTAAGCGTAGCAGCAGTAGCAGCAGTAGCAGTAGTAGCAGTAGTAGCAGTAGTAGCAGTAGTAGCAGTAGTAGCAGTAGTAGCAGTAGTAGCAGTAGTAGCAGTAGTAGCATTTTTAGGTGTCTGTCTCGTTTAGAAAATAATTTATTACGCTTCTGGTTCCTCCTCATCTTAGGCAACTTTATTGAATTCACCTCTATATTTTCTTCCTCCTTAGTGTCTTTCTTGTATAGTTCCTTGTTGGCATTTAGTAGTACCGACCTCCCCATTATTGTCAATCTTATTACAGTCGTTCTAAATCTCTATTTTTCCATTATCAATCTTACTAATTCATCCTTCTCGCCACTGTGGGAGACCATTTCCTTGAATATTCCACCCTCTATTTCCAGTAGCTCCTTAGGAGTGCCGAATTCCGCATCGACACCATCTTTAAGCACCAATATCCGGTCGAAATCGACCACTGTACTCAGGCGATGCGCGATAACTAACAGCGTCGAGTCGGAAAATTCTTGACGTATCGACTGCTGGATCAGTCTATCAGTCTCCATATCCACAGCCGAAGTCGCCTCGTCCAACAGCAAGACCTTTGGACGTGAAAGAATTGCACGTGCAATGCAAAGCAGCTGCTTCTGGCCGTGTGAAAGGTTGGAACCGCCAGATGCAACGGGAGAGGACAGTGTCAAAGAAGAATTCGTGTCTGAACTGATGGTGGCACTGGAAGATGGAATTACATCCTCGCTATTTGATTCGCCAACTGGCGTGCCAGGGCTCGAAGGAACGAGATGGGATCGCACCAAGGCTTTCTGGAGTTCATATTCGGTGAACTGGTTAAAAGGGTCGAGATTCGAGCGAATGGTGCCCGAGAAGAGGAAAGGATCTTGTGGGATGATGGCCAGGCGCGTACGCAAGTCGGAGAGCTTGATTTTGGAAATATCAATGCCGTCAATCGTAATGCTGCCTGATCGAGTGTGAAGGAAGCGGAAAAGGGCGAGCGACAAGGTGGATTTTCCTGGTTCATGTTAGCATAGGCTACTTGCTTTGTGGATGCATATAAATAAGACTTACCTCCACCTGTTCTGCCGACGATTCCAATTCTTTGGTTCCTTTCGGCAGTAAAGCTCAACCCCTTGAGAACAGAGGGCAAGCCTTCGGCATATCCAACTTCCAGCTTCTCGACTTCTATCCTTCCTTCTTCAGGCCAACTTGCCCGCACATCCTCACCACCCTGTTCTTCAATTTCCAGATCTGTGTACTCAAAGATTCGCTCAGTTGCGTTCATATCAAGCTCGGTTTGAGTGGAAACAGAGATACCCCAGTTGATATAGTGGCCAAAGCTCAGCGCAAATGAGAGGACAAAACCGGCCAAACTAGCATCAATCTTTGGCGTGGTAACAACGAGAACACCAACGACGGCAGAAAACATGGAAGCTGTAATGCCGATGCGAATCATAAGCCACATTCGGAAAGCCGAGATATACCAGGTGCAAGCTGCCCAGTCGTCGATAAGGGTGAACATCCTGCCGGTGAATTCGGATGACTTGGAGAATGCCCGGATGGTTGACAGACCGCTGAGAGAGGATGCGAAATGCGATATGACTGGGGACTTGTTGGTAGACTCGAGTCTCTTGATAGTTCGTGCTGCAGCCATGTACTTTTGAGCGTAGAGAGCGCAGATTGCTAGGAGGATAATCGCAATAATGATCATGTATGCCGAAACAAAGACACCAGCCACCAAAACACCGACAATGTCCCACATTACATTGGCAAAATAGTAAAAGTTAGTAGCCAATGAAGCGTCCATGCTCGTGAAGTCTCCTGTGAATCTGTTTAGGATTCTTCCCGTAGGCACAGTATCCAGCCATCGAAGTGGTGCTCGGAGTACACTGCGCAATATGCCCTGGAAGATTCGTCGTGACGCACGGAGTGAGCCGAGATAGACACAGTACAGACGGCTAACAGAAACAATCACCGATACGAGCGATATAGCGCAATAGATTCCTAGATAGAACCAAAGGCTTCTGATTTGGGCCTCTGATTGAATACCTGCAGTTGCATCTGTTGAGTTGAAGTAGCTTGCTGGTCGAGCAAACAGCTGTGTCTGCAGTCTCTCCTGGTAATGATATGACACGTGCGGTGAGAAAGTAGTAGCAGCGGCTTCTTCGTGATCACCAGCCCAGACTTTGATCCAATAGGTGCGACCAAGTGTGAAACTTTGAGCCAAGGCATATAGCAGCACAAGAAAAGCGCCAAGAGTATATCCGCTGAACGATTTGAGGTAGCCAACATAGACAGCCGTTTTGACTCTTCCAGTCTCTCGTTTCTCGTCCTCGACAAGCTTCTTGGGTGCCTTCTTAGCGGGCGCAGGAGTCTCTGAAGGTTGACCGTTTGTCTTCACTATCGCTGCATCGATATCTTCCTGTTCGTCTTCGGGCTCCGCGGCATCATTGGCTTCGATGATTTGGTTCAAGACCTTGGTGCGTCGCAGTTCCTCCACTAACCCTGCATGTTCGACAAGTCCAGAGGCTGAGAGATGAACAGCGTAATCCGCACGCGGTAGGCAGAGCGAAGTGTGGTGAGTAACCAGGATTCGAGTTCTTCCTTTTGCAAGATCACCCAAGAGAGCATTCGCAAAGACGTCCTTTCCAACGTGCGCATCGAGAGCACTGAACACATCGTCGATGATCATGATGCCCGCTCTGGAGTATAAAGCTCGTGCCAACGTCAATCGCCATTTCTGTCCACCACTGAGTGTGATTCCTTGAGCTCCGACTTCGGTTTCGTCGCCATCTTCGAATAGAGAGAGGTCTTGGGCAAGAGCGCAAGCTTCAAGAACCTTTTGATATCTAACAGGGTCAAACGGAAGGCCAAAAAGCACATTACCCTTAATGGTAGCATTCTCAATCCATGGAGTTTGGGAGATGAAGCAGATTGCGTCGGGGATGATCCAGTTGGCGGGAGTTGCTTTACTGTCGAATCGCTGCTCTGGAGGAGGCGCTTTCGGAACCTGTATATAGCCACCGAGAACTTCAGCTTCGCCGAGAATCGCAGCCAAGAGCAGGGACTTTCCAGATCCAGTAGGTCCCGAAATTACGCTTAGACCACTGCTGGGGAAATTTAGGTTGAGCTTTCGCAGAGCAAACTGGTCCTCCGACGGGCCATCCGAGCCAAAAGGAAAGGTGATGGTAGCGTTGCTGAACGATATCGCAGCGCCTGGGTGAACGTTGTCGGCTTTATCAGGCATGCGGAAGAACTTGTCAATTCTGTCGCAGCTGACTTTGGCATTGATAGCTGTAACCAACAACAGCGGGATGTGCTCCACGATGCCTTCAAGAATTCTGAAGAGCGTAATCGCCGTGAAGGCAACCGAAGGTAACAGGATCCCGTTGATGTACGAGTACGTCGCCAAAGACAAAGCAGTTATAACGATAGGTGTGAGTTCTGAAGCAAAGGCCATGTAAATGTTGTCGAGTCGCGTCTTCCAAAGCATTGAAAGCTCTTTTTCACGCACACTCTCGATCTTCTCCGTCCATTGGGTTTCAATCGCAGAAAACTTGATCTGTCGAATTCCGCTCAGAGCTTCTGTAGTGACAGCGGCTCTCTCATCGCGAAGTTTCATTAGAACTTTCTGGTTTTTGCCGTAGACCGCTGCGAGAGCTTTATTGATGGGGAAGAGGATCAATATTCCTAGCATTCCTGCAGCCAGACTTTGCCAACCGACAAGATGGAGTAGAAACGCAACGATTATAATGAATTGTCCTGCACAATTTACGTACTGTGCGCTTTGGGATCCGAATCTCGCAATGGCATCACAGTCGACTGAGAACATGTTGACGATATCCTGCTGGGATTTTGAAGTTGGCTGGCCGTCTTGTTCCTCTGTATCGTCGGATTCCTCAGCGCTTGCCTCCGAAGACTCCTGAAACACACGATTAGCTTGGATTATAATTCATCCTTGTATGCGTTGTATTTCAGGAATAGGGTTGTCATGCTCTGTTAGATGACGGAGTCCTCTCTTACCTTCTTGGGAACATGAAGTGAGTCCTCGATCCTCATCAGCTTTTCGTACATCAGCCCGGTCAAAGTTGATCTCAGAGGAATAACCATATCTAAGCAAAGGTCAATAACAGCTCTAAGAAATCGACAGAAAAGACCAGAAAGATCTCTTACCAGCCATCTCCGACCACATGACTCTGGAGTCGACTAAGCGTGAACTAATTGTAGCGATGACAATAGCAGCTACCCATTTCCACGCAACCGGGTCAATAACTCCACTGTCGCTGCGCGTCTCCAGGTATCGAAGCAGCTGTAAATTCGCAAAGGCGGGGGCAACATCGAAAAAGTTTGTGAAGAGAATCATGGACCACTGGTAAAGGAATGTCCATCGATACTTCCAAGTAATGTGCGCCCACAGAGGAAGCTTATCTGCCCGGAAAATTATCCGCTTAAAGTCTGCCGTGGAGTTTTCCGATCTCGTAACGTGGTCCATGGACGGCATGTCTGAGTTCTCAAACTTCTCTGTGCCAGCGGCGTTGAGCATTCCCAAGCTCCAGCTGAAGCTGTATCTCTCCCAGAGAGTGCCTGTAAACAGCGAATCGACAACTTTTCCATTTGGACGGAAGACCTCTGGACGTCTTCGGATTAACCAGACCGTTGCAAACAAAGCCAGTGATGCGGCAATTTGGATTCCCTCTAAAATTGCAGTAACAAAAAGTCCATCGCGGTAGCCGTAGTTGAGGCCGTTGACTTCATATAGATTCAAAGATGCTATAGCAGTAATTGACACACATGAATAGAGACTTGAAGCAGCGGTGTTGAACCTCGCCACTGGTGCAACTTCTCTGGAAGCGACTACAAATTGCAAAAGCATAAGAATCTAGAGGGTATCAGCTTCAAGCTTAAAATGTGCTACCCGTTGCGACTTACCCAGGCAGGCACCAGTAAAGTTATCCCCAAAAGGGGCACTGCTGAACGTGAAAAGTCGAATCCTTGCTGGACAGCTGTGAAAATTGCATCTGCAACCGAAACTGCAACTGCTAGCAGAGTGATGATGAAAATCGCGATAAACTGGCGCTTGTTCGAAAACCGAGCCGCTGATTCTTCACTCGCCACTCCATCATCGTCTTCGTATGTGATGCCATCTTGGTTCAGATTCTTGGCGTTTCGGTTGCCAGTTACAAGCTTTCGAATAAACGGAATAGACAGCAGTGCGATCAAAATCGCCAAGCCCGAGGCCCAATAGTCTGGCTGGTAAAGCGATCCCATCGCGTACCCAGTTGTTTGCCTCGCAGCCTCGCGATTTGCAAAGACTACTCACTGGAGTTGACAACAGGAATGGCTTGGCATTGAGATCTTTAAACCAAAGAACGAACGAATTGATAAGTCGGGAATAGAGGCGTAATAGCGGGACCCAGTGCCACGCGCCCGCTAAGAGTTCGCCGTCGGTGTGTGAGTCAATGGGGCCAATCTAGCTGAATGAGGAAGGGACTTTTGTGAGCCTGGTTCCTCCAATCGTTAGCCCCTTGCTGCCTGGGGCTCTTTATGGAGTGAATGATCCTGCTAATGGTCCTAATTCGGGGTATTATTGCTCCTGCATTACGGATATAGTAGTAGGTATTCCCTACATGTGGAAATCTCACCTGTTAATCTGCTTCGTGATCCATAGCGATACGGGAATGAAAGTCGAGCGGTCCATGATTCAAGCAAGTGTGACTACAAGGTGGGCTTCCCCGGACCTAGTAAAGGAGGCCCAAGCGTTAGCGAAGATACGATTATAAAGCGAGGCATTACTTTGCTATCTACGGACTATCAACCCTAGTGATTCATCAACTTGTGGCTCTGCCAATCGGACCGCGACGCTTATACGGGCTCTAATTGGAGGCGAGGAACTCCGCGAGTTACCGCCTAGACGGTTCCGAGTAGCAGTCAGTGCTAATGCTCCCGAGTCTTCGTTTTCCTCGCTTTCCTAAATAGGCAATCGGCTTAATCTGTTACCAAGCGCTTGGATCTGATACGTGACTCAGCGCGCAGCTTACATGTGATTCTGCTTTATCAGGGGCATCAGTAGCATCAGTGACTCACGCTATAGCTGGAATGCTCGATAACGAGATTGGGGTGCTGGATTACTTTCCCCTAGATTTCTTCATACAGAGAGCGTAGACGAACTGCCATTAGGTCAGATCTTGGATCGGCTCTTCTTGCTTCGAACCCAACGGGAAAGTACTTTCCAATTGTCCATACAATCTGCGCAATGATCCAGGATTTCTTTTTAGTAACCATTGAAAGATCTCGCAGAGAGTATTTGGAATGGCTGGCTAGTATCATGTTGGTCAAAACCGAATGTACCAGTGATTGAAATGCCACTATAGCATTCATCTACCTGATCACTTGATATTGAATCGCTTTGTTTAGTACTAATGTTGCATGCGATTGAAAGCATCTCGCTAATTGTTGTTCACAACAGATGTAGTACGCAGCTCCTGCGGTGGACCAACTTCTTTGAAGGCTGCCTGTGCAATGGCGAGCCCGCTGTGTACGGCTCGCCTCGAACTACGGTCTAGGAAGATACGAAAGTGCTTTTGATCACAAAAATAGCAAATCCTAGTGTACAGAGTATTTGATTAGATGCCACTATAACGCTAATCGGGCAACTGGTGATCAGTAGAAGTGCGACCTAAATGCCTGTGACAGAGCTCTCTAGGACCTTGTGCCGCAACCAACTTGTGCCATCTTCTTCCTGAGCAGCAGATGTCTGGTGTCTTTAAGTATTGGCGACAAGATTGCCCATGGTTCGCTCCATCAGTGTTTCCCTCTCTTTTGATCGCTTGGTACAGGTCCTTGAATACTGGGTTGGCGGACCGACTACGATGCTGTGATTATAAGGTATATGTAAAGAGATACTTTTTGTATTTCATTTTAGTTGTATCCCCTCTCATTTCCTATTTGAACCCAACTGTTACCGAAATTGGTGGCGGTGGATCCACTTCTCCTGGCGGCGTATCTAGGTATATCGCGGGAGCGGTGCATCTGGAGCTTTACTCGGCGGCTTATCATCTGATGGCGCAAGCGGCATCAACAGTAACTGAACTAAAGGGCTAGCATGTCATACAGACAGGTGAAAGATATGCTGTAGCAACATCGTTATGACGAAGAAAGCTTTCGGATCTGGCGGATGCACTTGCGGCGTAATGAGATTCTCCTTCTCATTGTCTTAAGAGAGTGTTATTATAAGATGGACGATATGCGCACAATTGACATCAACATTCTACTGGTATAAATCTCCAAACTCTAGTTCCGATTACAGCCTCTACTCTCGACAAAACCTGCCCTTGAACAATATCAGTCGCCTTCAAAGACCCAGCAATAGGACCGAAAATGCATCTCGTGACTGATTTCGCGGTGAAGGAGAAGTATACATACCATGAAGGATTTGGAAATCACTCTAGGTGAGTTAAACATCAGTCGGGTAGCGGGAAAAGATACAATTCCTGACCCTTCTATCATAGATCCGAAGCAGTTCTCGGTGCGGTTCCGGTACCAGATGCCCACGCACAATGTCCTCCTCTGGGATTGCGTACAGAGAAAATGTCTGGCACGTCGATGGTAGGCCCGTGGGCACATAACCTATATTCATACATGTATCGAGTCTAAGCCTCCTATATCCACTAGCAATTCACCGCGTGGAATCACAATCTTGAATACGGCAATCCACCACCGGCGACCAACCTTGATCCAAATTCTATCACTTGGGCATCGTTCCCGTGGCAGGCCAAGGGAGATTGGTTAGCCTAGCGCCTGGTGGGACGTAATGGTGACCCGCAGCAGAAAAAGGGCCTCGTCATCTGGCTTTTTAATGTACACAAAAATATGGATGAGCAAACAGTCTTCAGCAGTCTGGAAGGCGAAGCTCTCGTTGTTCCGCAGTCCGGAGCCCTCGATATCACGACTGAACTTGGCAAGATTCTGGTGAGGCAGAACGAAATAACGGTAATTCCACGCGGTATCAAATACCGTGTGACGCTGCCAGAAGGGAAGCCATGCCGAGGGTATATGTGCGAACTCTTTCAGGGACATTTCCGACTCCCTGAGCTTGGCGTCATTGGAACGACTGGTCTGGCCACCTCTTACGACTTTCACATTCCGAAAGCATCATTCTAAGGTGGAGTGGAACAGGGACCCACTGGAGAGCAGATTGCCGTTGCCAACAATAGATCAGGCGATTGGACCATCGTTTTCACGCCTAAACATCAAGTTATGGGGCTGTTCTCAACCCAGGACTCCTGTCAACGTCGTTGCCTGGCAAGGTACACTCTATCCGTACACATATGATCTGGCTCGCGTGGATACCATAGCCAACATCCGTTATGGCCACGCCGATCTCTCGGTGTTTGTTGTGTTGACGGTTCCTTCATTCGGAAAAGCGCCTGGCACTGCCGTCGTTGACTTTGCGTGTGTTGGGCCTCACTGGCAAATGGTAGAAAACACTTTTCCAGTACCATGGTACCATCGCAACGCCATGCAAGAGTTCGTTTTTGGCATCAATAACAACCAACGTGAAGACTCTCCGCTTAACCACCTTGAACCTGAATACGGTCCTGTGGCAGCTTTTCTCAACGGGGCGATGGCAACACACGGCCCCGGAGAGGAGCTTTACTAGGCGCTGAAAGCATCGGACACAAATAAGCCTTTGATGGTGCACGATGGCGGCTTCTCGTCTGGACTGTTTGAGTTTGAGTGCCCTCTTTTCTTGACCGATTGGGCTGCTGAGGCTGGAGAAAGGAACTCGAAGACTCAGTTGGAGGATATCTTTAAGGAGTATCAGAGTGAACGCAGTTGAGAATAGTGCGTTTGCTCAATTCCAAATTGTATAGAGAATTATGATAGTTTTGTTTACTTTGAAAAGACAACTCGAAATAGACATTTCTATAACTGCCTGTGTATTAGGAGCTTCATGCGAGCGATGGCGTAGATAACTCTAGTTTTTATGTCCATAAGTCAGACATTGTATTCCGTTCTTCCTCTTTCATAGCTGGTAGCACCTATAATCTGGCACGGGAGGCAATTAGAGGCGGGCATTTGTATGACGCAGTTGAATTCGGCTCTAGTTGAAATGAATATAGCCTGTGCGTCAGATGTTCAATATTTTAACATCTTGGAAACTATATCGCTATTCTATTTGAGATGATATGCTAGACTATGTTTTGCTACGCTTATGCGCGCTGTGATCATTTTACATACACAGTTGTTGCACAGACGCCCAGCTTACTAACTACCTCAACATTGCCTTGCAGCCTTCATTATTGCTTTTCTTTGGCCTCTTTTAGCTTTTCCAAGCCTCCAAACCCATTCAAATCTGTTTCAAAATCCGGGCGCTTCAGTTCCATAACCTGTGTAGTTCTGCCGTACATATTACCACCCAGTCTACTCATTGGACGTAATACCTGGTTATCAGTTAGCAAAATGATTCATTTCAGGTGAACAGGGTAAGAACTCATTCCAACCAATGGACAGAATGAATAAGAAAGCTGCAGATGAAGGGCTGGACAAGCAGACAAGGTGGGCAAATGGTGAGACAAACCGTAAGATCCAGATGGTTCTTATCTTCATTGATAGCATCTTCTCTCGCCCAGAAGTATGAAACCTCAAGCAATACAAGGCAACCCGATTTCTTTCCAGGGTGGCTACGACTGGTGAACTCGCGAACGCTCTCAAGACGAGCCTCGATACTAAAAATTGACTCCTTGACTCGTGCGCACGACACAGTGTGGCAGTCGTACACAGGAGTCAAGCCAGCAATATCCCATTCAGAGACCCCGTAAGGAGTATTGATGCTTGTGGCGTTTACAGCCTCGATGAAGCCTTCACTGACGACGTTGACGACGCACTCCCTCGCCTGGATGAGGTTGAGCAGCGTATCTTTGGCTTCTTTTAATGAGCTCGTCAATCCGACTGCTAAGATTGGCGGGTCTATGTTGACCATCTGGAAGAAGCTCATCGGCGCCAAATTTTCGACTGTGCCATCAGGAGACCGCGTCGAGATGAGCGCAATGGGCCGCGGAACGACTCCACTCACAAGAAGCCTGTAGTTGTCCATTGCCTTGCGGTCTGGGGCAAAAGGGTCAATGGCAACATGTTTAGCAGTCGCCGCAGAGGCCGAAGCTCGTGCGTGCGTGTGGTTGGCGCCAGAGCCAAAGGTCCAGCCGGGCTCGGGATTTTGGACAAAGGTCGAGGCGGTCTCATCCCATGGCGGCCGTGATGCTAAATCGGATTTTTGTGTCTTGGGTCCATTGACGGCCTCAGTGGGTCGAGACTCGGCACTCATTGTGTAGAGATACTTGGGTGGATTAAAGGAAGAGATACGACCAAGACTTGCAATGTCACTTTTCTCAAGGTCTTGAAGTAAACAAAAGCTCAGTAGCGGATTTATATTCATCTAAAAGACATATTATTAAGCCTCTGTTACTCAGTAATTACTACGCAGCACTAATAACAAGAAAAAGTGGGGTTTTTGCTAGGTACTCCTGGTAATTTCCAAGTTACAAAAGTGCTGTTATAAAAATTGAATTATGGTTAAGCTTAGCACTATTAAGTCCTCAGAATCCCCAGACAATAACTCTGGAGATACCGAGTCAATCAATAGGGACGTCACCGGAAGGAAGCCAAGGAATCTGAACAGTGACGGTAATAAAATGTTTGTGTTATTACTTATAAAACTGCCCTTTTCATTTCGTCCATTTCACAAGTATTCTGCGCTAGAAATAGGGAAGAGGGCGGCCAGTGTACGTGAACGGGGACTAGATGCGAGTCACTCTATTTTTTTTCTAGATTATATTCCACCAATTCAAACATTAAGTTAAACATTGCTATTTAAAAAAGAAATATCAAGATTAAAATTACATAAAATAATTTTCGTATACATTTAATTATCTGGAGTATAATCCTTAATCGACATTCCCCGACCATCTAGCTTTTGCAGCTTATAAAAATTTTTAATATCCGTAATGTCACTTTGTTGCACTTGTGGGGGGAATTCATAACTCATTACTGAGTTCATATTTCTAGAACCATAAACCACTGCGCCGCCTTCGTAGCGGTCTGGATCTAGTGCAAACTCATGGCGCAGGCCAAGAGTATGTCCAAGCTCGTGCAAAAAGATATTTTTGAGTATATTGCGATACTTAGCCTCACACAACGCTGGCTTGTGTACGAACAGCGTATTCAATGGCTGTGAGTTGGGGAAAAATGCCGACGCTAGAACGGTTCCTTTATCGCCGCCATACTCTAGCACGAATGCAGCATCTTCGAGCTGGCTTACCCAAGCAAATTGAACACCTAGATCATAGCTGTTCCACTGCTGCGCCGCCTCCCAGAGACGTAGGGCCGCGTACTTTGCATCCCCCGGTTGAGGGTATCCTCCTGCATATGCGGCAAAGTTAACAGTCGATCCGTATTGCCAGCGCGGGATCTCTGTGAAAAGACCCACGAGTATAGACGCCACAGAGCTAGGGTCGAATCTCTCAGTTATGCAGTCGTAATGGTTATCGTAACCAACAGTGCCAGTGTCAAGCTCCTTAGGACCAGTAGCTTCACCCTGAAGAACCTCTTGAGGGTTAAGAACTTCAACATTTCTATCACGGAACTTTTTCTGGATAATTTCCACAGCAGCACATCGCTGGGACTTTTTAGATTGGGTGGTGTCAATGAGCGGTTGGTTGCTGCCCATAGTGAGAGGTTGAATGGTTTCTCTGGTGTTTGCTTGTGAAGATGGTAATACTTCCTCCGATGAATATGTTGGAGGCTTGGCAATGGTTCCACACCAGTCTATTGGCGTCTTTGGATCCGTACTGATATTTGTGAGTTTAATTCGAGCCTTGATAGAGGGAAGCAAGCTTAAGAACTGTCAGGTAATGAACTTTTGCGTATGAAGGTCTCGTATTTATAATCAAAATCTTTAGAGAGATACTAGTATTAAATAGGACATGCACTTCTTCGGCAACCAATTAATAATTGCAGCCAGCTGATACTAACGAGAGAATATCAAGGATGTAACTATGCTGTCATTTACATTCTTTATCATCATACTTACTACTCTTCTTTTATTAAAGCATTCAACATGGGGTATTATAGAGTGTCTAACGTTAAATAAAAACAAGAAAAGGTAAATATTAGTAAAAGATATACTTCCATAAATTACAATGATGTATTTGTGTTATCATTCAGAATTCCAAAGAGTATTTCTCTTGAGTAATAGTTAAATTATATTACATGAGATCAAACAACGCATTGTATTATTATTATTCATATTTCAGGCAGTATCTAAGTTTCAAATAGTATAAAGCATAATCACATAAAGTCCAAAGATATATTTGTGTTATATTGCATTCCAGGGAGCTTTTGAGTTTAATAAAAGTAAATTTATTAGGAAATATATTATATTTCAAGCATTTTATAGCACCTGATGTTACCAGCCCATATATAATTAGCTTTGGGACTATATTTATTACATGCCTATGTGTGTAAGAGACTGGCCCTATGGCGGCTGCGAATAGGCGTCTGTTATAATATTAATAAATCTAAAGAGGGAGTTTAGCTATTCTATCCTTATTATATATGTGTCTAATTAGGGTTACTACTAAGCTCTTATCGGGCCCTATCCGGGCCCGATCCAGGCCCGGGTCGGAGTGTAAATAAGACCTTATTATTGCTTGTTTGGGCGCAGCCCCAATCCATAACAACTTGTTATTAATAAAACGCTTATCCCCTCTTAATATGTGCTCTTGCATCCACTAAGAATATCTTTCCGCATGTGGAATAAGCCTCTGCTGCAGGATCCAATACTTTTTTTTAGTCGCGAGACAGTACAGTAAAAAACCTTACCAGTTAGTAAGACTTAGTATATCGTACAGCAATCTTGTTTCTATGTTAACAACTAGCTATCTAAGTTATTTAAATGAGCGTAGAGAAGTGACCTTATATATTCACTTGGAATATTTGGATTGTGGTGGCTTGTCAGGCTCGCTGGACGAGCTCATCGAGCGTTTGTTTGCAGGGGCTTTTATGTACTCGCCCTCCGATTAAGTAAGGCCTGTATGTAGAATTATATGCTCTTGATTATACAAAGTTAAAGGAATGCTTTTGAAAATTGATTTATTTAATATTTCTATAAAAATAAGTATGTATATGCCTTAAATGCAATGGAATGCTAGCAGCAACTAGTAGTAATTATTTTAGAAGTAAACTTAAGAAAACTTTATCCTTAGTATGAAAATCTATGTAACACTTTTTCTGTATTAGGTAGTAAGATATATTGCTTTACATTCTGTATAAAAAAGTTTACTTAGTAGCACTATCAAAATAAGTATAAGCTAAAAATGCAATGGAATGCTAGCAGCAACTAGTAGTAATTATTATAGAAGTAAACTTAAGAAAACTTTATCCTTAGTAAAAAAACCTAACACATTTTATCTATTGGGTAGTTAGATATATTGCTTTATATCCTATATTAAAAAGTTTATCTCAGCTATAGATTCCTAGCTCTCGAAGTCGCAAAGCAGAACATTTTCAATGAACTGATTACCGAATCTGATGCCACCGAAGTTCATGTCGGCACTCTCGAAAGGCAATTCTCCAAAGATCATGGTTTTAAATATGAGTGGAACGGCAATCAAACGAATTCGATCACTGGGCAACATGATCATGCCGACTTTGACGGCTTGCGCAGGTTTAAGAACTGGCAGGGTAACCGCAACTATCATTTTGTATTTGAGATTAACAAAACTCCAAAGAATTAAGTATCCATTTTCTTCGGATATTTTAAGTATACTAAATATAAAAAATAAAATATTTTTGCATTGACGATAGAGAATAATCATATCGGATTGTGATATCGCACTGATTGAGCTTTCTGGTCAATGGCAAACAGGTTGAGGCGGGACCGTGGAACTTGCCTTTCAAGAACTATTCGCAGATGGACATGGTCGGCTGGATCGTCAAACTGTCTAGAGTCTCCCTGCAGGGAGTATCCTATTCTAGAGTCAATAGGTATGTTCTGTTTACAAGATGTAGCGCACTCTTCCATGATAGAGAAAAGGCTGTTTGATTTGGACAAGCCGTCGCTATTGACCGCCGTCTCTACCAAATGAGCACCTAGATGCATCGTAATGATTCGATATGCCAAAGTGGAATGGTGGCGTGGTATCGAAAGAGATGCTCGTAGATCGTACACATTTGCTGGCAGAAAAGTCGATGGTTGTTGACGTCCTTTAAACCAGTCTTTATCGTCACAAGGAAGCTTTGTCTTGCATTTACCCCAGTTGATCATGCGAGGCCTGTATTTGGTCACACATATAAAATTCTCTAGATAAGCGACAGTCCACCAGGAGCGGCGTAGCTCCTCTTTCTTAATCGAAAGGCGAGAATGATGGAAGTTGATGCTGCCCGTGGTGGGAATCACCTCATCATCGCAGTCAACTTGATCCAGACCACAGTCATAGGCCAGTCGAACCGCAGTTGATACAGCAGAATAAGTTCGGCTGTTAAGGCCCATTCCCAGCTGCGCGAAACTAATAAGGACGGAAGCCTGAACGACTAGAATTGGCGGCCTCTGCATGTCGCCGCATTCAAGCTCCGCCTTGTCCACTTCTGAGGTCTGAAGCCCGAGGAGTCTGTGTGCCTGGCTCAGGAAGCCTCTTCCACGCTCCCACCGCTTTCGACTTTTGTAGACGGCGACGTCTTGAGTGTTGTAGCCATTTGAGGTTTGAGGTAGCAGTGACTGGTCAAAAAGGTCGACTTTGACAGGATGGTCGGAATATCTCGCCGCCAAAGAAAATGTGCTTGTGAGGATTAATGTCACATGCTCGTCAAATGCAAACGAGCCATTTTGGATCCAGCTGACAAAGCTCAGCTGATGAAGGAGCCGGATCTGCGGATGGACATAGTCTAAATAGCCCTTTACTAGATGAAAGATGAGTGCTTTCGGAGGAAGAACAGGCTTCTCTGCGGGGGGGGGGCGTCTCGCTAAATTGAAATGATTCGGTCTCAATTGCTGGCGTCAATCCTCTGTTCTCAAATGTGGATTCTAGGCTTAAAGAGTGCTCCTTAGGGAGGCAAGTCATAGAATCTTCTGAGGATAGTGATTGTGGCCCGGTGGCTTGGCTCGAAGTATTTGAAGACGAAAGAGGCCGAGTGGTTCCTATTGCCGCTTCTCATGAGGATGAATTCTCTTCGGATGGCTGTGAGTCGAAATGCAGCCAGTATAAAAGCGGAATAAACCCACCTACCTCGCAGTTCGGTACCTGCAGGCCTCTTTTATGTTTAAAACTTGTCTGCGCATCTTTATTTTGCGGTCCCCTTGCCCCGTAAGCACGCGATGCTGATCCGCCTTTGCATTGCAGAAAGCTTACACTTATGCCTTGGTTTGCATTATTGGCAGCATTCTTCACAATTGTGGTTACATGTACTTACGTGACTAAGTGTAATATTTGACTTGCTTCTATGTATAAGTGGCTGTCCAACAATGAAATACTGATTCGATAGGTTCAGTAATTCGATCATACGCTGTGTGCGCTTCAGATTTATCTATTCAGAAAATGATGGGCAGTTATTTTGAATAACAGGGCCATAGTAGAGCTCTCGATTCTTCAAGTAGCAACCGCTACTTGCATACAATGATTCAGTACTCCGTACATTTGGTGTGAAGCCGAGTTTAGCGTCAACTTAGGTTCATGACAGCTCATTCGAGGGTATATTATCCAAGGACCAAAAACGTCATCTTGTCTGATAGTAACGTAAAAAGGCTTGCTGCAACATATTCTCATGCTCGTAATTCGTCTCGCACGATTGGGTTAATTGACGCCGGGCGCGATATCGGCGCCTTGGCCTTGCTGAAGTATCAGTCTCTTGTAAAGCCTTAAGGTACGTTAAAGTCGCTCGGTAGAATCGCCAGATCCTTCTTATTTTAATGAGTGTGTGGTAGACATGGGACGCAGCAAAACGGCAAAAGCACCGCGCATATGTTGTGTGCATCTGCCGTACAAATTCAACTTCAGCCAACTTTAAATGATGGAAAGTGTCGAACGACGTTGCGATCCAAGACTTTAACAGGAGCAGGCTTTACTAAAAACTCATCAGCACCAACTTCCTCTGCCGTCGTCCTATCCGTTTGGCTATCTTGGCCAGTCACAATAAAGACAATGCTTTCCCCCCAATTGTTCTCTTTTTCCAGCTGTCGTATCTGCTGGGTCGCCTTGAAACCGTCGCACACCGGCATTTGGAGATCCATGAAGATCAGCTGAATCCATGTTCCTTCGCCATTGGCAGCCAATGACTGCTGCTTCGAAAAGGCTTCCACAGCTTGCAGGCCGTCAGTCGCGGAGCAGTAGGGAAGTCCTCGTTTGGTGCAGTACATTTGCAATATTCGGAGGTTGATGTTGTTATCGTCAACAAGCAGTGCCATGGGTTTGGAATTAGCGATTGACGAGGGGATCGAGGCGACGGAACCCGCTTTCACAGAAGTTTTCCCGCTACGATCAGATGGTGGCGTCAACAGACCATCATTACCAGTAGATGGGTTGGTTTTCTGTCTGTCGAAGAAAGACGGAAGCCTGTCTTCTGGCGGAGTGGGCATAGTTAGTTGAGACATATAGGCTTGTGAGGCTTTAACTTCCGAGAGATAGTCATCAGCGTCTTCAAGTGCCGAGCTCATCGTAGAAGTTACAAACGGCGCTGTGACGTAAAATATGTTCTTAGGATGTTGTTCCAAGCAAAAGCTCCCTTCCGAAGCTGGGACGAGGCAGATGGCAGCTTTTTCTGATGGGATCTGAGATACATGTGAACGGTGCTTTCCCAGTCCGGGCACATAGTCAAAAACCACAAAGCAGTCATCTAAGCTATCCGAAGATTTAAACCCATTCCTCGTCAAAAAGCGAGTGAAGTTGCTGCATAATGATGCACCGTCCAGGCCGGACGTCATGTTGTAGAATATGGAAGGCAAGGTCTTGAGTTTTTGAGCCAGCGGCTGCGATGGTGGTAAAGAAACACACTCCATTTCCCGAAAGGCTGCCGTAAAATGTGACCCGCGGTCGATTTCTGACCACACTAGACTGACAGAGCCGTGGAGCAGTGTTGCAAAATTGGAGGCGAGGGTCAAGCCTAAGCCGGCGCCCGATGAGTGCATTCCGACCTTTTCATAAGGCTCGAATATACGTTTTTGGTCATCTGGATGGATTCCACGGCCAGTATCCTCGACATCAACAACAAGCTGTTGGCGATCTGGCTGTAACGTTATGGTCACTGTGATGATGCCTTCCGAAGTGTTCTGTATGGCATTGATAATGAGCTGAAGCAAGCTATCACGAAGTAGACCGATATCGGTTCGGAAGCTGACGCAATCCAATTGGGAGTCATGGTTAAAGAAAACAGAGGCTCTGTAGCGAGTATCATCGGAAATCGCTTTGCGCATCTCGTTGGACAATTCTGTCTCGAGCTCGTACACGGTGTGCAAAGCGTACTGCCGCTCCTTCATGGCGATGTCGGCCCATCTGTTTAGCGTAATCATGTTGTTGACTATGGAAATCAAGTCTCGCCCCGATGACTTGATAGTATCCAGATAGATGATCGATTCTTCAGGTTCGCCCGGCGGCTTAATGTCTGGCAATGGCTCCATCTTTGTGCTCTCACGATGCTTTTGGGACGCAAGCTCTTCTGTTAGGAGATCTGCAGAGCCGAGAATTCCATGGATCGGGGTTCGAAGCTGGTGAGAAAATCCGCGGAGGAATTTTTCCTTTGCTTTCATTGCTTCGGTTAAGAGTCGCTTGTGCCATATCTGAGAGAGCATAGTTGCGCACGATTGGACAAACCAAGAGTCAACGTCGTCAAACACAAGCCGAAAGTCTTTAGATGCCACAACGAGTAGGGATGATCCCGACAAGGTCTCGCAAGGAGCAGCAATTGTACGCACCACCTTGTCTGATGGGAAAGGTTTTTGATTCGAGGTTTGGATAAAATCATCCAAGAAAATGGTATCCTCCCACAGGCCATCCTCAAGCTCAGATACGGGCACTGGTTCATGATTCTCAATCTCGACATGAGCGTCTTTGGATGATTGCACGGTAATTGTCGCATCTGGGTATATGGTCCTCAGTATCCGCAGAACTGGTTCCTCTAATCCTGTATTGTCCGCTTCGCTCTGTGCTGCAGAGAGAAGCTCTGAAATGCGGCGCCGTTCTCGCTGGCGCCTTGCTCTCGCTGACTGAACGATATCGGCGGCGACCCAGTCAGCCAGCCGAGCAAGCGTCTGCTGCTGAAGCTTGGTCAAAGGTTCTTGGGCCGTTTTAGAGCTCACAGTAACACTTCCAACATTGACGCGCTCCCCAGCTTCTATTTGCAGGCGAATTGGGGCTCCAGCATAGGCATGGAGTCCAGCAGCCTTAGCATACGGGCAGTCTCTGAATCTCCAGTCTTCCATCATATTAGGCAGTTGGAAAATATCCTAGACAGATCAGCAGTCGTCTACGTACCAAGTATTATCAACATACATGAGACTGAGTGATTGTGTGAGCACAAAGAGATTCTCCGCGTGGATGGATGGCTAAAGGAAGCCCGACAGCTGCTAGACGAATATAATAGTTAAGGTCTTGAATGCCAATGATGACAAAATCCCAGCCACTGGATTCTTGAGCTAGATTTGCTTTCTGCTGCAGCCCAGAGAGGAACTCGGGCTCGTTGAGGATGTCTCGAGTGTAGTACCAGAGCATAGACAACCTAAGCCTCTCATTCTCCGCCAAAAAGCCGCGCAGATACTGCCCGTCGTTGGACAGTGGCACATCAGGGGCCGTCGACGGCGCATATTCATCATCTTGCGCAGGATAATAGTTTTTCTCCACATCAGGATTCCACGGCTCAATTGGCTTATCGAGATTGTCTGGATCGAAGATGGGCCAGACGGTCTGCGGGAGAGCTGGCGGGGGCTCATGTTTCGACGACAAGACGACCGCGTCTGTCCTGGGAAAAAAGGCCTTTGGCCGCCCGCCGCTGGAGGCTGTTGCTGTGGGCATGCTGCAGAACGACGAGATCCCAACCAAGGGGCCTGTAGTGGCGTTCAATGCATTGCAGGTGCGAAGTATTTGCGAACAACGGCATTGGGACAGATTCCTAATCCGTTGCATGTCCGTCTGCACGTGATGGCTTCGCTTTGGCCAGCTCCCGGCAGCCCCGGCCAGCCGAGCCGGGCGTTTAGTTCTTGGGCAATCTGGTGGGTCAACGACGAAGCTACTCCAAGTCCAGAGTTAGAGTCTTCAAACCTTCGGACCGGGGGGGGATAAGCTTTGGCGAATGGGCTCGCGGCGCTTGCGTGAAAGAAGAATTTCTGATTGAGAAATGACAAAGGTCTGTGAAAGGAGTTGCCCTAGAATGATTCCGCCCCGCCTGCAAAGACGGGTATCTTGATGTGGTGGAAGTTCCCGATCCAGCTCAGTGGTCGAGGAAGAAATGCTGATGCCATTTTCAGGGTCTTCCCGAGTGGAGAAGAGCTAGTGTGGAGATACGGACCCTGAGCGTTGGATTAGCGGCTCGAAATAGAAAGACCGTCTAGCAGTGAAGCCAGCCAGCAGCAAACTTTACATACTTGGGTATACAGCAGCTATATTGTGATAGTCGCTACGCGTTGGGTGCTTTAATTTTTAAATAATATTGAAGCTCTTAATTGAATCCCTCAAATTGGGCGCCCACCAAGATCTGGAGCTCTTTGGAGCTTACAAAAAGACTCCAATACGCTGTGCTTAATTGCCTTCCCCACCGTCCGTCCCGTCATCCCCACGCTTCTCGAGATCCATTTACTGGTCGTGGTAACGCAAATGTATGATCCATACAGCATATTATATATCGGGCTAGGATGCGATCATAAGTAAAATCTCTGCCGAGATCTCGTTATGTGAATTTTCTCGCGTAGATCGAGTTCACGACCCACTCTCCTAATGGGATCAAACATGAAGTAACGGCGGGTTGCAGCTACGAGCACTGCTAGAAGGATTGGTTCTATACGAACAATAGAAGAGGAGAAATTACCCAGTGGCTCAGTCCTATCATCTAGCGCTCCACATGTAATCGTTGAGATTATCAGATTGTAGCCCATTGGAAAATCTGGCCCAACTCTCTTTTATACCCCCTGTGTCACAATTCTGATGCTAGATAGTGATTTCCGCGACCGCTTCAGCTTAATCGTTTGATGCCCAAACTTACCAAACGAGGCCAAGAAATTTACAGTCTCCATGAATTTGGATGACATGCGCGTAGTGGATAATCTTCATTGGCAGTTGGGAAGAGATTAGTGCAAGCGTTAAATCAAAGCATGTCTTCGCGTTCTTTGGGACTTGCTGCTTCATGATTGAATGAGTTGGCCATAGTCACAGAGATCCACCCATAGGCTTTCTTGCGGGCGTTCTATCCTCTTTGCACATATATCGAAGGCTATAGACTAACCAAGCAGCCCTTCCAAGTTTTGAGAGTACAATAAATACCTAGCAATGGTCTTTCAGCTGCATACACTGGCTTGTATCTCTCCAATATTAAAGTCAAGGCACACCTTGAATGTATTCAAATACTGAGGAATGAGCTATAATCTTAGAATACAGAGGTACAAGACTCATCGTGATTGAAGAACTGAATTGGTAGTTGAACCATGAAAACAAGAGAGTCTTGAGGGACGGCTCGCCACCCCATCGCTTGCAACTAGCTATTCTGCGTAATTTTGATGGTTGGTGGTATTAGAACTACCATTGATGATTGTTTGATGGCTTACGGTTGCGGTAGTTTATATATGTACCCAGCTCCCTGAGATATGAATGCCTGAAACGATGGCCTGAAGCGCTCTAGTTTTCCCAAAGAGGCAGTTATTTCAGGTGGGTCTGACAATGACTTCTTAAAATAGGAACCTATGGATAATCTTTTGGTCGGATGCAAAGGCCAACAAACGAGCAACAATCAGAATGTCAGCTACGATGTAGGCTTTTGCAAGGCTGTCTTCACAAACATAATACATCGCACGTACAGGTACAAGGCCAGTTTTCATCATTTGGAATCACGTCACAGATGTGATATAAGGGCTCAATAACGAAGAATTGAGAGGCTTGAGAAAGTGATACCGTTGATCTCATTGCGGCTGTGTACAAGCCTAGGGAAATACACGTATCGTAAGTGTAACCCGCTTCCCCACACTATTCGCCCCGATGGACTGTTTCTGGTAAGAAGCGTGAATACGAATACGGAACACTTTGTAGAATAAGCCCTAAGATACAATGTGCCGTACCGACAAGATATAGTTTGGCTGTCAAGTATATGCATTCGCGTCCTTTGTACCAGATAAAGCAACTCCCCGTCAAAGCTCCCCTTAACTCGTCATTTGTAACACGCATCCATGTCTAAGATGTCGGTCAATGATTCCAAACCATCTGGTGAAACAATCAATATGTCTACATATATAACTCGCCGGGTTGTCTCCAAATAATCTCAACAGAACGAAATAAGACAAGCAACTGAGCTGCTAATACATTCATTATCCTTGATCATGGACTCTGAGTCGGAAACTTACAAATTTTGCATTGTTGTTGGCGCTGGTGTAGGCGGCCTCGTGCAGGCTGCGGAGTTGCTGCGAAAGAAAGTCTTACAGCCGCAGGACTTGCATATCCTGGAACGAAACAGTGATTATGGAGGCGTTTGGAAAGCTGCAACTTATCCAGGTGCTGCCTGCGATGTTTTTAGTTGCACCTACCAAGTCAGCTGGCATCGAAATCCAGGTATGTTGCGTCATGAAACAACATTGTCTCCATTCTTGCCTCATTAGCTGACTTTTAATGTTTGCCAGACTGGAACTATCTTTTCCCCACAGCTTCAGAACTTGTCCAATACTATCAAAACTTTGCCAAATATTACAAGATCACCGACTGCACTACCTTTGACCAGAACGTTACACAAGCCACTTGGTCTGAAGAGCGATCGTTGTGGGTCGTGGACGTTGAAGATGCCCTATCTGGAGCATGCAAACGTTGGACTTGCCGCATTCTTATACAGGCTGCCGGAACGTACAATCGAACAAGCACACCGCAAATTCCGGGAATGGACCAGTTCACGGGCGATATGTGGCATGCTTCTGAGTGGCCAGCAAAGTACGACTTCACCGGAAAGTCTGTGGCATACGTCGGAACTGGCCCAACATCTGTTCAGGTACTGCCATATATTCAAGCACAAGCAAAGTCGGTCAGTGTATTTTGCCGAAGCATGACTTACTGCCATCCGTTCAACAACTTTAAATATCCGGCTTGGATCAAATGGGCCTTCAGATGGATCCCTGGGTTTCTTGCCTTGTACGCCTTCTTGGTTGGGAATCTTTTTGGTCTCTGGGCATATTTCGCTTTTCGACCTGAATCTTGGATGGCGAAGAATACCGAGCGCTATTGTCGCCGTACTTTAGAGAAACAAGTGCCTGACAATATTCTGCGTCAAAAATTAACGCCGGTCGGCCGATTTGGATCTAAGAGGCCATTGGTGTCTCTCTCGGGATTCTTTGAGACGCTTCAGAAGGATAATGTTGAGGTAATTGGTAACCCCATTGTTGGGGTTGATGAATATGGCGTTATTACAAAGCGACCACACACAGACGATGTCGTTTTGCAGATTGACGATTCAACCGCAGTCAGCCGCCAGAGCTCAGAATCTCAACCAAAGACACAGTCTTTGCATATTCAAGCAGATGTTCTCATATGGGGAACTGGGTTTAAAATGCAAGGCTGGGGTGGAGCAGTGCCTACAATAGGTCGTGATGGTCAAGTTCTCAGCGATCATTGGAAGAATTCGCCTAATGCTCTATATGGTTCGTATACACACGGCCATCAACTTGATAGAGAAGCCGCTAATCAAAATCTTAACACTAGGAACAATGACATCAAAATTTCCCAATCTCATCTTCATGAACGGCCCCAACACTACTACGCCTTGGTCAAGTTTGATCCGAGGACTGGAGATGCAAGCGGCATTCAATCTCAAGATCATTCGACGCATCTATCAACAATCTGTCACGCTTCCACGTTATACCATAGAACCCCGCCGAGAAGCAGAAGAAGCTTGGACAACATCCATGCAGCCAGAGCTCAACAAACTTGCTACTAGCCCGCAATATGGACCTGCTTTTTATTATTTGAATGAAAGCGGACAAAATACCTTCTTCTTTCCGTGGGCACAACGATATTACCAATGGAGGACAAGAAGATTAAATATCGTGGAGTATGTTGAGTCGGGATTGTCCAACTTGAAGTAGTTAATCAGCCAGATGTCAAGATGTACCGATTTTAGTATTCCTGCAAATATCATATGTACTGAGATAACGAGAGCAAGTAGGAGAATTGCGCTAGATTATGAATGCTATATACGGAGCTATATGGCTTCATTATAGCTCATTTCAAATTTTCTTTTTAGATTATAGAATTGCTATTATAATTTACTATTTACTAAAACCTCTTTACTTACTTAAGACCTTGTATTAAGGATGAGACACAACACGCAACAGCAAGCGTATTATTAAGATTCTTCAAGCATAAAGTTGTTTGAGGCTAAAGACAGCTTATATCCAACCGATTCCTGGTGGTAACTAACATTTAAATGTAACCTTCTCTCTGGCTTTCAGATGCCGAATCTATGTGCCGTGGCTTCTTTATTCTGGCGTTCAGATGCCGACTAGAATTACCGCATCTCCAAATTGTTTAGGCTAATTCTGATGACAGCGGGACAGTATATGTGCGATTAAGCATTCGTATTCCTTTTCAGGCAGGGTTGTTGAAGGTTGACAACAGCTTAATTTAACCTTGCTCAACTTTCTAAACGTACCAATCGCGATCGCTTTTGAGATGTCAGTTGAATAACTAATCGTTGCCGAAATCGAAGCCGACTTCACGTTGCACTCTATTTGTTAGTGCCGCAGTAAATTCCGCCTTTTGGCTAAAGACGGCAGTTATGGGTATCTGGGATTCGGTTCCTTTGAGTATGCATGTGATATTCCTTTTCTGCCCACATGAATTCAACAACTTCTTAGTGAAGCAAGTTGCTACATATCAGATAGAATTCATTATAAAAGTAAGTAAATTAACCAAGCAATATACCTGCCAGACTATGACTGATTAGCCTCAGGCGCCTAGTCTTATCAACGAGGTACAGCTACACAAGCAGTGAATATGGTATCAAAGTCTGCATTTGCAAGAGCAGTTGGCATGGCCATGCTAGCCATGTCATCATTGGCGTTTGCTGCGTCTTTAACCCAGGTCTCAAACTGGGGTAATACCGACAACGGGGTCAGCATGTATATTTACGTACCTGACCGGGTCGCAACTAAACCTCCCGTTATTGTGGCGGTATGCCTGAAGTTCATCGCTGATTCCGCATGTCAAAGCTAACATTTCAACAGATTCATCCATGCGGGGGCTCTGCGCAGCAGTATTTTAGTCTTACTCGGCTACCTTCATACGCGGATAGCCTCGGCTTCATCCTCATCTATCCTCAGACGACTAAGGATCAAAATTGCTGGGATTGCTATAGCTCTGCAACTAATACTCACAATGGCGGTAGCGACTCAAAGGCCATTGCAACCATGGTTTCATATACTCTTAGCAAATACAATGGTGACGCCTCCAAGGTATTCTCGGTGGGATCGTCGTCTGGGGCTATGATGACACCAATCCTTATGGCTGCCTATCCTGACGTCTTTGCTGGAGGCGCAGGCTTTAGCGGAGTTCCAGCTGGATGCTTTGAAAACGCGACCTCCTCTACTCCCTCTAACCCGGACCAGAGCTGCGCCCGCGCCCAGAAGGGTTTTACAGCCCAGCAATGGGGAGATATTGCACGCGCCGAGTATCCGGGATACACTGGCCAGTACCCGAAGATGCAGATTTGGGAGGGCACTGCCGACACTCTGGTGCTTATCGGGAATCTTCAGGCTCAGTTGGACCAGTGGAGCAATGTCATGGGCTTGAGCTTTTCACACAACGAGACCAATACGCCGCAGTCAGGCTATACGAAGATTGTTTACGGTGACGGTACAAGATTGGTTGGCTATAGTGCTGCGGGCGTAGGCCACTTTGTGCCTTTCCATGAAAATGATGTAAGTACAGCCAAAGATCTCTCGGATGTTTACCGCCGGGCTTTCTTGGCCTTGTCTCGTTGTTGCGTTCGACTGAGTTGACATCGAAGCCCCGTTTTGCATTCATAGGAAGGCCTACTAACATTAATGACAGGTTCTCAGCTTCTTTAATCTTCTGGGCGGCGGCACTTCTACAAGTTCTTCTACGCAGCCTTCAGGTCCAACGAGCACGACAGGAGGCGGTGGCGGCCCCAGCTGTACCGCAGCTCACTGGGCAGAATGTGGCGGAATTGGCTACGGTGGATGCACAGTCTGTGCCTCTCCATACAGCTGCCAAGTCTCCAACGCGTATTATTCTCAATGCCTGTGAGGATGGTAAAAATTTTGCTTCTATGATTAGGAGAAAGAGCCCTTCATTCGAGAATCTAGAACTCAAGACGTGTTCTTGTTCTAGATGGCCTAGGCCATATGACGCTGGCATCTTAGATAGACTTTGCAAAAGAGTCAAATATTTGAACCTTGCATATGGCTTGCAAATAACAGCATCTACTTTATCTGGTACCCTTCATCTAGGCCTTTGATGTAGAGCGCGAGACCGCCATATACTGTAGACCCCTGCACATCTCGCCTATATGACAACTGGGAATTATATTTGCGCGATAGCAGACGACACAACTAACATATGTTTCATGTGTTTTGGAAATCGCTACTGCAATATTCTCTAGGTTTACTCTCTTTGTAGATCTAAACGTATCAGAGCTCCTTCCCCTCTTGCTTCTGCCGTCATATGCCAGAACGGAAAAGAAAAAAATTCTCTGTATGTTCTCCGTCTACCATTTGTTTTTCTTCAGGCCATCTTCGTAATATCATCTCCAGGAAGCCCGCATACGCGCTTGCTGCCCTCCGCGATCCATCGTTTTTCTTTCCACACAAGAAAGAAGATTTTTCACTCACCATGCGTAAGTGCATGCGCAGGAAACCAGTTCATCGTCACAAATTAACTGACAGCAACCAGCTCGTACTAATCAAACCCGACGACAAAGTCGGCTTCTCTTGATTTGTCTTGAGATTTTTCTCTTTCTTGTCTTCTTCGTGATCCTTACGGTCATCATGCGCTTCCTCCAGCCCGCCAAAATGGCCGCGCGCCTGGATGTCGAACCCATTATCGTCACTTTCATCATTGCCGGCGCTGCGACCACCCTCTTCGTCGTCATCCTCTTCTTCCTCTTCTTCTTCTTCTGACGCCCCGCCGCCACCGGCACCATCACCACCGCAGCCCTTTGGCACCTGGCTTAGCTTTGTAAGTTTTTGATGTCCTCTTAAATATGACTTTGTATGACTAAATTGCTATGGTAGAGAAATTTTTCCTTGGTGAATTACAGATGCATTCAAGAGACTTGATGGGATGGGGTCAATTTCGTTAGCTATTGATACTTCAGCTCTACTTTTTGTCCGGTCTGACACTTGGACTCGACTTACCATGACACAATGAACTCCAATCTGAGACCTGTATAATGCCATAAGTCAATCTCATAATTATGATGATCATTTGCTCTCTACGAGCGTGATGCCGTCCATAAATAACGTTCTAAAACAAAGATTTAGCAGAAATGCTTATCTCTGCGGAAATGTATCCACTTCAAGCTGTCGGTATGACCTAGGAGAATTTGTTTTGCTATCTAAATTCTATCTTAGACGAAGCGAACAGTTCAAAATTACAGGCATTATGGTTGTAGCAAGCGCGAAATGCAGCAGTTTTTGATGCCCCAATGAACAGACTTATAAATTACCCGCTGGGCATGTGAAATAGAGGAAGGGGGGCGATGGCGCTGTCAGATCTCTTCTCACCCAGTCAACGGAGGATATATTGGATAGCATAATGGTGTATCAGGTGCCTCTAAATCTGGTGCGCTACATCTCTACATTTTTTGCTTGAATAAAAGCTTCCCATACCTGCACAAGACTGGCACGTTGGCGGGTACAAAAGCTGTCAACATAAAAGCTGTATCATGGTCCTGTGGCAACATATGAGCTCTTGAATGACTCATTTTCTCTGATTAAACGATGTCTCGGCTAGCAACGACTGACTTCTTTCTATGCCAAGGTTTCTTGCTGCCTATGTGTTATGGCGTAGATAAAGTTAGCTACTTGGAGACTATCCTCCATATATACTGCGTAGAAACATGGTTTGGATGATATTGGGCCTGATTCAGCGTGACTTTATGGCTCGTTTTACCTTATTAGGCCCCTCTCCCTTATCAGCGCCTCTGGGAGCCTATATTGCTCCTTTCTGCGATAGTGTGGGTATACCGAGAAAGCCTCCCGTCTATTAGTTGTGTTACTAAGAACCTTATGCTCCGTATATTTGCGGTTAATACCATTATTTCAGAGTTCAAAGGTATTTGGATAATAAAGTAGAGTTATTGGAAAGGGTTCGGTCATATACGGGGAGACACCTAGACTTCACTCTATACAAAGGCCACGTAGTCAAGGTCAAAGATAGAACCAAGCTGACGAAGACCTAGCTATAAATGGCTTATGACCCCCGGTGAGACACTCTTTTTTTCCCCAAACGTTTACGACTAGAAGCAATATCGATAATTGGAGAAGAGAGTTTCTTTTATCATGGATATCATCAAATCCACTGTCATCTATTTACGGCACGCCAGATCGAAGACTTCATCTGAGACTGATAGCTATATCCTTCGATTGCCAGTCGATATACTTCTAACGATATTGGAATACCTCTCCCCTCACACGCAATTGATAGTCTACCAAACCTGTCGACCCCTGCGCGCAATCATTTACCATCATTTCCTTGCTGGGAAGGGAGATATTCTGGCCACATTGGAAAATAGGCTGCGCTACCTCACTGATCTCGCCAGGTCTATGCCTGATCAATGGATTTGCGCTAAATGCTGCAAACTTCATAAAGCCTGCCAGTTGGATACGCCGATATACCGTGGACCCAGTTATCTTCCACCATGTGGCGACGGATGGGGATATTTCAGTCGAATAGCGAGTGCAGAAAATTCTCCAATAATGAATATTCGCCATCGCGTAGGCACGTTGAGCTAACGCTCAAGTACGCGCGGCTAGAGAGCCAAGAAACGAAGCATCGGGAGCATCTTCAAAGACTTCTTGCGCCATATCACGCTGAGAGTATAAGCTCTATCGGTAGTACCTTCATAAACGCAGGCATCTCAGTACAACGTTCATTTTATCCCAAGGTTGTGGAGGGAAGATATTTACTTCTCACCGTCCAGACTTATCTCGGAAACGGGACTACAACATCACGACAATTTCTAAGGTTCTTCGAAATATGCCCTCATCTATATTCCATTGGTGCATATTCCAGGACGAATAGTCTGGAGACACATTTGGACACAATCTTTCGCGAGGCTTTCTCAGCACCACCAAATGCATCAAAACGTTTCCTCTTGTCTTGACTGTGGAACAGATATTTCAATACAATCTCCCGAGGACGCGTTACTATATACGCTTGGCAAGACTTGGGGCGAGAAGCGACGGTATATGATCCGGATTGGGAGGCAATAGTGCGAGAAAACACAGAGGCCCACCACCAAGCTTGAAGTATTCGAGAGAGATATGGTCAAAATGAGCACAAATTTGTTAGGATATGTCAAGCAGAACCTTTTTACATGAATGGTAGCCTGAATTTTGTATAGTACGAGCAACAGAGCGAGAATAAATCTAGAATATACCAAGTATACTCATAACCCATCATTGATTCCTGATTTGTGCATAGTTAGACTACATACATAGTAAGGGGAAGATTGCTTTTTATCGTCAGTTTCCTATAAGTCAGACAACTTCGCCTCACCAAATGCTTATAGCAGTCCTGTGATTAATGAGCAGATGAAGGGATCTCAAGTAGAACACAAGGCACACGACGAAGAAAATGTGATTTAATGAAAAGCCCGTTCTGCCTCCGGGCTGGTAGAAGCTGAGATTGTTCATCACGATCTACGTTGTCTAAGCTCACTACGCTATGTGAGATCCCTCAAGACAAAACAACACAAAGGCTGGGCACATAAAAAAAAAATCAAGATTAAGCGCTCCAGTCATAGGATAAAGCTACGGCTACTGCTACTGCTACTACTGTAATATTGGAATTCTGGAGTATATTAAGTAATGTAATACATTCATATTTGGACTAACAGTCCTGTTGAGCTCCAGCTATAGTGCATGACCGTCATGGAGGACGCGTGTGACATTGGTAGAAGGGGCACACAGCCCCCCTAATTTAGCTCTGCCGCTCACATTCGCCTGATCTCCATCAACATCGCCACCTGCGCTTTCACCTCCTCCAACTCACCCTCCTTTATAATTAAATAGTGTTATAAGAGTCCATGAGCTGTAAGAAGCTCAGCAGCTTATTGTTGCAAGATCGCCATCTCATTTACCAGGTCGTTATTCTGCTTCCCGTGGAGCCGAAGAGAAGCCTAGACCGACTCTGGCAGAAGAAAGCAGCCATTCCCTATCACCAACTGTGCTTCGTCGCCACCAACTTGCTCCCGTTGCTCTCGTTGTTTGTTAAGGCGAGAGAATTCGGGAATAGCAGCACTCAATACTCCTATTCCACCTCCCAAGGCCACACCTACCTGCCCCTGCACCGGCACCCCCTGCCGCTCCTTCATCAACAACACCACATTTTCCCTCACCATCGTCCATTCCGCCTCGCTAACTGGTAGCAGAGGCGGAGGCGCCTGCCGTCGGGCCAGGCGCCTTTTGTTTCGATAGACGTATATGGTGAAGGAAAGTGAGGCGATGGCGATGAAGATAGTGGCAATGGAGCCGATGTTGGACATCCAAGTCGTTGCGTGCATATTGGTGGTAGTCCTACTGATTGATTAGCGAATGTAGTCCGAAGGTCCCATACTGCTGCAGTATTTCCGCCTTTCAGTGGCCAACACTGGTCCCTGATGTTGCTCCCCTTTGAGCTCGGTCGACTTGATGCCTATCAGAGCGGCTCTGAGGATCTACGAGAGTGAAGATCTCGATGGTCATGAAGAGGGCCAAAGAAGCGAGCGTGTTTGTAAATGATAGGAGACAAAAGAAGGGGCAACAAGAGGCGGGCGGGATAGAGACTGATCAAGAGCAAGGAAGAAGAGAGAGATAAAGACGAGGGATTAGCATGTATATGTAAACAAAGATTAAGGTTGTGGCTAAATAAGGAATACACGCGTATGATGACGAAGTCATACATTAGAACAACAAAGTTTAAGCTTCCAAGGTTAGGTACCTATTTATCGGTCAAAGGTCCTTGTAATAGAGATAGATACTAGTAGGTACTTTGTATGGGCGGTACGCCGAGTTTTTTTTCTGCAGTTGAGCAGCAATCACGGCCACGATATCCACATCTATTTAAACTGTCCAAGGCAATACGGGTCGCGTGAGTCATCACTGGCTTTCCAATGCCAAAGCCCTTCGCGTGCACGCCCAGTACAATCGCTCGTAATTCATCGCCAGCTGCAATGCCGCCTTCACCGCATGCATTTCCTATGATGATCGGGTGCTTAGCATCGCCTCAATTGCGTACAACTCGCCAGAACGTAAGTTATAAATACTCATTACGATGCCCTCACCAAACCCTCGTACATGCATGTCTTGTGCAAAGGTACGCCGTGAACAGTGCATTGCTTCCTTGGCCTCCACAGTTCCTGCTGCTCACCAATACTGAGGCCGGAAACTCAGTAAATACAAACACACGGGATGGTGCGGTGCAGCTGGGGACTCAGTAGCTGAAAGCGAAAATATACAAATTGGTTCTTTGATTGACATGAAATGTAGAAGATCTTTTTGAACGAGCATTTAGGGACATTTATCGTATGTTTGAATTGAAAGCAGAATAAAATCTCGCGATATTACTACGGCCAACAGGTAGCAAAATAAGTAGAAGACTTTTCAGAAAATCACACAGCCTCAAAGAGGACGTATCGCTAATAGCTTTGTGAAGGGTAAACACTGTGATTTCACTAATACTAAGATAAATCATCTACGAGATTATAGACTAGTAGCTTACTAACCGTCATTTCGATGGCTACAGGCAGTTGTACAACTGATCTATATGATGACTTCTATTGTAGGAAAACTTATACCACAGCTAACGCTACTCTATACTCTGCCAAATATTGCTCATAATAACTCTAGTCCAGGTGACTTGATATTCATGCTCATTCTCCATGTATACTGTCCACGTTTCAAGCTTCAAATATCCGACAGAGTGTCTCACGCCAGTTGGCGCCGAAGTAACTCTCCCAAATAGTAGCAATTTCCGTTACAACTTCATCACTTACGTCAGTCCACTCTGCGTCACCAGTAGTCTTTCTTTCATGTCTGGTAAGCGTTGTGATGTCGAAACAGTGTCCCGCCCATATTCCTCTGCGTATGGTGGTTGGATCATCTATTTCCAAGGCTGCTGCTGTCCAAGAGATTCGCGAGAGGAGGACTTCGCCAAAACCCAGGCCGATAATACGCGGACCTTTGATGAATTCGGGTTTCAAGGCGATAGCTTCTGCGCGAACAAACTGCTTAATAGTAAGGTTTCGAAGAATCCATGGTTGATCCGTGGGGAAATAGTCGCGGTAGATGTCACACGATTTGATGAGAGAGTCCATCGCGGGGTCTCTGACGCTCTTTGGTCTCCCAGAAGAATCCCTCAGTCGCCAGGTCTTCCAAGACAAAACTTCCATTGGCTGTTCCTGAATATGCGATAAACCGGGTTGGGTAAAGTCATAGAGCCTATTCAGACTTGCGATTCTCCATTCTGCTTCTTCCTCGTCAAAAGTGGCAATTTCCTCGTGCTGCAAGGCTTCCAATTCTGTATTCGAGAAAAGCCCCGGTGGAAAGTCATCTTTAGCCGAGTAATCTCCCACGCATACAATGTTTTCGTTGGCCCATGGTGCAAAATATTGGGGAAAATAGGATCGCAGCTCTGCTTGAGCAATACTGCATAGGCGCTTATTGGCCAATCCTAAGCTGACGATGTCTTCAATATCGCCAATATGGCTCATTATACCTAGAATGAGTTCCGTAGCAAGATTAGACAGTGTGGTCGATCGGAAATATTCCGTCTCGTCTTCCTGGTTTGCCTCCTTCAGAGAATAGCTTTTCGAAATCTTGACACTAGCTTCGCGTTTGATGGTTCCAGCCACTAACGTATCGCGGCCTTGATCTTGGCTATGGGCGCATGGTGTGCTTTGAGGTTCCACTGATGCAGGCTTTCGGTCGCCCTTGTGCACAACAGGAACGGCAAGCAGGTCAACGAGACGTTCAGCCGTATGGGATGATCTGATTCTAATGCCGCGATCCCACCCAGAGCCAAAGAGTATCTCCTCAATCGGATCTCCATAATCCTCAGTCAACCTAGCACGAGGAGCTACCAGCTTAAACTTCTGATCCATATTCAGAAATTGTCGTTATAGTAGCGTAAAAGCAGCTTAAGATCTTTCGAATAAAGCTTGTAGACGAGTTTGTATGTTGTTGGAGGTATTGGCGAAGCTAATGTGGAAAATGGTCCTGTCAAGGGCATATCGCAATGTTTGGGCGTTATAATCCAAGAGAATAACGGGTATGAAGGGTAGATATGGATGGAATAATGAAATTAGGAGCGGTTAGAATTGAGATTTCTGCGCAATATACATCGAGACCACCTGAGATTGACTGCCAGGTGACAAGTTTTGACTTCACCTGTTACGCGTCGCCAAGATGACGAGCACGACTACAGTGGAGAATTGGCTGTGTTCGTACAAAAAGTCGCTCAGCCACACAGTAAACATCTACTAACCATCGGAGGTTCGAAATCAAGCCATTCTTTCAAATAGTGGCCTCAGAGTGCCTTTTGCCTCCACTTCTAATAGCTAAAAGCAAATGAAGGTCATTAAAGCTGCCTAGCAGTAAGGTAATTGCCCGACCCGACATATCGGCAATTCCTCTTTGCCAAAACTTGAACGCCAATTTCATTTAGATTCTCTATAATGCCTGCTGGTGCCTTAAGGAATCGAGATATGGAGACTCCACCACTTGGCGCGTCACGATATTAAGTTGCCTCCTAGGCATAGAGTGAACATTTCTTCACAACGCGCAGTTTTGGTTGTGGTATTGACTTGCTCTGCTTACAATACGATCAGAGGATATAGAAATCTCGGTACTGGCATGAAAGAGAGATATCGGAGAGAAGACCACTACAAAACGTTTCTAAAGTCTCTATATATGAAGACATAGAAACACGCCATGTCATAGTTCGAAGCAATGTCATATGTGGAGATAGATAGATAGATTGTTAGTCCAAACTTTAATGCTATGCTATCCGTTGGTTATATTTGCTATTGTAAAAAAAGAGTAGGAAAGCATATACAAGACACTGTTCACTCAGACTTTCATTTCCAAAGCCAACCCTCTTCCTAGACATTGCATCGGTCCATCCATGTTCTTAGTGTGCCTTCTACTGCAGTTGTAAAGTGAATTATGATAACTCAATCACCCTACAAACCCTTTGCCAATTCAACAACTTATAGCTGGGCCAGGATTATTCTGGACGTTGCTTGCTGCAATTTGGTAAAACTGGCCGTTGTAACCCCACCAGCCACTTTGATCTTCGGGGCACTGCTCGACAATATTTTCCACAGCTGACCAACAGTCGCTATAGTCGAACGCAGTGTCTGTTGATGCTTTGATGTACCCCCAAAAATTGCCGCTTTGGTAATTCCAGATTACACTGCAAGACGATACCTGTAAATCGACAACTCGGTCACATATCCCATACCAGTCACTTGCCGAGCCAACTCCGTCTAACTGCGCACCATCTTGGGAGCCAATGGCAGGAAAACCCATGTTGCAAGAGCTTCAGAAAATCTCATATTAGCGTCTGTTCCGAGATTTTTGTTGGCAAAAGAGAAGGTAGCGTTTTGCTGTTTGTATCTATGGTTTTAGTCTGGCTTAGTTGGGGCGTCGCTTCTTGTATGGTGAAAAGGCTCCATAGTAGGCAAAGGTGTTATGACAGCCCATTTCAGCTCAACATTCCGAATTTGTGCGGCATATACTTTTTTGCCAGCTTCAATAAGCTCTTTGTGTTGGATGATTTGATTTGGCGCCATTTCCAAAGAATCGCAGTATATAGACGCAGTTCGAAAAGTCAAAGAAGCTGTTTGCTTGTCATGTTTTGACGGGCCTCTTCTACTTGGTGCTGTGGTCAAATGCTCCATTTACGATAGTTATTGTCGGTCGTGACCACGCTTGCAATTGCTACCATGTCGTGGGACAAGGAGATGTTCAGGGGATCGGAGCCATGTCCTGTAGCGTGACCTATGGTGTCGAATGCAGGGCACGCGGAAGTGGTGTAAAAAGGCTTGATTCATATCTAAACTACATATGGGGGTGTAGTAGTTACGGTAGGTATGTACGTGTAGTCCGTTATGAGGGCCTCCTGCCTTCTGGGCATGTTAGGGCAAGCGGTCCCCAACAGCTTCACCAGCGTTAATACTACAAAGCTGCATGTTATCTTTATTAAGCAAACATAAGTTATTCACCTATTGAAAGCAAAGTTAAAGCTAATGTATTTTCTTTTTGCATGTGACTGTAACTGGGACCTACAATGATGCGACAGCAACAGCAACAACCTGACTTTCTGAGGTCGAAATAACAATATCAACCCCTTTTATACCAGCCCGTTTTGCTGCAATAGCTATATCTCCGTTAAGCTAGGTGGGATCGTTAAGACTCAAGCCTGCAAAATCATGTTTTTCTAGGAAGACTTACGACAACTTTTTGGGTACCGCACTCATTCTTTACTATCTCGATATCTTTGAGAGAAGCACTGGTCTCTTTACTGGCAAATTTGAGTGACTTGAACACAGCTTTCTTCGCACTCCAATATTCCACGAATTTGTTCTGTGAGTTGGAGGGGGTTCTGCAGCGCTTAATCTCCGATGAGGTAAAATTGCATTCGCGCAAATTCTCAATATTGATGGCAGTGAAATCCTCGACGTCAATACCAACGTGACTAGCGGTATTGATGCTTCGCATCAGAGCTTCGGCTTGTAAGATGATCGCTTTGCGAATCTTGTTCTTCTCACTCGCTAGCTGCGCGAAATTGCTTGGATATGTGAATTGAGAGGTGTTCTTGTCCATACTAACACGAGCATCAGGGTTAAGGAGAACAGAGCTAAGTTGCTCTTCTGTGTATGGCGGGCTGTCCTTAGAAACAAAAAGCGTATTGTTGACCATGCTGTCATAGAAATAACGATTCGCCTTCTTATAACGTTCCTTGACTTTAGCGCAGTAATTGGCGTAAGTGCATTGATCGAGAGTGGCGAATAGATATTTTGGGTGCACGCCAATCGCCTGAGTGCCTTTCTGGCCAAAACCAAAAGACGCTACGGAGAACGCCTTAATACCGTCTGTTTGGATGCTCCGGTTTGGGTAGAGAATAAGATCAAAATCTTCCAGTGCCTTGTCAACGTTATCGGCGTTACGGTTACCAGGGACTAAGCCTGTGTTTAGAACCTGTAAGGCGCCGTTCATCATCCAAGCACCCGCGGGACCTTTAGGATGGCCTGTAAGATATTTTTGGAAGATTCCAAGTATCGCGTTGCCCTTTGTACGACCCAAATGCTCAAGTTGTTGTTAGATAACTGAAGACTCGTTTTTATCATTCGCTTTAGTTGATGTACCGTGGAATGAAGCGACTCCGAGATCGTCGATACTGAGGCCCCAGGTAGCAAGAGCACCGCGTAGAGGTGCGATACTGTGGTCATTGTACCAGAAATGATTTCCCAAACTACGAAGCATTTCATTCTTCTGCCTCGTAGCTTCTTTCTCAATGTGATGGATACGGTCGGCAATATAGGCTGTAATGTCGTCAACCTGGGACGTCATGACGCTCGCCTCCTCTATTAGGCTTTCCATTTCACTTTCTTGCCACTGCTTGATTTGCCTCCTACGAAATTGAACTTGGCGGCGACGATAGTTGATATCCAGAAGAGGCGATGAGTGTATACCAGCAGTCTCGCGAGCCGTAGTTAATACGCCTTGGCCGGGCGCAGGCACCGAACGACCAATCTTATCAGAAGCAACTGATGTAAGAGCCAAAACTCCATAAATTGGAACACCCATTTCCAACGCAAGCTTAGCAGTCATTATAACTTGAATGCCGCAGCCTTGGGATTCTACGAATCCATTTCGTGTCGTTGTTGTCGGTCGAGACATCTCTTTGGGAGTTCGGCCGCGAGCTAATTCATCAACGGAATTACTTGTCGCTCCCATGTTCGCGAATTCATAAGAGCCCTCTTCGCCAAAGTCATCAAATCCGCCAACAAAGCAAACACGTGCTTTTCCTTGTGTAATGGTTTCATAGCCTATGTCAACAGATTCCAATGCTGTAGCACAAGCGCCAACAGGAGTTTTGATTGGTCCGGAAGAGGACATTAATAGCATATTTACCCATGCACTCATGGTATTTATAAATGCTTCCTGAAGGATGTCATTTTGAACAGGCTTATCTTGAAATCTGTCCTTGTGTATTCCCCGTAGAGCTGCAGTGCCGCCAAAGCCCGATCCTATGCAATTGCCGACCTCTGATATATGAACATATTTATAAAATTCATACGGATCAGTGATTCCGGCGGAGAGCAAAGCCTCAACTGTGTTGACAAGGACGAAGAGAGTAACTGGATCAACCTGAGAAATAATATCCTCAGAAATACCGTATTTCCTGGCGTCCCAGCCAGTCGGAATCTGGCCGGCAACAAGGCGATCGAATCGGACGGCTTTAGGAATCCACAGCGACGCGCCCTTCTTTATGTAAACAGTATACTCGTTACTGTCAGGTATCTTGAAGATGTCCACATTATCTCCATGCTCGCGCTTGAATGCCTCAGCCGTTTCCTGAGATGCCTCAAAGGGATCGAGATCTTCTTCAATAATAATCTCATGGAGCAGCTGCTTTTTATGAGGATCGTATCCGCCAAAAAGTTCTGGTTCAATTAACCGAATTCCAGAATGTTCAAGTATGAGTCTTTCATATTTCCCCTTAACATCTTGATCTTCCACCGGCTCCCCAGTCTTGCTATCCACCCACCCAGAGTAAAGTTGGCCTGTTGTTTTTATCACGCCATTATACTGTTTGATCAGACCCATAATCCAAGCCATTTCAACGCATCCCTCAAGTGAAAGCTCACCATGAGCTTCAATTTCCCATCGGGTGCGTGAATTACCCCAAGGACCAATTTCAGCAAGGCCGGTAACAACAACAACCTTTTCTAGGTCAACCATGCCACCGAGGCTTTCATTCAAATGTGAAAGATTGCTTTCCCAGTCAGGTAGGGGTGGAAACTCTAGTCTCACATTTGCGCGTGGCTTAATAATTTTCTGTTTATACAGGACCTCTGAGTTCATGCCATTGGTAACATTGTACTCAATAGAGGTCTCCTTGGCCACAGCACTGCGAATATTGACAGTGTCTTCAATATCCTTGCGAATAACATTTATAACGCCCTTTAAGTCAGCAATGGACTGAAGACCGCCATTAAGATCGGCAAATATGGGCTCATTCTGACAAATATCGACGATCGTAGGTGACATGAGCCCGAGAAGGTTAAAAGCCATCTCCTGAGTCGAAAAGGTGCGAACGCCGCGCTCTTCGATTCCCATTGCCGTGATATTATTTGCGCTCATAAGCCCAGTTCCACGAGTCCAACCAATGCTAGCGCCGCAGATAGTAAGATAGCTGCTCCAGTCCTCAGCATGCCATTTAGAGAAAAGAGTCTCTAGCGCAAGTTTAGACTCCGCGTATAAGCCGTCGTTGCCAAATGTTCCATGATTCGGAGATAGCGGTAGAATGACTTGGGCTGGTCGAGTCTTAATATCGCGCTTGGACTTTTCCGTCTTAATGCAGCCCAAAAGTCGCAGAAGATTGGTGAGCATAATGCGATGGGCTAGTTCAGATTTTGAATCAATGTTATCAATCTGACGGCCGTTTTCTGAAACAGCAGCAAATGGTACAACAAGATCGAGGTCCCAGTTCAACCCCTTGGGGTCGTATATATATTGGATCAGGGCGTTGACATCTTGTACACTGCCTTGGTTGAAAGGTACAACTACCAATTGGGATCCCCGGGAACCATATTGGGTATATATAGACTGGTAGTTCTCCGTAGTCTCCCGAGAAAATTGACTTGTTGTTATGATGACTTTCGCCCCACCGCTAAGTAATCCTTTCAGGATTTCAACACCAATTGATCCAACACCTACTCCGGTCATAAGGACGTATTTTTCACTGAAGTTAATTCCAAATTCAGCTGCTTGCTCAAGGCAATCCAAGTAGTATTTAGTAAGCTTTTCGTTGTAGTCCCACCCACTTTTCCCTTTCTGTCTTATGTGTATGTAGGGAATAGTCTTGGTATTTGCAATGGAGTGGCTTCCAGTCTTAGTAGTAGAGTTTCTGATAGCGTCATTGGCACTCGTGTCATCTAATGCAAGAGATTGGATAACTTCGTGGTAGAGTTCTTCGACTTCAGGAGTTGGAGTCAACATCTTGTACTGAAGATTGAGGAGTTTATAGATACAGGACAGATTGATCTGTGCCTTTTCATTGCTCACATCATTCCGCGTACTGCTACCCTCGGCCATCTGTTGGACATATTGTTGTAACTTGGAGCAACTAGGGCGAGCCACTTCCTCATACTTTATGTCACCACGAGCGTTAATTGTCGTAGTAGGCCTGGTTAAGGTTGAGAGATCTTTATAGATGGGTAGCCCGTTCAGAACTCTCTTGCAACTCTCAATGAGCTGAGTGCCGAGTTCCTTAGCAAGTTGATAAGTTTCGCCGCGCTCTCTGGGACAGTTGTCGATATGGTACTGCATATATTCTAGTAGTGTAGGATTGGCGCGATTCATAACGCGGATGCACCGGCTGATAGTGTCTTGATCAACAGTTTCAAGCCGGCCGAATATAACATCGTAATATATAGTAAGTACTTCTTGTCGAGCCCAATTCCACGAGGAATTATAAGACCGAACTCTGAGAGGATTAAATAGAGGCTTAATGCCTGAAGCGTAGACATCGCCATGCTCAACCAGCCAAAGATCAAGCTGCGACCGAAGGATCTGGTTTGACTTCTCGGCATTGATAAGTGATTTGTCCCCAGACCGCAAGTCAATTTTAAGATATCGCGCGAGAACTTCCAACTGTTGTTTGAATAAAGCCCGTTGCTGGCTAGTAAGAGCGTCGATAGCGGCGGGATCCATCTGTATGTTGTTGCCACTAAAGGCAGCAGTAGGCTCAGATGCAGTGAACTCATTCAAGTTTAATCCCATGTTGTTGGCATAACTCTGTGTAACACCATCCAGGAAAACTTTCGCATCAGATTCAGATCCAAGACGAGATGGCGGTTCCATAGTGATTGCCAATAAGAGAACGCCATCTTGACGACCAGAGGCAAGCCCCCATCGTGTTTCCAGATACTTTTTAGCAGTTGTAATATTGAATCCTCCTGGCATCTTGGAGGAAATAAATCGAGCGATTAGAGCCTGCGACTGTTTGCCTAGATTGCCATCAAACGTGGTTTGAATAGCGGCACTAAGTTCGTCTAGGGGGGTTTCTTCGGACTTTTCTGGGATAGAGCCAAACTCTTTATTCAGATCGCCGACAATTTCGTTTTGAAGAGTAGATTTACCTAGATTATTTCAGGATTAGTATGAGTGGTAAAGCCATATGAAAATGTCCAAAGCTGAATACTCACCACCAACGAGATCTTTAACAGCTTTGCTGACGGAAATCCCGAGGTGGACTTTTTTAGTTTCTGGGCAACTAGAGATCTCACGATATCTATAGCCTGGATAGAGGTGTCGGGTATTTGTACTTTTTGTCTTTGTTGAAGTAGAGATGGTGTCGCAGCAAGTACAGGTACGGCTGATGCAGGGGTAACGATTTTGGCACCGGTTGCGGAAGCCTCAGCTTCACTAATCGAAGCGACGGGCACATCTAGCTCAGTCTCTGCAGCATCAGTGCTGTAGTAAATCTCTTTCATGTCTTTGTCGAAGTGTAGAATCTGTCTTTGGACTGATTTAGCAGCATCGTATGACTCATATTTGGCAGCCAGAGTATGTTTGGCCATGTTGCCAAGCGTTGCGGCTGGGCCAACCTCTACAACGCGTTGAGTCATTTTATCATCCAGGATGACATCTTGAGTCTCGATCCATCTCACAGGCGAGGCAAATTGATAAGCCAGGAGTTCGACGAGTAAAGTGTGAGCGAGCTCCTGTTCGACTTCGGGCTTCATCATATTGAGAATCCAGATGATTCAGTGTGCGGATAGCTGAAAGTATGAATGATAAAGAACAAATGGAGATTTGGATCGAAACTCTTTTGGATATGGCTACTCGGAGCGATATAAGGATCGACTATGCTGATAATTCCTATTGATACCTCTCCAGCAATAAGTATGTCCATTTGTAGAAGGTTTATCTTTTCTCAACAATCCATGGAAGAACAGGAAATGTTGAATGTTGAGAACAAATCGTGGACTCTGAACTAATCGGAGGAAAGGAAGCCTGAAATTTTTGGATGGAAGGATACCTAGGTCAACTTAGGAAAGTATAGACAGAGAGGAAGTAGATGGATACCTAGGTAGACTAAATAAGCTCCATTTGCGGCGCTTTAAACCCCGCAGATCTAGGTACAGTATAAACCTGAATTAAGTTAATAACGTTCACCACCTTTTTGCATTTTCTACCAACTGCTGCGTCAATCTCACTGCGTCGCCTTTGCCCAGCTAGGTACCTAAATCCAGCAAAGCGTTGGGGAATGCTCATCACTTGAAATGAAGAAGGAGAGGCCACTCCACCATATTCTCCACCATATATATAATAACTGGGTATAGAATAGAATGACTGGGGAGTAGTATTGACTCCCCTGCTAGAGAGTCAGCATTTGTTATTCAGCAGTTGTTCTATACCTTCTGTCACCACCCAGACAATGATTGCAGTGTAACTCAGGATTCACAGAGAATTTTTTTTCAGTTACCGGGGATATGACTCCAGGAGCTACCATGCCGCAAGTACTCGTACCTCGTGCCAGCCGCTATAACCTAGGCCATTCCCAATGAAACAGCAGCATGAATAATACCCACATGCTATATTTGATAAAGCCAGCATTCTAATCCTCTGATTATTTAATTCTCATAGTGCTAACCACACCCCATAAGCATCTACATTGTTATTTTGTTACATTTCGTTCTATGTAAAGTAACCTTCACCGGCCTTTATTATAAGTAAAACCACAGTTATATCCAAGTCTATATACTTCAATCCGTATTTTTTAGCATTTATCTCGCAATAATAGTGAATTACCACTTCATAACACCTTGTCATCAGCCAGGGGAAACTATTTCCGGCTATAACAAAGATGAATCACTGACAGTTATTATTTATGCTACTCTGGAAGACTTTATTCTATTTTCCTTCAAATGTCTTACCATAGTCATCTCTTTAATTAAAGCATTTCTAACAATCTCTATCAGCTATATTGCCTCTATTTAGTGAACTGAAAACTAACACAGTAGATGCTTGTGTTGTGTAAAACTCGTTCCTTTACCCAAGAGGCAGTTTGTTGGGATATTAGTAAGCGGATTTAGCTGCATTAAGACAACGCTTCCTTCCTTTTAAGAACGAATATTAAGCTCATCGTTAGGATCTCACTATCTTAGTTGCTAGCCGCTTTAGTCGGGGCCACTTTCGCCTGCGCAGTGCGTCCACTTGGGGGTAGATCTAGCAAGCCTCAACAACTCAAAGCTTCTCTTCTACTGAAATTGGTCAAGATGCTTGAGGCCACCAAGGAACATTTTGCAGATGCAAACAATGAACAAAAGGGCGAAGTGGATGGTTGGCTGATTAATTTGCTGCGTTGAAAGGTTCTTTTCAAGGTACAGATTCGAATATAAACCAAGCATTAATGGTCGGGATCTATTCCTTTGCAACTACGATCACATACAAACATTACATCTTTATGAAGCTTGTCTTCAAGATGTCGATCCTGAACTCAGTAGTAGCCGACCATGCTAAGGATCTTGCCCAAATTTCCAACCGTGATGAAGAGACAGCGAATGCTTCAATTCTGACCGACATTGACGGACTCGTCGCAACTACTTCTCCACGAGGGATACATGGAATAACATGGGCCGTCGTTTGCGTTTCGATATATGTCAGCTGCTTGATGTATGGATTAGACATGACCATCGCGGCAGATGTTCAAGCTACCATCATCGTACAATTTGACAGTGTTGATCGACTAGCTTGGGTTGGGAGCGGATTTTTACTCGGCTCGGTCTGCTCAATTTTCCCTGTGTGAGCACATGCATTATTCACGCCACATGAATTTCTCCTTGAAGGACTAACATATGCCAAAGCGCTACTTTCTACACGACTTTCGATGTTAAATATATTTTCATTGGATCAGTGTCATTTTTTGAAATCGGATCAATAATTTGTGGTGCCGCACCAACCATGGATGCACTCATAGTTGGAAGGGGTAGTGGCCGGAATTGGGGGTTCAGGAATCTATATCGGGTACAGTTTCTTCCTTGGCAGCAAAAAATTCGCCGTCGCTCTTGGGGCTAACGCTGCAAAGCACACTCAACTATTTGACAGTTCTTACCTCCAGCCAGGAGCGAGGACGTTATATGTCAGGTATTGGCCTTGTATGGGGTGTTGGAGCCATACTCGGACCTGTTGTTGGAGGCGCTTTCTCCCAAAGCACTGCAACTTGGCGATGGGCTTTTTATATAAACCTGTGAGTAAATACCGTCTCTTTTTGCTCATCATCCCAGGAGCTCATCGATGCCGTTTGGTAGTGTGATCGCTGCACTCTGTGCACCAATCTATATTCTTTACCTTCCGTCAGTCAAGTCATCCAACTCAGCAAAAGTGAGCCCGATACGAGCTGTTGCATCATTCGACTGGTTTGGGTGGGTTCTTAGTACAGGCGCCACAGTTTGTATATCATTTGTTCTGACCAACGGGGGCAACATTTGGCCGTGGCGAGATTATCGAACTATTACATTTTGTGTCTTTTTCGGCGTACTAAGCGCCGCTACTGTGGTTCAACAAAGATTCTATCCGTTCATGACAGTGGAAAAGCGCCTTTTCCCGCCTCCGCATATCATTCAAAATGGCACTCTCACACTTCTAAACATACAGACTGCAGTAACTATCGCAAACATCTTTGTTCCTCTTTATTATATCCCATTGTACTTCCAATTTGTTCATGGAGACTCTGCTATCAAAGCAGCAGTGCGCTTACTCCCTTTTGTTCTGGTCTTTGTAACAACAAGCCTACTATCAGGAGCATTGTTACCCAGGATCAATTACTAGTATGTTTTATTAGTCTTGACTACACAAGATTTTTCCAACTAATACCGAGTTAAGCTGGCTGCTGTATGCGACATCGGCAATATTCATTAGCGCAGGTGGTGGGCTTATGTACACGGTCCACGTCAATACTGCTCCAGCCAAAATCTACGGTTATAGCATTTTGCTAACCGTTGGCAGCGGGTTAAGTTCTCAAGCAGGGTATGCAATAGCTGGCATCAAAATCGCTTCGAAGGGGTGGCCTGATATTGATGTCCAACGCAGCATCTCAGCACAAAACTTTTGGCAAATTAGTAGCAGCTTGCTGGCTCTACTAATGAGTGGACAAATATTCCAAACTTTGGCAGTTCGAAATTTGGCATTCGCTCTTAGTGGGCATGGATTCACGAACGCGCAAATCCAAGGAGCCGTCGCCGGTCTACAGAGTTCGCTGCTGAAAAGCCTTGACTCGCATTTAGCTGCAGAGGCAGTTGGCGCTATTACAGAGGCAATGCGTTCAGTTTACGTTCTAAATATTGCGTATGGGCTTATTTGCCTTCTAGCTACGTTGGCAATGAAGAAAGAACGACTATTTATGAAGAGACCGATGCTAGAGCCTTGATTTTACCAGTGGCATGAGAGCATGGCTGTTGTTGGATTGCCTGCGGCGTTCAGTTCTCGTCATGGCAACATGCCTGGCAACATGCCTGATAATATGGAGCAGTGGACTACTATAGAGCAATGTGCTACGGACTCAGCTGTTAGAAACACGAGTGCTGAAACACGTGCGACGGTAGTTCATAGTAGCGAAAAAATTTAATATCTATCGAATCGGGAATTATAATTGGAACAACTAACTCGGCTCTCAGCTAAGCGCGAGTGATTTTTTTATTTCCTCTGTCTTTGTACGGCAAGCTGGTTTGCTCCGTAAATGTAGAGCTGCTGGATAGTCCGACTCAATACTTATCGCGTGATTTATTTTAAGTTGGAACGAGGCTATGCCCCAATGTTGTGTCTGCCTCTTGAACGGCTGAGAATAAATAACTCAACACCTAGATTTTGTGTTGGCTTTTATCAGCTCAAAGTGAAGTTAGTTGAGCTACGTAATAGCCAAATACAGTCAAGATCTACCGGAAGCTGACAGCAACAACACCCAGCCCTATCAGCAAGGATAGCCAAAACAAGACCTGCCGAGGAACACATTTAATAAAATCTAATCGGGAGATTCGCAGAAAAACACCATACGTATGAGATAGAGTGTTGATTCTCTAGGTACATTGTATCCCTAGTAGCTGTTTGGTACTTGAGAATATTACTTGATGTGCATACCCATCAGTCCTTGGATTGTACACCATCCAACGCAAGAAGTACCCCAAGCATCCGCCTGGGCCTTGGCCTAGGCCCCGATCCAATTCACCATTCATTTTGATCACTCCTTTGGCGTGTAATACATAACCCTCCGGATCCCCAGACAAGAACTGCAGTTTTGTTAATTTGTAAGCTTCAGTCAAAAGAATGCAATAAAGGACAACGAACCGCTTCTGCGACTAACGCCAGAGCCAAGGCAATTATATCATCACTGATAGGCGGTTCTCGCAATATTGCATCTCTAACCGCCTTGATACACTTACCCTTGTATTTGAGCCGTAATATATTCCAGAAATTAATCTCAGGATAAAGGGTGGATAAACTATAGCAAGCAATGAAAAGTATAGATTCCAAAAGGTCTTTAGTTAAAAGGGCCCATGGAATAAAATGCATTTTCTTATGCCAAATAAAATCTTTCAAGGTGCATTCAGGACCATTTTCCCAGTTCTTATAAGCGTTATCAACCACGTACATTACATCTAAGGCAAGTTACTACTCTTGTACATGTAGAAAGCAATGCATGCTTGAAGCGCTTAAGAATAACCCTTCAAGTCTGCCAAAGTAACTCACAGTGATCAATGAGAAAGTGTTCAATATCATTCAATTTTCTCGGATAGCTTTCAAATGGATTCATTCGATTATACACCATTACATGCCTCGGATTAAAGGGCCACGTCTGTGATCTTTTGTCTCTAGTCATCTCCTCAGCTTTGTGGTCGAGGCCTGAGTTACAGATTTCCTTGGTGTTTGTCCCTTTGGATGGAGCTAGGAATGTCGGAGGCTGATATGGCCGGATCTCCAGGCCACTCTTCCGTTTACGAAGGCAGCCCTGTTTAGCTGCATGGGAACGGATTGTGCTCTTTTTCTGAACGTCGGCGGTGTCGGCTGGCTTTACAATATTGATAAACTGTAACGCTGTAGCAGGCCGGCTTTTTGAGCTGCAGCTCATAGCTGCACCTCGCGTTGGCTTTGACATTGTTTCGCAATCTTAGAAGGTGTGGTTCAGATTCTTTTTTACAAGTGGGTGCTGTCTCTGTATTTTTCCCAACTAGGCGGGTGGCGATTGCTATTTAAACCATTGCAAGCTCTAGTCTCCCTTTTGCCTCCCTTTGCGCAAAGAATGGGGCTCGACGCTGTTTGCTTACGTATATTGCCTATGTATTGTACTAAAAGTTGGCTAGCATTTCCAGCATTTAGCTGAAGCGATAACGCCTATGATAGGGCGGCTATGACATGGGCAGCCAACGCTCCGTCCTAGCTCTACACAGTATAGCTCTACACAGTACAGGAAATAATAGGTGGGAAAATAAGTGTTAACTGTAAATGTAGAAGCATATTGTTAGCCGTATATTTACTTCTTTAGACTGAGGATCTCAACGAGCAGGTTATCCCGTTTTCGTTCTAGGTCTTTGGTATCCTTTCCGCGTAGCTCTTCAGATACACTTGCACTCAGTGCGTCAAGCTCTTGGGGCGTCCATGTGAATTCATGAGCTTTCATATCCTCAAGCCAAGATCGAGATGCCGGACCGAGGTGTTCCAAAGCGTGTTTCAAGCCGTCGATACCGCCTCCGCCTCCCATCGCGTTGGATAGAAGGGGACCGGTGGCGGCCCATCGTGGCCCAAGACTATTAGTCACACACGTATCTGGTTTCCATATTAATTATTGGTCTCTGGGTAATCGTCGAATGCTACACTTACCTAAATCTTCAGCCGAGATGATGCCACGGCTTACAAGGCTGTAAGCTTCATTGAGAAGCGCTACCTGGAGACGGTTGGCGGCGAACCCTGGTAGCTCTTCACGAATGTGCACGGGAGTTCGGTCCAGCGATTTATAGAAAGATTTAGCCGCCTCTGTGACTGAAGCTGCTGTCTTGGGGTGAGGGACCACTTCGACAAGTGGCATTAAATGTGGAGGGTTGAAAGGATGTCCGATAAGCACGCGGGTAGGATTGATCGCACATTCTGATATGAATCGAGAACTAGGTATTCCGGATGACGAAGAGGCAATCACCACATCCGGACGGGTCGCCGCATCAAGTTCTGCAAATAATTTGGTCTTCAGCTCGAGTCGTTCTGGTGCATTCTATTCATGTGTTAGCGTAATGCACCGATAGCAACAGCTCTGGATAATGTACCTCTTGGACAAAGTCAACGTCGGCAAAATGATCCTTGAAATTAGCTCCCACGAAGCGATAGTTGGTCAGTGCCGCGTGGGGAGATCTCTTCTGCTTCTCCAAGGTTGGCCAGATACTGTGAAGATAATCTGCAAGCCCTCGTTCGGCCCCCGGCGCAGGGTCGGACACAATGACCTTTAAGCCATGAGCCAAGAACAAACCGGTCCAAGATGCTCCAATCACCCCGGTTCCAACCACGCCTACTGTCCGAATCGACATGATAGCGATGAAAATAAATAAATAAATTAAAATGGTACCAGCACAGTGAGAAGGCTGCCAGCTCAGACGATTAACAGACTACTCTAGTGCTCGCACAAAGCCTAACGGACCGTGGTCAGTAACCATTACCATTTATATACGAATTGTATGTGTATACCTAGATAGTAGACCACCGCTTTTACTTGGCTGGTCCATAAACTACCGGCAGTATAGCCCACCACGATGAGCGGAGTTCCCGTCGCCAGCCGCATTGGTGGGCATGTCGCTACTGTACTACGAACCAGGTGCAATTCTACAAATCTTCAATTTCTTCTTCTAAACCGTCACCGGTTGGATCCGAGCAATCCGCTCTCTAGTAAACTCGTTCATGCATCTAACCCCACACAAGCCGCTGCTCTAATTTTGTGCGAAACGTCAAAGGTGAGTCTGAATAGCCAATCGCGCCCTCTCCGGCCGAGGAGTTGAATCTGGCGTTGCCGCGGCCTCGGGGCAGATCTTACCCCACTTACCGAAATGCTTCACTCTATGATGCTTCGTGAGAGTTGGAATAAATCAAACACGCGCATTCCGGACGATCCATGCAAAGGTGCGGACGGCTTGGGTCTTACCCAATGCGGTCTATATTTTCGCTCAATTGCTCGTTCATGCAACGCACCTTTCAGAGCCATACCCCACATTACTCATAATGGACATCGATTCGTACATCCCTATACCCGTTACACGACAATGTTTCCTCAGATCAGGACAGTCCGAACTCCGGCTCTTCTAACACGTTCATGTAGCTTACTTCAGCCGAGGCTCGTGGGTGTGATGAATGCTATTCTGGCTGGTGATACTCTGCATTATAAGGACCTTTAAGGAGAAAATTATAAATAGCCTTTACTTTCCAATATCTCCTCTTCCCGTTTAAATCATCCATCGATTCGATTCGGATACTATAGTCCTTCGCAAACGCCCAAGATATTTAGTCTTTGCTACCTTTGTTACATCTTTAGTTGCATCATCTCACCCTTCACCTGAATTTCTATCATGGCTGCTCAAGACAGAGTCGAGGGGGTGTATGGCCCCGGATCATTCACCGATACGGCTTTTACTTCGGTACCTGTGGAAAGCAAGAGGCTACTTGTAGAGCTTGCAAAGAAGACGCCCGGCTTCACCACTGATCAATCTCTTATTGATGGAGTGAAGTTTGTCGGCGATGAGCTTCCCTGCATACCAGGACCCATCAAGTCTCAGGCTTTCGTTGCAGCTCTTCATGGATTGGCGGGCATCGTCGGTCACGAAATTCTGCAGCTTCGTGGATTCAAGACATCTGGCGAGACTACGGTCAACACTGATGCCGCTGGCATGTTCCCCGCGACACCTGCTCTAGTACACATTGATGGATCCGACGGACCACAGATTCTCAAAAATCCTGCGGTGAAAGCGTTTGATCACGGTGCCCTCGGAACTCCTGTCAAGTTGCGATCCCAGGCCATCTATCCAACTGCTACTCCTGGCGTTTGGTTTCAGCTCCACGGTAGCTTGGGCCCAGAACCGATTCTCCGATCCATTGGCGTTGACCCAAACGCCACTTTTGCATCTGGAGATGAGGCATACGAACATATTAAGAAAGTTACCCAGACATACACTGCAAGCGACCTCGAGCAGCTTATGTTAAGTCGAGGTTTCCCAGGATCTATTGTGCACTCGCCCGCGAGTTGGCTGGACACCACGATGGGTCGCTCGCTCGCTCGACACCCACTCGTCGACTACAGCAAAGTCCAGTTTACAGAGAATATCCCCCCAGTTGCATTCCCCACGGCACAGGAAAATCCAGATGCAAGGCCTCTTGCTGGCGTTAAGGTGCTGGAGTTAGCAAGGGTCATCGCTGCACCAGCCTGCGGCACAATCTTGGCGGCAATGGGAGCCGACGTTATTCGCGTGAATAGCAGCCGTCTCCCAGACTTTACAGTGAGTGCACCTCTGACATCATCATTACTGATAGGAAGACTATTCTAACGAGCATTCACAGCCTGCGCAAGTCACACTCATGGCGGGGAAACGTTCCATCGACCTCGACCTCAAGAAAGACAAGGATAAAGAGACTCTTGAGTCTTTGGTAGCTGACGCCGACGTCATCATCCAGGGCTATAGACTAGGATCACTTGAAAGACGCGGATTTGGCAGGTCGTTGGCTTTGAAGCTGGCCTCTGCTCGCAAGCGTGGCGTTGTCTATCTAGACGAAAACTGCTATGGCCCCGACGGTTACTACGCTGAGCGTCCAGGATGGCAACAGATCGCTGACGCTGCAGCGGGCAGTTCTTATGTTATCGGCAAGTCATACGGCTTTCCTGATGGCCAAGGCGTCCTTCCTTCACTTCCAATTAGCGACATGTCTACAGGCATCCTCTCCGCAGTCAACGTCATGAGCATGCTGAGAGATCGGGCCCGCTACGGTGGCAGTTGGTCAGGTTGCTCGAGCTTGACGGGTTACAATGCCGCTACTCTGCAGTCATGGGTCGGTCTGTACCAGCCAGACATCGTCAAGCGCATACAAGATAGGTTCCAATTTGAGCCGATGACAAGCGATCTCCATGTCATCGAGCTGTATTATGCCATTGCCCGAAGCTGGGACAGATACGCTGAGCGCAGCGGTAACTCGTACACGAGGAATGAAGAATTCTATACCCACTTCAAAGATAGCGTCTATGGCAAGGATTTGCGTATCTTGGCACCTATTGTGCAATACACGAATCCTCTGGATAGGGATTCGACTCCTACGTGGACTTCACCCCCAGTACCATTCTGCTTTAACGAGACGGCTGTCTTCAATTAAATCCAAGGATGAGCAGGCAACTTCAGAGTGAACCATACAATTTCGCGTTTATATCATTAGAATACTTTGAATAAATTGTCAATAAGTCAAACTTGTCATTTAATTCAAGCTTATAACTCCCAATTGTATGTTGATGACCAACGGAGGTTTTCTCTCTGATATCAATAATGCGCTATGGCTTAGGCCCGTTTGTCTCCATCTGAGCAAAGTCTTTCTAGAAGATCTGGAAGAGGCGGAATGCACCCATCAATTTAGTTTTTGGGTTAGCGTGTGCATGAACGACGTGGCGGGGGGTGGGTTTCTATACATAGGTAGGTAGGCAGTAAATGGGTGACTGACGCGGGTCATTTGGTAGTTTATGCCACTAATCCACTGCCGAGATGTTCCACTCTGCAACACCCAGGAATAAACAGGGAGTGGCTGAGACTTATCAGATGACGAAGTCTCCAGTATTTAGAATGGTAGCCACAAGATTCAACCAAAATATGCCATATGTAAGTGATTATTCGAGTGCAGATAGTGTCAAGTAGTATCATGCAGGTTCGTACGGTAAGTTCATAGCGCTCTTCGCCCAGTGGAGAGTTCATTGTTACAGGTGCATCGAATCCTGTTGTATATATGAGCAGGGCGTAATATATCTTGCTTTGATAGAATTAGAGCCTTAATGCGCTTCATGAATATAATCTTACAGGAAGTTCATAGCGCAGGCAGACAAGGAATCTGCGTTCCCTGGAGCAGTACTTCTCTTCAAATAATACGATACTGAGCCTACAATTTTACATCACTATTTGCTATCTACAATCTTTTTTATGAGTGTTACTTCCATCTACAATACTCTTAAAACGTCTTGGTCCACAACATTATCGGCGAATGATGCAACTGATCTCGCGTTTGGGGGCATCCTAGAAGCGATTAAAGAAGCGCACTGAGAAGATTTCTTTCCCCAGTAAGGGGGTAAACGCCCGCAACACGGAAGCTGCTAGCTGACAAAGGGAAAATGAAACACTCGGAATATCCGCAAATATGACTTCGGCAATGGTACTGGAGGCGCTTGAGGGGTTTATGCTCCAAACGCAGATTTACTTCATCGTGTTGGATTGACTTGTCTTGCATCGGCAGCTTAGGATCCACAAGCCGGCGCCGAGGCACTGGTTTGCCTTGGAGCGGGTCGGTCCGCTCGGCGCCAAGTAACAAGTGGAGCATGTTGTCCCAACGAAGAAATCGCGACGGATCTGGCAGTTGTGCATCAACGCTTCTCTGTATCTTGCCCATGCTGTATGCAGTCAGGACGCCGTGAATATGGCGTGTGGATAGGCTAGATTTTGATAAACAAGCGTTGTGGGCTTTTATTCGGCATTGCGCGACCAAAGGATCAGCGTCAAGTTCAGTCACCACTATCGGCTATAAAGCAATGACTGCCAACATAACGGACGATTGAGACATCACGCTCACACTAGGAGTATCTGTAAGCATTCTGTTATTGTTACGCTTCCTAGTTACTACGCTCAATTAAACTATCACTGTCGACTTATCGGGAATCATATACTGATATGAATTTAAGATTAAACTCAGATCAGCATATTTACACACGAACAAAAACTCGGATAATTCGGCACTCGAGCTTACGCTTTGCGTAATACTATATTTTGCTTACCAGAGCAATCTACTGCTTGTAAAGCCGCAGACATGGCTGCAGACACGACAACTCTCTCCCTTTCCGCCCCCATCTCTCTGTCCTCCTTGCCTGGCTTGCATCCCGTCCTAGCTTTCTACGCCAAATACGGGAAAGACTTTCAAGATCTCGCAACCACCCCTGCAGAAGCATACTATACACGCGAAGCCTATATAAATCTGCCACACGGGGCATCCTTTATGGGGCGTGATCGCATCTGGGCCTTTTACAAGCAGATGTACGGTGCCTTTCGAGCCAATCCAATAGAGCAGTTCTACACGCTCACTGTTGTTTCTGATGCTGCAGGCACGCACACTTTGCATATGGAGTATGTGCGGGGCTTACACAGTAACAATGATTCCTCTATCACACGCGTGCCGCAGGTGTTTGTATACGAAATTGGGCCAGCGACAGAAGGCGAGGGCACGGATGGCTTGCAGATTCGGGGGCTTCGATGCTATTATGATGTTGGCCTCATGCGGGCGGCAGCCAAGGCTGAGGGAGTCGTAATTGAAGAGTTCGAGAGTGTCTAGAAGAGTAATGGTCACAGTTACACATAGTGGGAACAGGGTAGGAAGAAAAGGAACAATGGGTAGATGAAGCGTCGATCAAGCTGAGGCCCTTGTCTCTGGTACCAAACAGATACAGATATCACTTGGCAGCGATCGATTGGTTAGTTTACCGCCAAATAACAACAATTCGGCATTCAGGTTGCCGCCTAGCTCTTGACTAGTGCCAGTCGCTGTATGTTCAAAACTATTCACATAAAACCGCTCTCATTTTACACAGATTTATAATTTCTCGACCGCGGGGGTCTTTCGCTGTAAGTTGAAGAGAGGGCTTTGAATGGTAGCGTGGATCTTGAACTATACCGCTGTACCTCTGGTTTATAGTGCTGTCTGGTGATTTATAGTGCTGTGGCGTTGCGCTCTCCATGGGAAGTCCAGTGGATCGAAACAGCGCCCGGCCTGTATAGGCTAGAAATTCGGGAACTGCGAAGCGTGGACTGATCCGCTGTGCGTTCCACCCACAGGGGGGAAAAAGCGGATGGGGCTAAGCAGCCTCGGCATTTGCGATTACACGGCTGCGTATATCAGTAGAAAAGCTGCGCCAGTATAGGTGAGTGTACCTCGTAGAACGAAGAGCTTTACTTCTTTTCAAGGTGTTTATCGAATTCAACCTTCGAGTTCTTCTCTGTTCCATTGCAATCCTAGATTTTACGACACCACCAAGACTCGATGAAGCAGACGCATCGGAAGGTTCGAAGTGGCTGTATTATCTGCCGGAAGAGAAGGATTAAATGCGATGAACTCAAGCCACAATGGTTCGGCATCCCGGAATCCCGTAATTGACAATGACATCTTACCAAGTTGACAGTACTCAGTGTCAAAGACTATGTCTCAGACGTGGTCAGCCCGTCAGCTGTAGCTATGGTACAACTCTGCAAACCGTCTCGCAAGCTAGACTGCCAAGAACTGATAGCGCATGGTTTTCATCTTCGGAGGCCACAGTCGTACCGTTGTCGCTGGATTATCCCCTGGCGATATCTCAGTTCGGCTGGCCAAATCCGCTGCTGCCTGACGAAAAGATTCTACTGTATCACCTTTGCGCCATTCGAAAAGACATGATACTAGTTACAGAACGCGGCTTTTCTGTGGGTATTAGTCAGTTCTCAAGGTGAATAAGACATAATTTTCCAGCCTGTCATACTCATATTGATGGAATTTAAAATTTTCAGATTTCTTGCCATGGCAGGCAAATATGAATATTTGAGGCACTGTTTATGTGGCATTAGCGCGGCCCACTTAAGAACAGCAACGAAGTCATCTCATATAGTCCCGCTGGAGGGTCACTATCGGGCACTTGCAATTCATGGAATGGTTGAAGAAATGCAAAATTTAAGTCATCAAAGCTGTGAGTATCGAGAAGAAATCTCACAGGGCCTCATCGCATCGTCTATATTGATGGCGTGGTATAGCCCTAACCCGTAAGCAATACAAACGATATGGGACATTCGGGTACGTATTAACTGCAGAGTATTAGACGCGAATACAGTAGTTATCTCAAAGGAAAACTTTCTGTAAGTTGACAAATCTCAGCAGCCATAGCTGCTAGTCCTGAGCTATTATTAACCAGTCTATCGACGCCCAGCTCCATCAGGATACTACGACGGGGAACCAAAAGCCACTTCATAGAATGCAGGCACAGCATTCTGTCTTAGAGAAGCTACAAAACGAAACGTCTTCAGACGGCCCTCCGCGGCTAACGGAGGAAATTTACACGCTGCTGGAGTCAGTGGCCAAGTCCATCCGTAGCTTCTGTAAGTGCAAGCTGGACGGTGAACTTGAAAGTGCCGCAAGAGAGCTTCTCAACTTCCTTCATAATGTTCGTACCTTGTCTGGGCGGCATTACTCGCTCGAGGACCAGCTATCAATTATGTTCCCCATTCGCAGCTGGTTACGCCTCATGCCTAGGTCGCCAGATAGATTTGCGTCCGACGATTCTTTGATCTATTTGTATCTGGCAAACTATGAGACAGCGATGTTAGCAATGGGTATATTGCTACCAGCGGTGAATTTGCCTCTGGAGATCGAGGAAAGAAGCTTTGGCGTTGCCAAGTTACAACTGTTCATACAAGAAGCAGTTGACGCCCGATTTTTATTGGGCGAAAGTCTTGTAAATTCACGTCAGGTGTATACAGCCTGCATGGAATGGTTAGGTGTTGCAGACAAGTGTATGAGTAGTTATACATCTCAAATACTATGAAGCTCGGATTATGGCCGCAATGTCTAGTTATAAATGGCTGGGTAGCATACCGCAACGAAGCGATGACAATTTACGCATTTGTGAACCAATTGTTAATTCCAGATATTGAAGATCTCTGCTTGCCTATTGACGTTCAAAACCGATTTCGTACCAATTGAATTATTATGTACATTAGCTTGAGCTTTAGTCAGGACTTCCTTCGGTCCATCACGACGATATGCGACTAGTATATTGACCTTATAGGATGCCGGTGCGCAAAAACGGATTGTTATTGCGACTTGGACAATTGTATTATAATATACGACCACGATCTTGTAACATTCGAGCCTGATGTTATACAGTTTGTGGTTGACAAGGGGAACAATTCGACCGCGCAAGGTGACCCAAAGCCCACGACGACGGGCACCACTAGCAGCTCTACTAATCAATACTCACAACCTTTCCAGTAAGCATCAGCGCTTTTAGTAACGGATCGGCTACAACTAACAAGACAGCCAGCAAAAAAAAAAGAATGTTTGACCTTGATCATGTTGAATTACGTGCAGAAGATAACGCAAGCATCGCGGCAACAAGTTGTCGATAGTTCCAGCGATTCGCTGGTTTAGCTAGAAGCTCCTTACGACTGAAATGGGTTGTCGCCACTTCCCGATCGTACGGAGATTTGCCTCTGTGCTCGACATAGCTCTCCAACGAAAGTCTCCATAATATTCTAAATAATATGATAAAGTGTAAAGGCGATAAACAGATACTGTATATTTTCTACGCAATGGATGACGAGTTGAGTAATGGCCCCACGTAGCCGCTGCTCGCCGGCCGTGGTGATGATGCACCAACGTCATGGATATCTCATTCAGCTTCCACCAGGCATCCCATATATGATATGTGTTTAATGCCACATTTTTTTTTTCAAAAAGCAAGTCACAGACTCAAAGCCCAGAAATTGTTGTTTTAAGCTCTTAACCATCTCATTTCGAATATGGATTCAGACGCAGGTCATAATAGTGCGCCTAGTGAGGTGTTACCCAGTGAGACCAAAGTATTGGCGGGCGCAGCCTCACTCACACAAGTACCATTTCACTGATCAACTCATACAAAAGCCTCAGCTAAACTGATGTAGGACTTCAAACCGGTCAAAAACATATGCGCCCATCTAAACGCATTCCACGCATATGCTGACGATCCCAAACGAGCTGTGGAAGCAAATCACTATTGCAGCCACATAGGTACAAAAAGTCACAGTAGTAAAGTTATGCAGAAGATTGACCCTTGAATAGATGATGAAGTACGTCAATGCCTTATATACGATTCCCCGGAGCCCGATGCACGAATCATAGGCGTAGAGTATATGATTACGCCGAGGCTGTATGAATCGTTACCACAGGATGAGCGACGGCTATGGCACTCCCACGTCTATGAGGTTAAATCTGGAATGCTTATAATGCCGAATCGATTTGTCCCTCAAGCAGCTTGGGAACTAGCAGAGAAGAGAGAAATGGAGCAAATAATCACGCTCTATGGCAAAACATACCACTTCTGGCAGATCGATCGGGGCGATAAGCTGCCGCTTGGAGAGCCGAAACTCATGACTAGCTACATCGCCGATGGGCAGCTAGACTTTGCCAAAGTGGAGGACCGAGATGCAAGATTCCAATCGAATTACAAGTTGAAGAAAGAGGCGAGGAAGGACATACCTTCTCCCAAGATCCTCAAAGGTAGGCATACAGCCGTCGCAATTCGTTCTATGAGAAACTGCGTCTAATTACTAAACTGTGTAGAAGCTGACACGGCATGGGATACTGAAACGTAATGGGAGACGAATAAGTATAAATTGAGTCCCCTTTTGCGTTGTAGAGTGAGAGGAAGAGTGTGGGCAAATTGTATTTGAATCGCTGTCTGAAGATAAGGTCAGAGCCAAAGTTATTCCTGTTCGATCAGAATAGCAATCTGCTCAGGCGACCTTCATGGCGGAAGCTACTTGTATCGCCTGAGCTGGCCTATATAGCATTTGAAATGATAACAGGTATCAATGCCACTCCATGATTGTGAAGAGCATATCTGCATCGCCTATAGTGCCTACTAAATACGAATTAGATCTGTGGAAGTGGGGTGGGCCTCTTTTCGTGAACAACTAGCTGTGGCCATGTGCCGAGATGCCTGACGTAGCAACTTGAGCAGATAAAAGTATAGTTGGCACCCAGCTGTAAAACACGTCAACGACAGTTCGTCCTAAGTCTTTTCACATCTCTGTTAAGGAATCCAACGGTGCGGTTTTCTAATTCCATTGCTGAAGAGTCGCTGGTTCAAGCCTCATAGAGATAATTAAATACCGCTCACTCCAACGAGCCGCATCGAGCTCAGTTGGCAATTCATGATTGGCTATTAGTCACGTGATTTGCCCGGCTAGCTCAATCGGTAGAGCGTGAGACTCTTATGAAGTACACGTTCTGTATTGCAATCTCAAGGTTGCGGGTTCGACCCCCGCGTTGGGCTTTTCCTATAATTCAATCTGCCAACTGAGATGGTGCGGTTATTTTTTGCATTTTCTCTTTTTTTTTTGGCATTCTTCATGTCTTCGCTCCAAGCTCTCTTATGCATGGTCAAATAGAAATGGAAAAGAGAGCTGCTCGCTCGTTTTTAGTTATTTATAATTGTTTGTGCCGATATAGATAGGTATTTGTGTCTGCCTATACCCCTTATGAGCGAAGAGTCTCTCTCTCTAGGGCTGATAGAGATTTCTTTTACACTCTCAGTGTCGAGAAGGGAGCAAAGCCAATTCTTGTTTTTTTAAATGCACTCGCATGGATTAAATACACTTATTTACATCTTCACTACCTACTAGTAGTTACAGCATTAGCAAGTCATATGTTCCGCTCCAATATTTTGCTGACTCGATCAATTCCACGCATCATGCACAGGCGAAAAGATGAACAGTCAAAGGTCGGACAATTGCATTGATTTACGGCATGATGCCGATTCAATATCCATTCATTCATGAGTTTAGTACAATTTCTTCCAAGAGCATCCAACTCTTGTTGCCAATCCAACAAACCCTGCGCCTATCCCAGCTAGGCATGTATTCGTACTGCTAGCCGATTCCGTGTCTGCGATCCTGTCGCAGTCAAATAAAATAAAAAAATGCTTTCTCTGTCGCTTGTTATACATGTATACCGTTTGGTATGATCGTCATTATGGTGCCTCCGTGCTGAGAATTCTTTCCGCCCATAAGCGCTTCCCTATTCAATTCTCGTTGCGCTTTCCATGCTCTTGCCCCCCATTATTACATAGACATTAGAGAATGATTACTTCCTCAGCATCCAGACCGTCGTGGTAGTCAAATAAAAATACAGTATTATATCAGTATCAGTGCAGCCATCACGGCGGCAATAGCCAGTGTGGTGAAAGTCTCCACGAAATTATTATTGTTTGCCGTGCTGATTGCGACAAAGTCGAACGGGCTCCCGCCGCCGCTGCCTGGCTGTGCATTGGGATTAATCGGCCGTGTTGGCTTTGACGGCTCCTCGCTCGATGAAGAGGGCTTCTCGACACTTGTCTGCGAGGTTGCTGTAGCAGATTCGATCGCTGAGCTAGAAACAGCCGCTGATGTGATGCTGTGATCTGGAGTGGCGGATGCTGTCGTACTTGGCGCTGCTTCGGTGGAAACCGGTTGTTGCGTTGATGTCACATGAGATGCAACATCTGATGAGCTCTGGGGTGGAGGCGAAGCTTGTGATGGCGGTGATGTTTGTACCGTCGAAGTTTGTAATGTCGTCGCAGGGGGGGGAGTTGGCGTCGAAGCTGGTGTACTTGTCTTGCAGATAGCGGCCACTAGATTGCCTGTTTGTATTTGCTGGAGCAAAACATTGTTGGCATCGCTGACTTTGGCACACAACGATCGCACTGTAAATTGCACCGCCTGTAATCCCTCGACGCAGGTCTCTGAACATGTTGCGCCTTTAGCGAAATCGTCTGCGATGCATCCTCGAATCGGTGCATTGTACGCATATATGCACGAAAGAGGCGCTGGAGAAGCCAGGCTTTCGAAACTGGACAAGGTCAAGAGAGCGCCGGATGCCGTGCCGATTAGAAAGACGAGATTTGCGAGGCTGAGCTGCTGCATTGCACGATGTCTCGTCATGGAGAAGCGAGTCGTCGCTGATGTGCTTATTATTGAGATAGCGTCAAGGCCGGAGTGTACATGTGCACAGCAATTGCCGTGAAGACGGGTCGTCGAGGGTGCTATTAGCTGCTTTGCTTTGGCAGATGAGAAGCGAGACAGGCCGGTGTGAAAGATCTGGACAAGTTTTAATATTTATGACAGCCTCTGGAATGACGAAACGTCTCTCTTCCTTGGTCCTGCTTTCATGGAGCAGCCGGATGCGTGGGCAAAAGATGCGAAACACCACTTGTCTCAGGCCCTTCTTTGATGACGCCAATTAGGCGGCGTAGCAGGAACGATTGGCGATTCCGCAGCCGTACATCGGAATCAGTTTCCCGTATCTGCCAGCATAATGTTTCCCTAGGCTTTTTTGACATGTTTCGATAGCCAGCAGGGGCTTCTCAGCGGGTAGTCGCGTGGCAGACAGGATGTTGGACCTTTGGCGAGAACCACTGGAATGGCGACGATGATGCAGGGGTCAAAATATACGAGATACATGGAAGCCACAGGTACCTGCGAACGCACAAAGCCTTGACATGTACGGAGTTACTTTTCATAATGATGCAGCCCGTCTAGAACTGGTAATTTGCAACAAAGAGAAGAAATTACCCTTTTGGAGAAAATGAGCTGCTTTCTATTATCTTACTAGTATCCGTACTTGCGGGATGAATTGTGGGCGGCAACTTATAATCTGGAACATGGTGTTAGTTGAATGCGGCAAACAAATACATCTATCTTCTGTAGCGAAAACACTAGGAATGTAATAAACCCCTCTAATCGCCTTTGTTGCAAAGACAAACAACGCTTCGACAATCGCCGGAGCCACGTTTACCCCAATACTCGCCCCATCCGTCATCAATGCGAAACGCATCTCGAGTTCATGTGAAACAGCCTCCGCCAAGCCCAGCCTCCCGGGGAAAACAGAGGGAGAGATAACCTTTAAAGACAAAAGAAATAGGTACCACACAATGCCGCATTGGCTTCGGCACGTCCCTGCTTAGAGCTGATATTAGGTCGAGCCATGCATCCACAGCAGCGCCACCTGTGCCAATGGCAGGCCTGCTTCGTCTAGCGAAACCAGTTCTGGCGCACATCGCAACTTGCTAGAGAGACACTAAGGATTCACATCCTTGGTGGTGCATGAGCTGGTTCCGAGGACTTATTAGAGCATCAAGTGGCCTGTGTAACTAGTAGGACTTGTTGCCTACGAGCTTGGGGGGACTAGAGGAGAGAAAAAACCATGGCGAGGTTTACTTTTCCACTTCTTCGCTCTCACAGCTTCAGGCAAGTTTTTGCGACGCCTGTTGCTCTCAATCAACACCATGTCCGATCTCGACGGGCCAGGGCTACGACCCCCGCGCCTGGGCACGTATCAACAGATCGTATCCTTAAAAAGAAAGCCTATTCAGGTCCGAGCGGGGCCATATCATCAAGGTGCGCCTCCTGTGGTGCGGCTTGGCGTTATACGGGCGTTGTACGAGATGCGAGCGACGAAGCACTGACGTGCCTATAGCCGCCCAAACCGACGACCAGGCAGATGTTGACGCTGAAGACGATACTGTGTCGGCTCTAACACCTTATGGGTCTGATGCTGGAGTGGTCACCAACAGCACGTCAACAACCACTCAGTATTTACCAATGCCTCCTACGAAGCCGCCGCATGGTTCTCGCTCGAATTTGTGGGTGCCGATATGGCTTAGCCGAGTCGTGCTCATCGCCTTTGCTGTCACTTTTCTTTTGATGTTATTAACCACTGCTTTGCTGTATCGTTTTTCTCAGCAGAGCAATGGCATTAGTACACAAAGAGAGGCAAATCATTATGGCTGGAAATATGGCCCTACCGCAGGTAAGACGCAGACATTCTCGCGAGGAGAGAATTCTATTTGATCCTTTTAACCACTGACTCTCATACTTTTAAATAGTCCTCGTTGTGGTGGGAGCTTTGTGGCGGCAGGTCGATTTCGCAAACAAGATACTGATGCCCTGGGAAGAGCTTAAGACAGGCCCATCGCCAGCTGATAAGACTCTGCTCCTGGACTATATCTCTCCAATACTACCCGTCGGCTTCTGGATAGCCATCAGGAACAGACATTGGGCTGTCGTCATGTCCATGCTTGGCCAGTTCCTGATTCTGGGCACTGTTCGTACTTCGTTTTGTTCACGCTGCCTCTTTCTAAAGCTGGTTGCTAATATTCTACTAGACGATTTTCTCAACCGGTTTTCTCATTTTGCAGCCGACTACTTTGACCAAAACCGACGAACATTTCCAACTATCATCCAAGTTTCAAGTTAGCCAAAATGTAGACCCAAAGTTCGCCTGGGAGGTTGGCCCTGGCCCAGCGCAAACTTACTATGGGATAAACTTTTACGGCTTGCGTTTCCCAACCGGAACTAGCCAAAATTTCGTTGTACCCGACTTTCAAGTGCCGTCAGCTGCCGCAACTGGTCTCGATTATACAGTGTCTACGGATGGCATCCAAGTCAACTACGACTGCGAACTTCTCCCAATCACCAATGGCTCAATAGCTTACATGCCATGGGAAAGCATCATGGCCCCTTTCATTGTTGCCAACGTTACCACTAAAGATTGCGAGATCAAAGGAGTCACTCTGGCTGAGGGTGCTGATCATAGCTACTATCATGACCCGAACGCAACACAAAATTATCAGGCTCGGTTCGACCTCTATCCCTGCAACATGGATTGGGATTTTAGCAAAGGTTATATACAACCGGACAATATGACTTTTGAAGAAAAGATATACAATACCAATAACGATAATCGCCTGTTCATGTCCGTGGCTGATGTTCGCATCTCGCCATCCGAACGGCCCAACCTGTACATGTATCTCCATAACGTCACGACTGCTCTTTGCAAACCTACTTATGAGCTCCGTCAATTCAATGTCAGTGTTCCTAGCAACGTTAATGGATCTGCTCAAGCTCTCTCCTCGAAAGCACTCGCCAAGAAACAAATGCTTCCATCATTCCCTCCAGGAGCACTGGCCATGGCAGTCCCATACTCCACTAAGCGCTGGAATTTGGGTACCGGGGGGGTCGACTACGTTCTATCATCCACTGTGCCCACATTCTTCCAGCTCATGACTAAAAAGGCTGGGTTCCAATCCATCCGAAACTTCATGGATCCGGAACTCCTTATCAATACAGGAAGACAAGTCTTTGAAGGGATTGCCGCTCAGGTATTGCATGAGCTTGTCGTTCAACCAGCGAACCGTAATACTACGGGAAGTATTACTTACACAGAGCAGAGATTGCATGCGAAAGCTCTGTCGACCGGGTTCATGTGCAGCTTTCTTGGACTACTCGTCATATTGTCTGTGGCCATGATATTCATCCGCCCCAGCTTTTCAGCACCCGCCAAACCGGTAGCAGCCTTTTCGACGGCTACTATACTCGCATCGAGCCCTGAACTTGACAAAATCCTATCACCGATGGGGCATTTAAGCAATGACAAGTTACAAAAACGTCTTGGAGACTACCGATTTCGAGCGGATTATGTCTCTGATTCACATTCAGGTATACGTATTGAACCAATCCAACGGAATGAAGGGCAAACCGCCGTCAACAACGTGACGGACCAAGGCCAACGCCAAGTGCCTTCATGGAGGCCAATGGCCAGCACCACCTGGTTCCTTGTTCTTGCGATCTGTCTCCCGTTGGTTGTTATTGCGTCGCTGGAAATTGTTCAACATTTCTCAGACACAAACAACGGATTCATCAGCATTAACAAATCGAGTGCACTTGCCTTTGCCACTTACATCCCTTCGGCCGTCGCGCTTGGAGTGGCTGGTCTCTACTCTGCTATTCAAATGATGACGGCGATTTTTGCTCCTTTTGCTCCTTTAAAGAAAGAAAAGGCCAATGCGAAAAGGACAGTCGAGCTGAGTCTCGTTGCCCAGCTGCCCCCTCACTCCTTATTCTTATCGCTGAGAACAAGGAATTTTGCAGTAGCCATGGCACTATTTGGAAGCTTTATTGGAAGCTTTCTAACTATTATTGTATCTGGCCTCTACAGCGTCATTGAAGTCCCAATTGTCCAAACTGTTGCACTTCAGCAAGGCGATGTGTTCAACTTTACCAATGTTGACCTTTCTCTTACGGATACTGAAGCTACTGCCATTGATAACTTGGTGGAATATCTAGGCTTGAATAGCACACAGTGGACACACAAAAATCTGGCCTTCAATGTACTGAAGCAGAATGCCACCCTCACGACGAATTCAAGCGCAAACGTGCCACTCACAGTCAATGTACCCGCCGTGAGACCCTCATTGAACTGCACTTCGATACCCAATTACCTTCGTGATATAACAATACTCAATCAAGAGAGTGAAGAAAGTGGTGCAATGGAGTTCAAAATGCCTGGGCAAAATGCGATGGTATCTCCCCAGGATGGCTATATTTGGGTCGGCGTTAACACAACTCTGGAATATGCTGATTGGTGTGAGACTGCTCCCAAAGGTCTGAAGAGCCAAGAACCGTGGATGCAGTATTTTCTCCTTCCCAACGATACAAGCATGGCCTATGTAGGAAAGGCCTCCGTCCTCATGTGGGATGGCGGTGCAATATTCGGTGATGGAGCGGTAGACACAAACCCACAAACAGGAGAAATGGGTAACGGGCTCCATCAAACAGACAACGGGTGCCCAACATTTGCCGTAACATTCGGTCAGATGAAGGTGACGAAATCGGGCACAGGATCCAAGGCCAAAATTTCCGGCTTCGAGCAAGATCTCGCGACGCTCATATGTTACCAAAATATTGAGCAGGTCATGACCAATGCAACATGGCAGCTCCCTAACTTGTCTTTTGACCCCGCCCAGCTTCCTTTAGCGGATGAGAGTACGGCAAAACTCCTGAAATCGAGTCGCGGCAGTGAACGGTTTCCCTTTTTGCCAAATGCCTGGTTGAATACCCTCAGCAACCCGCGATTTAACCAGACAATTCCTGGCCCGAGCAATTCCAACTCAACGAATAACAACATTGATAACTTCATTGAGGCTCTAGTCTTGACGAAAGATGGCCGACCGGCAGATAAGCTCGCTGGAGCTGAAAATGTCGAAAATCTCAGAAACGCCACTCAGCGCTTCTATGGGACGTACATGGCTCAGGCCATTTCTCTAAACATGCGAGACAACAGTACTACCAAAGACCTCCCTATTTATGACGGCCTGGTTACAACATCTGGCAATCAGAGACTGCAGCAGTCTCGCGGGTCCAAGATTGCGCTCCAGGTCGTGCTCGCTGTGATGATGGCGTGCGCTATTGCAACGAGGTTGCTTTTACCAGTGAAAGACGTATTGCCACATAATCCTTGCTCGATTGCTGGAACGGCGACACTGATGGCTGGCGGAGAGATGATCTCTCGAATCGGTGCTGAACGGATGGATATGGACAATTTGCTCCACAACGGGTTGTATAGTTTGAAGTGGTGGCGGGATGAGAAGGGTGTTGAGCGTTATGGTATTGACTTGGAGCCGCCTATGTAACTGTCAGAGCCCTCTATGTAGATAACTGTTAATTTAATTAATTAAATGAGAGCCGTGATGCCTCAAGATACATAATACTTTATATTTCAATTGCTTCTCCTAGTTGGCATGGTCTTAAGCTGATGGATGCCCTGAGGAACAAGGTCTACTAGATTACCTATACGGCCTTGATCTTTTAAAGTGAACTATCATTTTTTTCCCATCGTGATGATTTCATTTGTTCTACTCTATGTAAACAAATCTGCCGCACCTTTGCATATACTGACCAGAAGGTTACCTGGTCATGGCGGTTTTATACCGGCAAAACAGCACGAAAACTTAATAAGGCCAGGCTATTAGCGACACCTTGAATTAGGAGTGGTATGATGGACCGAATGTTTATTTATAAAGCCACAATAATTGTGAGATGTGTTTTTACATGCTTGCCAGCGCTGCTTCTTTTGGCGTATGCTGTATCCTTGTTGACCGAAACGGTCGCGTATGATTGGCTGCTGGGTGGTGTTTCGTCCTGTGAGCGGCGCTTAAACTGGAAGCCTGGAGACAAATCAAGCGACGGGCGGTTATTGATACAGTGAGCAAGGATAAATCATCCTTTATTAAAGTAAAGAATAATGCCAATTCGCAAGTATTCCAATTTTTCGGTTCTTCAATTTTTCTTTGCATGCATTTTTTACAGCGATTTTCTTTGTTCTTTCATATGTTCAGCGGACGGCGCTTGCGTATAGACTCTTTGCACTCTTTTTCTTAGCGACACTCGTTTTTGAGAACTCAAAACAAAACACGCCTTCACTATGAGATTGCTCTTCTTATTATATACTCTCGTTTTATCCACTGGGCTCTCTTCTTCAACCGCCATTGTCACCATTACTGCCGCTCCAGCGATCCCCTCCAACGAGCCCTCCTACTCCATCACTTCGTCTTTTACATCCGCAATCCTTAAATCGACAAACACCTATCGACACCAATACAACGCCTCTTCGCTCTCTTGGAACACCACGCTTGAGAAGTTTGCCACGTCATACCTCCAATCAGACACAACTTGTCGCTTCGCTCATTCAGGTGGCCCTTACGGAGAGAATTTAGCTATAGGGTACCCCAACGCTACGGCGTCGGTGGAAGCGTGGGGAAACGAGGAAGCCAAGTATAACTTCAACGACCCTGGGTTTTCGGAGGAGACGGGGCATTTTACACAGCTAGTTTGGAAGACTACAACGACTGTGGGATGTGGGAGGAAACTGTGCGGGACTAGGGGTTGGTTCGTGGTTTGCGAGTATTGGCCGAGGGGAAACGTAGGAGGAGAGTATGCAAAAGAGGTTGATAGGAGCATAGATGGAGGAGGAGGGACAAAATTGAGCGGCCCTGTAGTTGCGGCTGTGGCCGTCGTGGTGAGCCTGGCTCAGTGCTGTGTGATAATAGTGGTGTTTTGGTGGTTTGGAACTGTCAAGTCGTGATGCTGTCAACAGATTAGAATTGATTTGTTTAATTATTGCATAATCTGCACTTCAGAGCAACTAATTGACGCCATCGTGTCATTCATATCAGACTGAAGTCTAAAGAAAGTACAATGGCCATGAGAAAGCAGACTCTAATCGTTGGCTTATCTTCTCTCCCATCTTGTGTCGCCTACATATAAGGGCCATACAGGCTCAAGCTTGTACTCTCGAAATCATCTCGTGAGACGAAAGCTCAAATGCTAATTTGCGTCGACCTCGTCCAATCAAAAAGCTCATTCCTCTGTGGCGCAATTGGCTAGCGCGTCTGACTGTTAATCAGGAGGTTGGAAGTTCGAGCCTTCCCGGAGGAGATGAATTCTTTTTTGGTCTCCGATTGTACTCCTTTTACGTAATGACTCAAAGTATCTGACTTCGTACTAATTTGTAAGAAGACTGTGATTTATAAGTGCTACTTCTGAGAGTTCCGTGGAAGCTTCTCATGGCTTTTGGCTAGTGTGCTTGAGAATATGACTCAAGGGTCTTATTAGCCGGCTAGGTGTTTATAGAGTTGCCGAATTACCAGACTACCGCGGCCCAGTTCAATAATCAGGAACAGAATGATCAATTAGGTCTGTTTCGTAACTTGCCTTTGTACCTTGCGTGCGTAAGCACACTGTTGCGTTCAAGGGAACATTGCTGTATATATCTTTCATAGACCGAGTAACTGGAGTAACGACATATAGCAATGTAATCTATGTTCATACATAAACTTTATTTTTTCAACATATATAAATTGGTTCAAACGCCATCAACGTAATACCGCTTGCTAGTTAACCCATCGTGAGTCAAAAGCTGGGCGAAATGACAAAGCAAGATTAGTAATTTTGCACAAATCCAGTCTACAGCTCTAAACTATATAGCCTAGTTTCACGGAAATTTGGTGGCGTCGATTCAAATTTACGTAACAGTCGTGGCCATCGAAATGAAGATCCTCGGCTATCTCCAGGTCAATTGGTAGGTAATTATTAATATCTATACGTTCTATCTTTAAGTGCCTCTTGATAAGGTTACGTTCGCAAACTCTATCTGTCGTCTTTAGCCCCTCACAGCTTGATATCTAATTTGTCTTGGAGAGATGTCATGATTACTTCTAAAGAGCGAAGCGTGTCTTCTGTCGGATCTTTGAACCAAATCTAAATAGTATCCAAGGAATCGGAATCAAGCCAATGGCTATGAACCCAAGTAGACTGGCGGCCCATTTTGTCGTCAACGTATCATACACTAAGGCCGGACGTTAGTCTGATATCTCCATAAGTGTCCACATCAATGGCATATAGTAAAACGTACTTTGGATAATGAAAAGCGGGAAAGCGGCAGCAAAGACGTAGCGGGTAAAGGCATTTGCAGAAAGCGCCGAAGCTCCATACCGAGCGCCATAGCAATCAATCATGTAGGTTATGCTAGTTGCCTGATTTGAGAAGTTTTTGTTAGGACTAGACGTTCAATAAGCAAACAGGAGAGAGGGGGGGCTCACAAAGATGCAAAGATTGCCCCAGTTGAATGGAATCAGAGCAAGAATCGGACTTATCCAATGTACACTTGGGCGGGCAGTCCAAGCAAACCAAAAAAGGCCAGTGGCAACTCCAAAACTTCCCATGAGCGCTGGATAGAGACGCTCCTCTGGAGGTATATGGCCCGTTTCACCTCTTTCTCGTGCCTCGGCGCATTTCCGTGTATAGATGAAGCGGTCGCAAAGAACGTTCGTCAGCGTTGCTAATAGCGCGCCAATTCCTAGAGCGATAAAAACCAATCCATTCTGGTGGGAATTGAAGTTGTATGTTTCTTGAAAGACAAGTGGGATGGAAGCGAAGAAGGCGTATAGCACAGCAAAGTCGAATCCAATATAGAGACTCAGGAACAAGACGATGGGTTCGGTGAACAGAAGTTGCAGAGGCCTCACCAAGGACTCGCTTGCCCATTTGTGTATAGCACCCCAGCTCAACGTAGGTATCTTGATTCGGGAAGACGGTTTCTCTTTCTTCATATCGCGCTCGAGGATAGTCTTTTTGTAGGTTTCACTCATACCAAGAGCGAATATACATGTCGCGACGCCCCAAAAGACAGAGACCCATTCGAGCCACCTCCAGTTCAACCGTTCTATGACGAAGCCACCTATGATTGGGGCTGGTTAAGAGTTAGCATTAGGGTGAATACAGCATTTATTTCAAAAGATTGACAATTGAGAGCTGACTTACCAATGCATGGCCCCATAAAAGGAGCCATAACGAAGAGTGCTGTCGATGGTCCACGACGTGCGGGTGGCCACATGTCTGCCATTGTTCCACCACCCACGCTCAATGCTGGGCTTCCAAATACACCGGCGAAGAAGCGGCAAATCACAACTGAGGCAATGCTTTTGGAGACCGCGGCACCGATGAGAAAAAGCGTGGCGATGGGCAAACCCAACCGGTAGACAACCAATCGCCCTGCCGTTTCACTAAGAGGTGCTCCTATCATAGGTCCAAATGCCAGTCCAAGGCAGAAGAGCGAGATACCGAGCAATGAAACCGTTTCTGAGACGTGAAATCTTTCTCCAGTTGCTTTTGCCCCTGGTGCGTAGGCTGAAGACATGTAAGTGCTATCAAAGCGACAAGTCAGTTGGACTATGGCTATACGTGTATGTCTGCTCATTACTTACACCGTAAACGCGTAAAGGGCTACGCAGACCGTATGGTACATCCGCTTTCCATCGCTCCAGTTGTATGGATTGCGAGGATCATCTTCCCACTCCAGCTCATGGTTGCTTTCTGGAGCACTTTCCGGGTCGCTCGAGGGAAAAGAACCTTCTTCCTTTTCGCGACGCGGTGCATCCTCCTTGATGTCCTCTATAGCATCCATATTGACTCGTGACTCGAGAAGCAGCTGAATCTTAGGTCACTAATCAACAACTCAAAGAGCTTGCCAAGACCATATAGGCTCTATGTTTTATATTGGAGACAACAAAAAAGGAAGAGTCAGCGGTGAAGAATCCGGAACAACAGACGCCGGCTCTTTCTTTTCCTTGCAAGGAACTTCGGCAAATCTCCACTACTAGATCTAGGCTCTGAATCACATAATACTCGACCCTAATGGGCAATAATTGGCATCTTGAGCCTCGAGGGGATGGCCCAATTATTTCCACAGTTATTTCCTTCGGCAATTATGAAGCATTCGGGTTGCATGACAAATCTTTTGCCCCAAATAGGCTACCAACCGAGGTAAAAGAAGTTGATACTAATCACTTTTCTCTAAAGGATTTGGGGATGGATCGCTGTAATCGATAGCAATGAATTGCTACTGTCAAATTATCAAGTAAATGCGGAAACGCTTCAGATACGTCGACATACGTGCATCACACGTACTTTGTACTTGATGTGTTGAGACGCTATAACCTGCCACCTTCTGCTGCTAACCAATCACTTACCGTTTCACTACTTGCTCGAGAGGAGAGCAAACAAATAAAAATCCAATAGCCATGAGAGCACAGCTTTAGAACTAGATATGCTATCAAGAGAGTTTGTTTTCTAAAAGGTGGCATCTTCTCATGCGAAGCGTTTGTTTTACCAAATAGGGCATGTCTTGGTCAGATTGCTGGCCAGAATAGACATTACTCAGCAGCGTTGTGAAGGTGGAACCGCTCACAAAAGCCCACCTTGTATCTGTTGCTACTGTATTAGGCGTCTTCAGTAATAAGGGTTTGTTGCAGCGAGATATTCCTTATTTGAAAACTCTTACGGACTCGCCAGCACAAATGAATAGATTTAATGCATGGAGTATACGCATGCAAATAGTGAACATCTTTCTACAATCTCAATGACTCACTCGCGGCTGTCTTCATCTTTTTATTTTGGCGTCTTTTGTCTTAGTTACTTCCCTTGTCGATCGCTGTAACTTGAGCGAAGAGAGAAATTTGCAATGGCTTTTCAAGGCTAGACTCCCAGCCACGGGTTGGTAATCAGAGCAGATAACACAAGAAATGGATGCCTAAAGACTAGGTATAAATAGGCCAATGCTCCCTGCATTCTGCCTCGCCCAAACTGTTGGCAAAGCTACTACAGCAATACAGGAAGGACAAGTAGAGCGCTCTGGTGTAACCTGGAAGGGTTGTATTTTGCGGGCGGACTGTTGTGCATGGAACGATTCGAAGAAGACGGGAGCCACGTCTCGAAAGCGGTAAAGATTACTCAATGCTGACCAGGGCGTAAATGCAGGCAGACAGCAAGAATGCGGAATACTTATCCTCCTTGGTAAGAGATGCCCTTGTAGGTGCAGAGGCTAGCTTTAACGATGGGAAATCAATTCATTCTCTCGAGATGAGATTCGCTGCCCAGGTTCCGGGACTAACACGGATTTGTAAGAAATGAATGGAATACTATGCTTATTACGAAGATGTGGTAAGGCGCTACATCGATCCGCCTAAACCAGAGCGCGCGCGAGTTTGGTCCGGCGAGCAAACGGGGCATTTTAGCCATCACATTTCTTGATTTGGTTCAGTTTCGGGGTCACGTGACTCGATGTCTCATAGCCATAGTCAACTATTAATAATCGTGCTACAAATCGTCGCGTGGTATAATAATTGTCCCCAGTGAAGCGAGAGAGGCCTCGTTGAACTCTCAGTCTTTTGAGTTCTACATCTGCATTCCCTTACCAAGAAAAGGCTTTTGGCGCCGTATCAATAGCTACACGACTTACTGTTGATGAACTCCACTCATCCCATAATCTCTGCGGGCAAAGTAGCTGGACTATGTCGTCTTCATCGGTAAGAGTGAAGAGGAGGCGCACTGAGGAGTCCGACACGGAGGGCAGCGTCTCAGAACCAGAAATGGCCAATACGACAGATACCAGACGGCCAGTACTTGAAAGTGTAGATGGAAACGGGAATCCGGAGCCGATAACTGTATCAGGTGAGTCGAGTGCCCTTGTAGTGTGAGAGCCTTCTGACCCGCATTGTAGAAAAGAGATACCGAGATTGGCGCAGTATGTTCAGTCCCCTTTCTTTTCCGATTCTCATCCTCCAGAGAATTCTCCTATATGAATTTTCACCTTTCCAGGTATAACTCTAGATACTAACAAAGTCTTGCAGAGAATGGATCTCCGCGTCGAGGCGTGTGTTTTGTGTGCAGTAAAGCGGGAGCCTTAGAGGACTGCTACACCTGCCCGAGATCATATCATCAGCATTGTTTGGATCAGCCTGTGGAAACCTTTATGCATCATGATAATTTCTTTTGCCAAGTCTGCCAAAAACGACAATGGCACCAGCATCTACCGCCACTCAGTCCGCCACCATCTCCGCCTCCAGAGAAGCAAAGGGTGGCTCTACCCAGTCACAGGCCAAATACACAGCCTAATAATGAACTCTCCCTGCCTTTACCGTCACCCGCTCCAGCGTCAAATTCGCCGGCTCTCACACCTACTCCCGCCCATGCTCCCGCTCCGGCTACTGCTCCCGCTCCCGCACCAGCAACCCAGAATTCTCAGGCTACGGCACCGACGTCTTTTACTTGGCTATCTCAAAACCAGTACACCACTCCAGTCGCTCGCTCAGGCACGATTTCAAGCCCGCGAGCCTCAACGCCTCTTTCGGGTGTAATCAACATGTCGGGCGTCGGCCGTGGGATGGTAGCCGGTCCACGAGGCCCCCGGTCACGCTTTTCTACGCTACCGGCCGAGGTAGATGATGCAGTCTCTCTACTGCTCAGGGAACTAGAGTATCTGGGTGATGCAAGACAAAAAATCACCCATCTCGAAGATGTGATTGTGAGACTACAGCAGGACGTCAGGATCAATGAGAACGCTCTCAGGCTGGCGCAGCGCAATGCTGCATCATCAAATTCACGCAATTCGGAGGGCCTACGAACCGAGAACGAAAAGCTGAAGAAGGAGGCTGAGGATATGCGTCGATTACTAGCGGATGAGAAATCTCGATCTCACTATTACCAGGCAGATGCGGAGTACTGGAAGTCGCAAGCTCAGACTAAGCAGACAGAATTGGAGGAACTAAGAGGGAAGCTGAAGAATTTACTGGGTGGATAAACTCGTACGAGCTATCTGACGATTTACCATTCTACATGTATATATAGGGTAGCCGGCACGCGTTTTGGCATGGCGTACGTGGGTCAATGATACCAATAAGCATTGGTTTCGCTATTTGCGTCGTGATATACCACCGGCCATAGATATTATAATTCTTACAAGAGATTGCTTTCTGAGCTATATTAAGCAATAGATGCAGGCTTAGGGACACCATGGCCCATTGGTCTTGCTTTTGCCCCGTACTTACCGCATCTTGCCACAATCTCGTGAGAGCTCATTGCCACCGAAATATGCTAGCACGAGTTCGTAGGCAAGCTACTTTTAAACTCATAGAGGCCGAACCATTCATGTAAAGTCCACAGCTCAAACACCATCAAGGAATCGGGAGTAGGAATACCCATCAATGATTGTATACCATAAGCCTCGGCGGGACATTTGACCTGCATCGTCTTTTCGCTCTGTTCTCGCAATGGAGAGTAAATACCTCAATTAACATGGCTCTGAAGAAGGTCGGTTTTGGATCAATGATCAGGGGACATATTACTCGTTACTACTCCACATAGCATAGCTAGTGAGCAAACATCATTTTCTTGTTACTAACTCAGGGCACTCCATTGAATAGACTACAGTGGAGTGAATCATGTTATTTATCATCATTACAACATCTTATATCAGCCTTCTCAGTAGACTTGACTCTCTTGCTCGCTCTGCCATTGAGTTAAGACACCAGCAGCCATGCTGCTCGGAAAAATTAAAAAGTTTAAAGGGGAAAACGTAGAAGACTCAAGTCATATGATGGTATATCTCTGTTTACGCTCGTGTACACAGTATACAAGCCTCTTAGTTACAGTCTAGTTTAAATCGGCTAAGATGAGATAGAAATGCATCCTGTCATCGCTTGTTGGCTTTTAAAAACAGTTTATGAAGTTGCTTTTCTTACATACACGTACCCTGGAACATGTGCAAGAATTCGATCGCTAGATTCGATACAGCCCCCTGATTTAGCTACGGTTCTAAGTACAAAGAATGTATATGTACTCTTTTCCTCTTCGCTATAACAATGTTTAAAGCAGATCAAAGACAATGCAAACAACCACAACAACGATGCCAATTAAACGGAGTTCTATCTAGAGATTATATATAGTGCTAGAAAAGGTATTTGCAACGCAAGTTACTATACGAAACAACGCATGTCTATGTTTAACTCTTGTAACATTCGACAGAGACTTTTACGCTCTGTCAGAAGGCTCGCTCGTTGCTCTATTCCAAGACGTCCGAATAGCGCCCCAGTATTCTTCCGAAAACATTTGCATATGTCGCACATGCCCGCTGCCCTTGAACATGTGGTTATCAGACTTATATCCTCTTTTCCTTGCTTCCGCAATATGCTCTTCTATATCTTCGTATGGAATCAAGTCGTCGTCCTCGCTGTAAACGTATAAATGTCGCGTATCTTTGGTCTCATAATACGGGTCTATAATCGCCTTCACGCTGAAGACTGGAGCAGGTTCCTTTCCGATAGCCCACTCGAGCACGCGATTTCCACAGAGAAAACCGGCCCAAAGGGTTTGTGTAACGGCAAACGGCCAGGGAAACCAGTTTGCAGTTCCCAGAGCCATTGCCCGTGACCAGCGAGCCAGGTTTTCGCGTGTCATGATGACACTGCCAGGCGTGGAATCGAAGACCAGAAGGTGATGCGGCATTGGCCTGTCGTGAACAGCACGATAGGCATTCAGTGTTGCAGCATAGTTTATGCCGCCAGTGTTGGACATGATGTGTGCCAGCACACGATCTTCTCTGTTCTCAATCTCTGTGTCGTCGTTGGATGCCTTGGGAAAGATGGCATCAATTACAGGCCTCATCGCCTGTGTGCGTTGGTCGAGGTTTGACCACATGGCTGTGGAGATGGGAGCCAGCACGACGATCTGCGTTGAGCAGGGGAAGAGATCTCTGTATCCATCGGCATATTTGATCAGGTTTTTGGGCTGTCCATCACCCCATGAGTAGATGAGAACGGCCCTGGGATCAGTTGGACGCTCGACAGCATCGCTCTGTGCATCAGGGTGGCGGATGAAAACCTGTGCTGATAAGGGGGTAAAGCCAGGGAAAAAGTCTTTTTTCTCAATCATGGTGAACTTTTTTAGCGCCAATGTTCCTTAGGATGTGGTAGTAATTGAAGAGGTTGAATCTTCTGGCACTCACTTCACACTCGAATTTGAGCTGAGCATTCAAGTGCCGTCTTGGGATTGATAAAGACTGTCCAAATGATAATAGATCTTCATCTGGCTTTGTTGGGATGTGACTCGCGTTGTTGGGCACAAAATGACCCGCCTGGTCGGCCAAAACTGACAGATTCGTTACTCCTTCTCCGTGCCTCGGCTCGGTGACAAGTCTCGTAAGCAGGTTCGTGCTGCGTCGTACTGCTAGTTGTCAATCCAGCAAAAATCTCCCATTCAAGTTGAATGGAAGATAACAGCGCTATTACAGAGACATAGTAGAGCATTTCGAACCTTGTAATGAGCCGCCTTTCAGAACAGCAAGTGGCACTCAAGCCCTTGTGCAAAAGTCCCCAGATCGATCTCAGTTGATCGCTTTCACATGCTTTGACATGTGCATTGCCGGCCCACTACTATCAAGCGGCCCACTAATCTACAAGTCCACAGGGGCCTTGTTTAGTGCTGTCAGCGCCAACCGAAGGAAGGCAGTTGGGTATTCATGCGAAGGCCGTTGTCAATAAATGAAGTGATAAACCATGTCCACATAGTTCAAAGACCTTATTTGGCAATAGGTGGATTTTGCTTTTTGATGAGTAGTCTCAACATTTTGCAGATTGTCTCATCAATACGAGGGGCAGACCGCGTTGTAGCAGTATCGCCTAAACAGGCTGCCAATGGTATGAACATCACTTCTGCATCGTTTTTGTAAGTAAAGCCTTTCGGCCCTGTGTTGAGATGAAACAGTTTGAGAGATTTGGTAAAGCAAGTTGCCTAGCGATTGCGCTTTGTCATGTGTCGTGGAAACTCCGCTAATATGGAACACTCGAAACGAGCAGAGGGACATCTTTGAAATACAACTTCAATTCAGTCTCAATAGTCATACGAAAGTATATAACGACGTATTAAAGGCTGACTTCTTCCAATATCTGCCCAGTTTATATCATCTTGAATCGCCTATGTTGGGATATTGGCAGATGTATCCAATATCGCATTGTTACTTTTGAAATTCCGGGCGGACTTTGATCTCCTCAACAACTTGTGCCGCATCAGGGTCGCCTTCTGCGGCTAAACGGTGTAACTCATCAGTGTTATCCTTTACCCATTGCTCGAAATGACCCGGCTATATTGCGTTGGTAAGTGTGTAACCTTGAAAGTTTATGGCTCTAAACTTACTAGTGGGAGATGGAAACCTGCTTCTTTCGCAACATCCAGCTCTCCCATGATAAAAACTCCTCTAAGCTGTTTTGCAATAGAATCGTTGCCAACAGTCTCATTCCAGAAACTCTCTAGCTTGTCAGCCATGCCTTCTAAGGCCTGTTGACTGCGACTAGTGCCACTTCGTAGGCTGACAAAGAGACGGTTAATGCGTCTTTGCGTACCGCCGACGTAAGAATCGGCCAAAAGCCCTTCGGAAACATCGATAAAGCGGACGTTTACGATGAACCTTGGTGACTTGAATGTAGTTGCATGCCAGTCTGTGATGGTGCGAACCAGAGCCAATTTTTGAATCTGGGTGAGTTTGGTAGCGAGTTCAAAATGATACATAGGCATCTTGATAATATAACGATGATGAAGTAATAGTTCAAGCTACTAAAAGTTTCGAGAAGTATATGACTGGTATTATCATCTAGTTGCCTAGTTGCTCCTACTAGGTTATTAAGTATATCGACTGCAACCGATATCGGCTTGCCCAAATGTCTTCCCCAAGTCGATAGGTGGAATCAACTTGGAGATATTGACAAGGAATCCACTTAAAGGATTGGTCATCTGTCCGAAAAGAGAAATGGCTGCGCGCCATGCTGACAGACTGTTGATCCTCCGCGGATACTGTCGGCAGAGATATTAAAAGCAGGTCGGGAACATGGAGAAGCGAAGGGCGTGAGTAGGTAAAGTTGATGACTAAAGTAAGCCAAGATTGGTTAGAGAGGTGGTTGAGGAGTGCCTATACAGGCATTTACGGCTTCTAATCTTCACATCTCTAGCAACACTCCGCTAATCTTAGGCCATAAGGCCAACTGCTTAACGAGTGACATCACCATTTTAAATCCTAAGAATTGATGGTGAATGTCAATTGACTGACAGATACTACGTTCAACTCTATCAAGCATCAGAACAGAGTTAATAAATGGATTATCGTTTTAACATTGCTTTTCTGAGACTACGCAATACGGCACGCGAGTGTCTACTTTCTTGGCAATTAGACAGAAAACACAAGATCAATTTGACGTTTTTGCAAGAGGTTCAGTGAAACCAGCTGGCATCTTAACGGCTGAGATGACCAAACCTCAGTTGCCAAGATGCTGACAAAGATAATCATCGATGCAGCCTATGTTGGCTTTGAAGGCCTTCTATTACTGCTTTCATCACCTGTGCTTTCAAAGCATCCTGTTTTTGGAAGAGTAAAGTATCCTCGTCGTCTTGGCGGACTTACTTTACGGCCTTCTGCGGTCCTCTGCGGTCTTCGGTGTTACGCGGTGTTTTAATAAGTCCGCGAAACTAGCTATTGTTCTTAAAACTTTACGAGATAGTGCCACAAAGTATAATAGATCGGAGATAAGCAACGCAGACTACTCGGTCGGTTTCTGTATTGCCGATATAATCAAACGAAGTTACTCTATTGTCTGACAAATTTCGCTGACGAAGCACAAAGTTGGAGGATTTTAAAGCCGTGCACGTCTTGGGTGGCCAGTTCCTCTTCGTACCTTGGTTAAACTGCTTCACCCACCTACTCTATATAAACCCACCGAGTTCAGTCTGATCTTCTCGGGTTCACACTCCACAAGTATCACAAGCACTCTCTCTTTATCAACTAACAAGCAAAGCACCAAACATTTCGACTGCCAAAATGCAAGAGAAAACGGCCTTCCTGTTGATCGACCCACTGAATGACTTTTTGCATCCAGAGGGCAAGGTCTTCCCTGCTCTCAAGGCTAGCATTGAGGCTACCGACACGGTGAACAATCTTCAAAAATTTGTTAACGTTGCAAGAAAGAGTCATATCCCTATCTTTTATTGCCAGCACCAATTGCATGAAGAAGGCTCATATCATGGCTGGAACCACATGACAAAGAGCCAACTCAGAATCCAACAAACAAACACATTCGCAGCAGGGAGCTTCGGGGCGGAAATTTATAAAGGACTTGAGCCGGATCGCAGTAACGGCGATGCCATTGTGTCGCGCCACTGGAATAGCAGGTAATTGATCGATTCTCTTCATGTTCTTCCATGTGTAAAATGTGCCGTGACTTACGAAGCCATTCAGCTCTTTCGGCAATACTGATCTAGACTATCAACTTCGCCAACGAGATATTACGCACGTTGTCTGTGCGGGCATGGTCGCAAACACATGTTTGGAAGCTACCGCTCGCTATGCGATTGAGCTGTAAGTCGCTAAAGTACAAACTCCAGTATTTACTAGCAGCTAACAACGGTATTTTCTCAGGGGATACCATGTCACAATCATGTGCGTACTCTCGTAGATACATACAATTCTAAGGTGCTGATATGCTGACCCATGTTTTAGAAGCGATGCGACCGCTGGCTTTTCAGTTGAGCTGAGGGATGTCGCTGAGAAGGTTGTCTGGCCCACTATTGTGGACGAAGTTTTGACCATCGACGAATGGAGCGCCAAGTCCAACAGCGCAAAGTAAGTGGCGCAACTATTCTGTTGTCCGGACTTGCCGAGCGGGCAAAGTTTAGGCGAAGCTCTCCCGATCAATTATAGCATTGGGTTCCTACGTATACATAGCTTCTGAATAAAAACGATTTTGGTTGGAATGTTATTGCGCGCAGCACAAAGTAAAGCATGCTGGAAGAAATAAATATATGTCTACAATTCTATGTACTCCTTCTTGACGACCTTATCGCAAAGCTCTTTCAAAGCTTTTGCACCATACTCAAAATCCTTTATTTCGAGATACACTTGAGCCGAGAACCTTGCCCACAAGGATCCCGAGATGAAGGCGATATTCACAAACGTGCTATAATCCTTAGCAAGGCGTTCAAGAATAAAGTCAATGACTTTCCAACGTCTGACAAGGGAACTGAATGCCCATTCTCTTTGACGACAGATGATGCAATTTCCAGGGGAAGACGAACGTTGGCAAAAGCAGTTCGTTTTGTCTCCGGTATGGATAGCGGGCGACTCTGCAATATGTCGACGGCGAGCTTTTCGCCCTCTCGAGCCAACATCTGGCAATAAACCCGTATAGCTTCTTCCCCGCCGCAAATTTCTTGCCTAAAGCGAAGCGCAGCAGGGATGCACAACGGCGGCCCATTGTCAATTGTTCCCGTATAACTAAACTGGAATACGAATGGGTTCTTGGATGCTGGAAGCTCGTATGGGCTTATATACTGTTTCTTCTCTAAAATTTCGGGAAGAGGCTGGAAGCCATGCGACGTTGGAATAGAAGATCGCATGAGATGTTGGTTCTTCAAGGCGACATAGAAAACGGCGCAAGTATGTGGCACAAATAACCATCTAAATATTGCGTCAGAATTAGCTTTCATTCGGATAATGAGCAGATATTGAAGAACAGAACTTACTTGTGACAGTTCGTAGTGAAGAAATCGGCTCCAAGCCTCTCCATGTTCAGATCGATTAAGCCAATTCCATGAGCTCCATCGATAGCGCTTAGAACTCCAAAGTCTCTACAGATCTTTGTTAGGCGTTCAAACGGTATTCTAAGTCCTGGCATGCTCATAACTGTATCGAAAATGGCTACGCGAATGCGACCGTGGTTCTCTTGTAGGACCGATTGAAATGCCTCGACAAGCGTATCATCATCGTCCACAATTGGATCGAATGGAACACGAATGCTGTCCACAGTTGTAGTCTCCACAAGATAATCAATTGTCTTCTCAATTGCTCCGTAAGTTCTTTGTATGTAAGCAATCATGTCTCCTGGCTGGTAGGTTAAATTGCGAAGTACAGTGTTCAGTGCCGTTGTTGCGTTTGGTACTAGAACAATTTCATCTCTATCGGCAGCATGTAGATGACTAGCAATGAGCTCACGGGCTTCATCTAGCTTTGCCGGATATATGTATCGGACAAAATTATCAGGCTCGGCTTGTACAGCGTCTTGGACAGAGCGCAAAGCATCTCGCACTGGACGAGGATATCCACCATAAGATCCTTTTGAACAACATTAGCTATGTCTTGCAATATGACATGATCTATCCTACGTTTCACTAACCTTGATTCAAATGGATGAAGTCTGGTTTAAACATAAAGTATTTCTCTCCAAACTCTTTACCGAATTTGGGAGATTTGGTGGTATCCATTGAGCTCGCCATCGACGTTGCGGAATAAGCTCTTGAGCCGTAAATAACTGTTGTGTAGCTGATGTCGTATTGGTATAACGAGAAAGCTTGACTGATAGAGTGAAGAAAAGACTTGGACTTGTTGTCGTTGGAGATCTTCCTCAAGAAACCGACTTAGCTAATATACCTTACCTGAGAATTCTGGATGCCGCGCAGAGGTACGCCAATCCGATCACGGCGTATCCAAAGCAAATTTCCGCCATTTTTGGTTTCCCACCAATAATCGACAACAATTAATCGACTAGACTAGTTGCTGCATCGTTCAAAGGTCAACGCCATCGGTGGAAGGACTAGGGCTATTAACGGCTTTGCTGATTCAGCTTGATTACTAAAATATGAGTTCCTTATCACCGGAACCGGTTGGTGCTTCGGGTATGCATTGCCGATGACAAACTGGTTACCTAAGATGGAAAAGTGCATCTTGAAAAGGCGTCCGATATAGGTGAGCAATATGGAATCACTGACGCTACTACGCCCTTGTGGCGGGGCTGACAACAAGAGCTCAGCTCTGACTGCGACTTCGAAAACAACACACAAGTGAGACCAATAGTTTTTTTAAAAGATAAAAGACTGAGTATTAGACAAGCTTTCAGCATTCATACCCATCATTCATCGGATACGAGTTCATAAACTTTATTCATCAAGTCTCCTACTTAAACAGACAAAATGCCTAGCCCACAGCCTGTTCAAACAGACGCCGCTCCGGCGCCCATTTCACTCTTCTCGCAGGCTCAAGTCTACAATGGCCTCGTGTACTGTTCAGGAAACATTGGTATCGACCCCAAGACGGGCAAACTTATTGAGGGCACCGTTGCGGATCGTACTGTAAGCAAGCGTTAGTATCAGCAAGGAAGATCCTTAAACACTGACACGGCGTTCACAGGAACAAACTATCCGTAACATATCTGCGCTTTTGGAAGCGGCCAACTCATCTCTCAAACGCATCATCAAGGTCAACGTCTATCTGACGACAATGGACAACTTTGGGCCAATGAATGAAGGATATGCAAAGTTCTTTTCAGCTCCATTTCCTGTAAGTGTACTTTTAATCCACTACAAACAAAGATAGTTAACATGCTTTAGGCCCGAACATGCGTGAGCGTCGCTGGTCTGCCAATGGGTGCAGATGTAGAGATAGAGTGCGTCGCAGCATTGAACGAATAGATATACTTTTTGTCTGTTTATACAAATAAACGGACGTTGCGTGCACATTAAACTCGATACGTACCTATAGTGAAGGCATAAGCCATACTCCTCTCGTAGCTGAGGGGAAATTGAAGTTGTCGCCTGAGGGAGTGTGTCTTTATATTGTCTATATCTCCTACTCCATCCAAATGCCATTTTAGGTCAGTATACTTGCATTCAGTTGGCAATTAATCCGTAACCTTATAGGTAGCTATCTTGGCGTTCAATTGTCCTGTATAGTAAGAGAAGACACCTTTCCATCACTTCTCCCAATAGCCTAACCAATATACTAGCCTGCTCTAGCCAACCGATTACGACTTCAGGTGTAACAGACCACGCCAATCAGCACCAGTACGTTAGAGTAGCGGCCTCGCATAGTAATGAGGTTCCAAAGTTATCATATCGTGGGTGGCCCAGTCCATGGCTGTAAGCCATGTATTTTCAACTTCACGAAACCCATGTCCTATTGCGGAGCAGTATTTCCGGCTCTCTGGTAATAGAGATGCGGGTAATATTCCCGGCCCCCGGGAATATATTATTGGCCCTGTATTTCCGCCTCTGGAAGATCCAGCTGCACGCTTATTCGGCCCGCATAGTGTAAGGAGATCCCCCTACGTATGCCACCAATCGAAGGATCTCCATGTCAGCTACTGCACTACGACGTGTAAAACTTCCGAGCGCAGCCTCAAATGACCAGTAGAAGAGGATTAGAACAGGTTATATAGAGCACCTTCATTGTTCTATGGTTTATGTGGCTTAATAGTCTACATGCATCTGCAAATAATCTGCATAGATCTACTACATAGCCCTTTACACCAATGACATTATCTTCGACGCCCGGTTTCGTCAATATTTCATTATTTTGTTTCATACCGCTTGAAATTATTGGGTCGCCCTGTATGTACATATCAGCTGAGCCCAGGGGTGCCAGTCGAATGATCTTTCGGATCAGCTACTTTCCAGAAGCTGTTTGAATTGATTGAGTACCAATACGGCCAGTCCACACGTCCAGGTACCTGGTTTATGACACGTGTAATCCGAGATGGAGAGAAATTCACGTCCCTCGTATAGATGAATGCATGCATTGTTTACAGAAGCATACATTTGAAGATCAAGGCTTTCTTGGCAAATCTGCTTTAGCCTAAACTGCGTACAATGTATTTTATAAATTATAGTACCATACGCACGAATTCTGTAACTTAACTCTTAGAGGTCATCAAGAAGGCTGAGCAAGACGAATTTCTGGAAAGGCCTATTAAATGTAAGAAAATTAGTCCTTTAGTAAGACTAAAGTCTTGCAATATTTATTTATTATATAGAACAAATGGCGCTCAAGTCGTACGACAAGCGTCGATTCATACTCAGTCAATGTGTATAATGCTGGCCGGGTGTAATGGCATAGTGCCTGGTAAGCACTTAGTTTCGACTCATCTTGAGTCTTGGCCTACGCCCAGGTCTAAACAGGCGATCCGCCCCAACCGAACCCCCGCTTGACATTTCCATTATCCCGGACCGGGCCGCCAACGATTGACCACTAATGACCATCAAAAGCTAGATAGAACTCCAGGCCCGCCATTGATGCTCGATCTGCAGTCAGCTTATCACTTTTGTGTAAGTTAGAAACGATGTGCCTGCTCAGGCCTGCTCAGGGGTAACTGGGACCTTCTGTAAGCCCTAAAGCATTTGTAGGAGTTTGTGGTCTGTCGTCTTGAGCTTGCTTCTTACGAAAACGAATTGTCGACATGTGAAAAAGATGAATGATTTAAATGTTGAAAGCTTCATTGACGATTTACAAGTTTACAGAGCAGTCATCAACATTACGCCTAGAAAGAAAGAGAGATGCGCTGGTAGCTTCTGGAAAGACTAGTCGCTGCAGTTTCTCTAAGACCCATTTCCAATCACAAACACGCGGCAGACAGGGATGGCATCGCGATAGAGGGGCACGGTATGCTGCCTTGACCCACTGCTCCTTGCACACCAGGCACTATCGATTGTATCTGTGCTCGTACAAGCATGACTATACTCTCTTATTAAGTGAATGCTTCAAGGGGTCTAGAAAGCCAAGTAAAGCTGCAAATCAGCACTAACAACTTGACAAGAAAGATGACTGGGGATTGCTCGAGGCGATTAGGAAGGGCTTCCTTGGCGTGATCTTCTGGCCCTTGTCTGTGAATATTTGCTCACTTGACTCAGTTCCACAACGGCGGGCCGAAGGATTTCTCAGAATGAAACATAGCGCATGCATATATATAAGAGATCAACGCCAGTATGGCTCTAGAAAGGGCTACTCAGCACTCACTTCCCTCTTCACTGATACTTTGACTTTCATTCAGAGTTCAGCATGCATATCAAGGAGAGCAAAGGGCTCTTCGCCTTGGCGAGTCTTGTTGCCCCAACGGTTGGCCTTTCATTTACATGCCAACCGGGTCAATCTTGCTGGCCCAGCCTCCAACAATGGGATGCCTTCAACAAGACGGTATCTGGACGCCTCAAGACTCCAGTTATGCTTGGAAGTCCCTGTTTCCCTAGTTCCAAAGACTACAACAAAGAGGTCTGCGCCGAGGTCTTGGGACAATACGGAAATGGCACCTTCCGAGAGACTACGTTCGGATCTACCCAGTTTACGCAGTGGGAGTCTTGCGGTGCTGAGAACTGTTATCCCGGCTTGGTTCAACCTCAAGCATCGACATGTTCCCTCGGAAGAATATCTCCCCTTTTCGTCGACGCGTTGGAGCCTTCCGACATTAGCGCCACCATCGCTTTCGCAAAGCAGCACAATATCCGCATCGTGCTCAAGAACACTGGACACGACTACCTGGGACGTAGTGCTGCAGCCAACACTCTCGGCCTGCGAACTCACAGCATGAAGAACATGACGTTTGCGTCTTCCTTCTCCGCCAAAAACTGCTCTGCCGCTTCTAACAAAAAGAACATTGGTATCATTGGTGCAGGTGTCACCGCAGAGGATGCAATTGCATTCTTCAACGACCATGGCATGATGATCACTATGGGAGCTTGCCACACAGTTGGTATTGCCGGTGGATATGGCCAGTCTGCAGGTCACGGCCCGCTTGGCCCTTCCAAGGGCTTGATGGTTGACCAAGCTGTTGAGTTTGACGTTATCACAGCAGATGGCGTCTTCAGAACGATCAACGAATGTAACGACCCCGACCTCTTCTGGGCCATGCGTGGTGGCGGTGGCCAGTCATACGCCGTTCTCGTCAACTACAAGTTCCAGGTCTACCCACAAACCAAGTGGGCTACATGGCTGTTCAACGCTACTATTACTCCGCCCAGCTCTAATGTTACAGAGAATACCGTCTTGAGGGACGTTCTCACTGGCATGTCAAATGATCAGGAATCATGGTCAAAGGCCGGCGTTGCTGGATACAACAACGTTTTGCCCGAGTCTCTCACATTCTTGGAGATTCTGCCTGCTGACGGCGATCCTTTGACAACCCTTAAGAATTTGACTGCCAAGTTTAACACGCTGTTGACGACCCACCCCGGCATCAACGTCATTGAGAGCACCTACCAGCAATTCGACAGCGAGACAGACTTCTTCATCGGCCAAAACACCTTTTACACTCCGAACACCGCAGTTGGACTGTCGTCTTCGGTCCCAAGTCGTTTTATCACCGTCGACAACTTCGAAAGCTCCGAGAAGATTGACACTCTTGTGACCAGTATTCTCAACGGCTTGGAAGCCGCCCGCGTACAACTTGGCGAAGCACTTGCAGGCGGAGCAAACGTTTTCCTCCTCAAGACTGCCCCATTCAACACGCCCGACTCAGCAAACAAAACCAGCACCCACCCCGCTTGGCGAAAGACTTTGTGGCACTTGGTTTACGGTGTTAGCTACGAGCCTGGCACTCCTGATGCCACCGCCAACCTGATGATGTCGGGTGCCCGCGCGGCCATTGACAAGATCAAGGCTCCGTTGTCTGTCCAGGCTGCCTATGTGAACGAGGCTGATCCAGCTGAGCCCGACTGGCAGAACGTGTTTTTCGGTGAAAATTACGGCAAACTTCTCGCCATTAAGAAGAAGTGGGATCCGGATACCGTGCTCAACTGCTACAAGTGCGTTGGCTACCTTGGAGACCAGGATCCTATGTACTCTTGCTACGGCAGCAATCCCAAGGCATCAGTGCAGTATCCTTTTAACTAATGGGGATAAGTAATGAATGAGGTATGATAGATATTGATATAGTGTAATGCATATAATGATAATATTCGAATTAACAATCTTGTCTAATCCCATCGTGAAAAATTGTACTACTGAATGATAGAGCAATTGCTCATAGTTAAGCAAGTTGGATAATATTTGCAAGAGAAAACCCAATTTAGACTGCAAAGTTTGGCACGCAGGGGCAGAAATAAGACCTGTAAAGATTATGCAGAACTTCACTTCTTGTTTTATATATAACAGAAAAAATAAAGGTAGTTGAAGTGGAGGAGGCGTAGAAAAAATAGCAACAGATCGAATAACAAGGTAGAAGAATTTGAGTAAATATCATGATACTTTCAGTATAATGACAATCATGTAATAATAAAGTGCTATGCTTCGCGATTCAATATTTACATGAGAAATGCTTGACACAGCTCGGTCAAGTTCGTTTACACTTGGGAAGCGTACACTTTCCCATGCTGAACATCCCATTCACGAAGCGCAATTTCACTTCAGCTATACATCTCACAAGCTTATCATCTTAAGAATTCCATTCAGATGCAAGATAATACATTAACGGCACGTCATGGTTCGTTTTGATTACAACAGCGGATGCTTCTGCAAATATACATGTGTATTGCGGTCTTTGCCGCCATAGATAAATTATATACATCAAAAACTATTAGGCCATCCGCCACCTTTTACTTCAATCTCTATTAGGCGCTTTAAACAGCAGGGAGGATCCAGGTGGTAACAGACTCAGTGGGAACATTGCCGCTCCACTCCTGGCCACTCTGGGTAGTCAGGTGAATGTAGACATCGTTGCCAAAGGTGTTCTCAATGACGACCGTGCGGGTACCGTCAGGGTTGAGAGAGGCAACAGACTGGATGCCACCGCTGCCCGAGTAGGTGTAGCTGCCAGTGCCGCTGAGGACGGTGGCGCCGACGGGGATGAACTTGCTGTACTGGGCCATCATGTAGTAGGCGGTCTGGAAGGTGTACTGGCCGTTGTTGATGGTGACGAGACCAGTGCAGGTGGCGCATCCACCCTCGGACAGGTGAGGGCCGTCCTGGGCGGTGGTGCCGAGGGTCCAGGCAGCAACACCGGAAGCCCAGTTCTGGAGAGGGCCGATGGTGAAGCTGGAGGCCTGGTTCCAGGAGCCGGTGGAGGGGGTCCAGCACTCGGTCATGTACTGCTCCACGTTGGGGAACTGGTTCTTGAAGTTGGTCAAGACGGTCCAGTCCAGGCTGCTGGCGTAGCAGTGCCATGCAACGGCAGGGACATACTCGGAGGCAATGCCCAGGACCTGCTCAGGGAAATCGGGCTGGTCTAAGTGGATTTGAGTTAGCTAAAAACGCGCCTACTTCATTACAGAGATGTCGATCAGTGCAAGATACATACCGGTGTTGTGGTCGTAAGCCCAGATCTGGGTGTTAAGGCCAGCAGCCTTCAGCGCAGGGCCGACGTAGTTCTGGATGAGGTCTCCCTGCTCGTATGAGAACATGTACATGGTAGGGTAGCCGCCCTGACTGTTCAGAGGCTCGTTTTGAATGGTAATGGCGTCAATGGTGGCGCCGTGGGACTCGTAAGCCTGGATGTACTTGACAAAGTACTGGGCAAAGGAGCTAGAGTACTGAGCACCGTTGTCGGTCAAGTAACCATCGTTGAGGTTGTTGTTGTTGGTGTTGCCATCAATGGCATTGTTGAGCTTCATCCAAGCAGGAGGGCTCCAGGGAGATCCGAAGATCTTCAAGTTGGAGTTGAGGCCCTTCATCTGAGCCAGCATCTGGGCCATGGCGGTACCACGGTCGCCGAGGTTGAAGCCAGTCATGCCGGTATCAGCGTTGCCTCCATTGTCGTCGTAGGTGTAGACAGGGTCGGCAGACAAGTCGGAAGCACCAATGGTGTGTCGCATAAGGGAGAAGCTAGCACCAGCGCCGGTCATGAGCTCGTTGAGCAGCTGGCTGAGGGTACTAGCAGACAGCTCGTTGAAAGAAGCAACGGTGGCATCGGTAACAGCAGCACCGAAACCGGTGATCTTCTGCTTGTAACCGGAGCTCGTGTCGTCAATGCTCAAGTTCCAAGTAGACTCTGAGCCGGGAGATCCAGCGCCCTGAACGGGAGCAGCAATCGAGGAGAGCTTGTAGTTACCGCCCGAGTTGGAGGCATAGGCGGTAGCACCAGCCGCACGAGGGCTGTGGGCAGCAGGCTCGGGAAGAGCAGCGCTGATGGCCACCTGGCCGGCGAGGGAGGCAAAGAGAGAGGCACGCATTTTTCTTTGACTGTTGTTGGAAAGTCTTGAGCTGTCTTGAGCTGGAGTTTACAACTTTGAGGAGCTTGGGCTGCCGATCTCGAAACTCTGCCTTCGAGCTTCAACGTCTTCTTATAAGACTCTCGGCCGATATCACCCTCAACTCCCTGTACCGATTCAGCCCCCCCAGCTCATTCCCATTTCCTCCATGAAGTGATCATCCAGACCCAGCAATTCATAATCACCATCCTCATTTGTGCTAGCATGTTCATTGACTAGGAAGATGAGCATCACAAGTCTACGTATTCATGGCCAGGCAAATACCTAGTTCATCAGCGACGGCGGAGCCGCAACTCAACTGCCACCAATGGGCAGGCCAAGTTCCCAGCAAAACGGTCCATTCGCGATTTCTCCAGAGTATGCTACTGCAGGGCTACGTAAAGCAGACCTGCCCTTTAGATCTCCAAATTTAGGGGCGGTCTCAATGCCTGCCTCCCCGTAATATGAGTGCCGAAATACCCGTCCACAGGGGTGCCGAACTTCCGTGGTAGACCGTTTTGAATTGGCACAGCTGCCCCGTTCATAATAGGCCCGAAGCTGGCTCAAAAACATCACACTTTGTTATATGAACTGCAGCGTCTAGAAGCTACGTTGTATCATGATGACGGCGTCGTTGGGCATATTCCCGGATGATCTTGTGAAGATTTAGGAAAGAGATATTACTGGGAGAGTACACGATCAAGCTCAATTCGGGCCATGACATTGGCCACAAAAGGCATCAACGGCACAGTGGGGCCGGCGATGCAGTAGGATCCATCTGACAACGCAGTCTGTTTCAGCAACATGCACCCAATCTTGAAAACTCCGTTCAATCTGATTAGAAGAATGCAATCTAATTGACGGAATCAGTTGCCGTGCCCCTTGCCTGATCCTTCGGCTTCGTCCGTTGTTAAGGCCTAGATTCCGCGAGCTTCAGAGCTCTGGATGACGACGTACGACGGCGTGAGACTGCACCAGAATAAATGGCAAAACAAAGAGTGGTAAAAGGATCGAGTGTTTCGTATTTAATATACTTCGAACGTGACAAACCAATCTATAAATGCATGTCCTAGGCTATCTTTTTATGTCCTTGTGTCGTTGTGCGCCCTATCGTGTGTAAGCTGACTTACATGTACGTATATGCGCATTCACTCACACAAAATCCTGCCACAGGCGGCACATGGCCCCTAGGAGCAACAGACGTGGTTGGCTGCTTTCACCGCAGATTTAAGGTTATCGAAATAGTTAATAGAAAGATAATCCTATTCACACAGCAGGATGCAACTCCTAGCACATAGGGTGGATAAGGACGCAATCGCCCTTTGTCAACTTTTGTTCCTTGGCAGCGGTGATCCGGCGCGTGCCATCACTTCAGCGCCCGCAAAAAGGAAACATAATCTGATTGAGGATTGTATGCATTATAGATCCAGCGTTACATGCCCGCTGGCGATCTATAAGCGCTTACAGCTTTGGAGAAGAAAAGGGCGCGGGCACGCACCAAAAGATATTAGATCTAGGCTATCATATTACTATTTCTGGTGAGTATGTGACATTAGACATGTGGCTGCTATTTCGGTGGAGCACGGCATATTGTACACGCCCTATACTTGGCCGTATAAGCTTTGCCGTATCCTCGAGCTTAAGACGTGTCATCTTACTCTTGTCATCGCTAGTTGTGCTTAGTACTTCAAGGTAATACTAGAAGGCGTTGCAGCCTGGTATCACCACTGACATATAAGTGCCGAACAAACTCTCCTTCCGCATCGGAAGTCAGATTGTCTTGACAAGATTTCTGCCTGGCCAGGGAAGCTTATCAGACAGGCACCGTCATTGCGCCATGGCAGTCTCATTGTCCAACTCTGGCAGGTAATAGATCTATTACCCTGTATCAGGACATAAAGCGCACAGGCCACCATTTCATATCGTACTATCACAGAGTAATAACACTCGGAGTCGGAGAATAAAATACTATTTTCCTGCTTACATGTGTGTCAACGGCAAATTGTATCGATCCCAGCCAAGGAATTACGTAGTTGCCTTTTCCCACGGTCCAAGTCATTCCCAAGTACGAGTGGAACAACACTTACTGTCCTGTAGAGTAATAAGTGTTTCAGCTGCAACGGAATTCTATACAGCAATACCGACAACCTCTCTGAACTTGACATCAATGGGGCATCCGCTCTGTACTCTCTATTGGAGGAAAAAAACATCAAAGATTTACCACGTGCAGTCCACGTCGCGAATTGACTACACTGGATCCAAAATAACAGTGACATACCACCAGGGCTAGTTAGCACACGAGAAAACGTGCCGCGGTGGATTCCTTCTAGAGTAATCAACCTGTATCAATCGACAGGCCCTTATACTATTGAAATTCAGTTTTACATGCTGCGATAAATGGTTTTGTGCTAAATAATCATGTTTCAAGCTTAATGTTTTCACATGTATTGTTTTCTATTTGAAACCTTTTAGAAAATGTTAACTAGCAAACCAAAGGATTCAGGGTTACTGCTTCTCAGATGCCTAATGAACAAATTGAGAGCGCAACTTCTCAATGCAGCAAATCTTCAGTGCTTACAATCTCCTACATAACAAGATAACACACAGACAACAATGCCGCATTGGTTATATCCTGACTCGAAACTCCACGGCTTGAGTCATTTTCCCTGTCGCTTGTTTCCTTAAACGCTCGCTTAAATTCCCAGCGTC